CTGAAGACTCTTGTATTTGGTCTTCGGGACGAACAGGAGCTTTGCCTTCTCTGTGTCTGTTACTCTCTTCAGACTGTAACAGACAGGGGGGAGGAAGAATGTGAGTAAAAAAAAAAAAAAAAAAAAAAGAAAAAAGAAAAAGTTGTCTGAAAGCTCACCGAGGTCTTCAGCAAAGCCTCGTCTTCTTCAGCTGCCCTAGCTGCAGCTTCGGCTTCAGCAGCTCTGGAGGACCCTTCTCCTCCTTCGCAAGCTTCGAGAACCCGTGCAACCTCTTCGGCTGTGCGGGCAGCTTCAGCTTCTTCGTCCAGCAGCTGAAACCAGGGGTCTCTCTTCTTCGACCAAGGCTTCTGCCTCTGATATAGAGCAACAGCCTCAATTTGGAAGTGGGAAGAGTCTAGATGAACTTCCCTATGCCTCGGCTCAGTGATAGACGGGGCCCGTTCAGTTACAACTCGTTCTCGGTTGACACCAAGACGAGCGTAGTTAATGCCAACGTTGGTCTCGTCCCGCTCTGAAAAAAGGAAAAGGGAAAGATTAGCTCAGATAGATTGGCACAGCATAAAAAGCGAAGCGAGAGAAGAAAAAGAGATAATTAAAAAGCCTCGGCCCCAGCCGAAGAAGCTTACCATCCTTAAACTTTCGGCTGAGGCCAACAGCTGCTAGCATGTTCTCTTGGAAAACGTAATGCGTATCGGGGAGCCAAGTCTCCGGGATATGCTGCATTCGGCCACTGCCCCCCCGGTTCGGCAGCTTGCCGAAGATATGTTGCTGATCCAGGTTTGGATCCGCCCCGTTATCTGCGGGGGGACCTAAACTTCCCATTTCGGGATCAGGCTCAGCGAGGTACCGGGGAGCGCTGAAGACGCAAGGGTGGCCCGGATCTGTGGGTGCCCTAACCCAAATCCATTGACCTCTCCAGTCCTTGTCTGAAGAGTCGTTTGGCCACATGGTTAGATATTGGGGCCGGGACTCAATCCGGTACCACCCAGAACCATGGCTTCCGTGCCCACTTTGAATATTTGGCACCAGCCGATGGAGCTTTTTGAAGCAGTGCAGGTTCGGCACGTACTTGAAGAACTTGCAGACCCATAAGTATGTCATCACCCTTCGGATGCTGGTGGGGGTTAACTGACATAGAGAGATGTTGTAATGGATCAGCAAGTCTCGGACGAATACGTCCAAAGGGAACCTCAGCCCATAATGAAGCTGTCTTGTGTACACCCCCACATACCCCGGGGGTGGACGATGGATTCTATCGGATGCCGAGGGCATTCGGCACCAGTACCCATCAGCTTCAAAAATGCCGTAATGCAACTCAATTTGCTCGGCAAATCGATATTGATCGGCATTCTCCACCCACCATGAGTAGGGGCGGTTCTTTATCATGGCCGAAGCAACTTCGGCATTCTCCCATTCTGAAAACCCGGGGAGGATATCCCAAAGGACAGCGGGAACTTCATCATCCCGTCCAGAAGCGCTCGGCTCTTCCGTTCTCTGAGGAGGAGCCGAGGAAAGGGGAGTCGCCCTAATCCCTTCAGCAGGGTCAGACTCCGGCCTTTGACCATTCCAGGTCCCAATCCTGTTCCTAGGATCGGGAATCGGCCTTGCTCTTCTTGGAGCACGGGCTCTACCTCTAACTCCTCTTGCCATTGATTATTTCGAAGAGAAAAGTCGAAAGAAAAGGGGAAGGAGTTCGAATTCGAAGAAAAATAAACTGAAATCAAAGGAATTTACCTTAATCTGAAGCGAAAGTTGCCGATTTACGAGTTCGTAGTGGCAAGTCTCAGTTTCTAAGCTTAATGCTCGGGGAATTTGTGAAGTTTTGATGCGGGTTCTTGGTTTCTCTCTCGAGAATTCTGGGTTTGTGTTGGTGAATAAGTGAGGAGAAATGACGCGCCTCTGTTTATATCTCCAGGTACGGGATACGAGGAGTTTGCGTTTTAATTTCTCTTAAGTACTCCACTAAGTAACCGTTAAACACATGATCTTGTGATTAAACTTCCCATTATACGTCCAACTTCCACAATCATTAACCGTTGTTATCTCATTAATTACGGTTTAAATTCAAATTTTTGGATTAATTAAATCATTTACTTCCCTCCTTTTCTGAATTAAATCAAACCCGACCCGTCATCCTTCCAAATCGGGTCTGGGGGGCAAGTTGTTTGGGTCCAATTTAGTCCAAATTGGGCCTAAGCACTAAATGATCCAATTAAAAGCCCAAGGTCAAGGTTCGACTCTCCAATTGTGCTAAAGTCAAAGGTCAGCCCACAAAGCAAGCCAATTGGGCTAAGGCCCAACCTCTCCATATATGATGAGGTATAAAAGCTATCATATTGTCTCATTCAAAAGGGGATTGATATTCACATTCATAGATTCATATTCACATATTGATTCATACATTCTGATATATTCCATAAAAGCCTCAAGCTACAAACTCTCTTGCATAGTGTCTTCTTCTTACACATTGTACTGACTTTAGCATCGGAGGGGCCTTCCTCGGCAACACCCCTGAGGCTAGTTTACGTGTGTTTACTGTGCAGGAAACCTTCGGCCCAACACAACTTGGACCGAATCCAGTCTTCTCCATTTCAGCGGACCTTCGGCAAGGTCCCATTGTTTTCACCCGAAACAAGTTGTTTGAGAGAAAAAAGACAAGTAATTAAGAGACAAATATGGTTGAATTGATGTGATATAGCCCATATAGGAGTGATATAGAGAAAGTGATATACATAGCATAACTTATAAGGAAGATTATTTTGAAACGGTCAATATTAAATAACGTTTGACAGAATAATTTTGAGATACAATATGATAATGGAACTTTGCTCCACTCTAATTTAAAATTCCTCATTTACTTACAACCTAGCTACTTCTCCATCGCTTAAAGTGATAATTGTTAATAATAAAAACCCGCCCTGAATTAAAAACACACTTCCTATACTGCTAAAATCAAGGGGGTGTTTGGTAAACGGGAATTGAGGGTGGGAATGGGAATTTTAATTCCAAATAAAACAAAGGGTAATGATATATGTAGCCCTAAGTGAGTAAGAGTTATATATAAGCATTAAATATACTTTTGAAAATTGTATGAAATTAGAAATTCATGACAAAAACACGCGTATAAATCAGTGTTATTAGTGTTTATATTTTGATAATTTCTTAACTTCTTACGATTTTCAAGTGTAAATTTAATGCTTATATGTAGCCCTAAGGGTTATGTATAACATTTTCCTAAAACAAAATCTCTTGTTTGTTGGATGAGATTGGGATTAAAGAAGGGTATGAAATTGAGAATAAATGGGGTGAATTCCCACCCATTTATTACCTACCATTTTATTACCTACGGAGGGTAGGTAATAAATGGGTGGGAATGGAAATAAGTGCAAAATGACATTTTTACCATTAATGAAAAAATGGAGGAGAAAGATTAGTAGGGTAATTTTGTATTTTTGTTATTTATTCCCCATCTATTCTCATCTACTGTCCAAACAAAGTATTGTCATATTTTTCTATATTCCCAACAATCAATTCTCAATTCCATTCCCACATTTTAATCCCCAAACTCCCATTCCCACAATCCAAACGCCCGCAAGTGTGGGGGCTAGTAGTCCATTCTCATGGTTGAATAACATATTGATGATATAAGCACCTGGGTTGAATTCCAGCAATAAAGTTTATCAAACCTCATTAGTCATTTTGTGACTGAGAGTTGGTGAGAATCTATATCATCATATAGGAATCTTCTGTCGGATTCTTCTTCTTTCAATTATATTATTAGTAAGAGATCCTAATTTAGAATTTTAGATTTTTAGTGAATGATGCATGCATTGATATTATTATTATTACACTCTAGTTGGAGCAGCTAATTCTGGAAATAATTAGGTATATTCAATATGATTATTGGTTAAGATACATTATTCTAGCTAATAATTTTGGCACATATATTCACTAAAAAAAATATAATTAGTATTTAGTAGCATGATGGTGATGATTATGCTGATTTGTCTTAATTAGTTAGTGCGTAAGTATATAATAGTTGATCCACCATCTAATTCCATTTATTGAGTTGGTGAGATCTTGACATAATACTCCATAGTTCTACATGAGTTATTTCTTGTTGAACGTTAGATCTGGTTTTCCAATTGGTATATATTCTTTATGACAATGAATATGTAACTAATCCGTCATCACAATATTATATATTGCAATAGTGCAAGTAGAGGTCGGTGTTAAGGAGTTTAGCTAGTTGCAAATTATTCAATTAAGCTTGAGTATAATTTCTTATGATGAGATTGAGCACAACTAAGGGTTTGTTCTCTTACGTTGAAATTCAGTTCAGTTCAGTCTAGTTTAGTTCAACTCCTAATTTCCTTCTCTTATAAAATATTCATTTCAATTCAGTTCAGTTCATTTCAGTTCATTTCAGCTCCTAATTTTCTTCTATTATAAAATATTCATTTCAATTCAATTCAGCTCTGTTAAGTTCAGTTCAGGTCGGTTCAGTTCAGTTCAGTTCAGTAAATGAGAACAGGCCCTAAGTTCGACTTGAAAGCACATGTGCAAGCTCAAAAGTTCAAAGTACTTAACTAATCGGACTATTGATCTTACATAATATAACACACGAGTGTAACTTAAAAATTTTGTACTTTATAGTTGATACACTTTCATGAATATCTAACAACTAATCCTCAATCTTTATCCTACAAATCTCCAATCATGGTTTTCTTATTCATATAGGAGAACAACGTGTATTTTATACTAGTACAAGTACAACTACAACGTCTACAAATACTCCAGAGTATAGAGCAGAAGAGAAAATACTTTGTAAAATTTAATTCCTTTACTTGATTAGAGTTCAAATAGCTCATATGTTTGAGATTTTACAATAACCTTTCACTTTCACACATTATTTAAAAAAAATAAAGTAGAGAGTGAGGGATAGCTCCTCAAGTGGTTAGACCTCCTCTCCCGGTTGTAGATCATCCAAGTGTCAATCAATTCTACAATATATTTAGTTTTAAGATGTGTACTTGTGTTGGAATTTTTGATTTCTTAAGAATTATATGTATGTGCCGTTTTACAATATTTTATTAATGAAATCCCTTTTTCCTCTTTAAAAAAAAAAATAAAACAATTGTAAGTGTCAACCTTCAAATACATGAAGTTGATTTGAGTAGTGTCAACCTTCAATTTCTTTGTTTCGTTCGAACTTCCCAGAACATTGTAAGTGTCAAACTTCAATTTTCGTCTTTCTTCTCTGAGAATTTGGGAAATTACAGAATTAGGCAAGTAGTAGCAGCTACTTCTTCAGAGTCTGATTCATTGCTGAGACCAAGATTGAAAGATGAAGTTTCAAGCTCTGCGTTTTAATGGCGGTACTTCTATTTTTCCCCTCATTTCTTCCTCCATTCCTTAATATTTTCGATATTGTTCCCATTTTTCCAGTAATAGAATTGTTGCAATTCATGACCGTAAACTATTTCTCGATTCTGTTAAAGAACATTGCAAATTAGGGTTTTCCGATCTTAAACATCCACCCGAGGGCATTCAACCCGATGTTGTCACATATAACTCCTTGATTCGAGGCTTCTACAATTCTGGATGCAGGGTAGAGGCTAAGGGTGTGCTGAATGAGATGTTAAAGAGCAATATAACACCTACTGTTGTGACCTACAACATGCTGGTTGACATGTTTTGTAAAGATGGTAATGTTGTGGAAGCACAAGCCATACTGCAGCACATGGCTGACAAAGGTGTAGCTCCAAACATCATTACTTACAATGCTTTACTTGATGGTTATTGTCTGCGTGGTCAGATGAGAGATGCAGAAAAGCTACTTGATATCATGACCCAGAATAATGGTTGTGAGCCTAATCTTGTAAGTTTTAGTACTATGATCAATGGATATGCCAAACTTAAAAACATTGACAAGGCTTTTACTGTATTAGAAAAAATGTTTCAGAAAGGGATAACACCGGATGCTGTAACCTATAGCACTCTTATTGATGGCTTGTGTAAAACCAATAGACTTACACTTGCATGCCAGTTGTTCACAGATATGCAAGCTCATGGGGTTACAACTGATGTTGTGACGTATAGTTCATTGCTTGATGGCCTATGTAAAAGTGAACGACTTGATGAGGCAGTGGCATTACTTGAAGATATGGAGGATAAAGGTATCAAGCCTACTACTGTCACTTACAATATCCTAATGAACAGCTTGTGTGAGGCTGGGCAACTTGAAGATGCAGCAAAATTCTTCTCTGATCTTGTGTCAAAGGGTCTGCAGCCTAGTCTTAAAACATACAACATATTGGTTAAAGGCTACTGCAAGAAAGGGCTCATGATTGAAGCTGCTCGATTACTGAGGATAATGGAGGACAACGATTGTTTCCCTGATGGTATCACCTATAATACAATCATCAGAGGATATATTTTCAATAATGACCTCACAAAAGCATTATACTATTGTGATCTTATGGTAAGCAAGAAATTTGAAGCTGATGCAGACACTTTCGCATTATTTATTGACCTCTTGTCTTCTGATAACATAAGTGATTCGTCCAAGAGCCTGCTTCAGAAGTTTATAAAATGAATTGTAGTGCAAGTTTGCTAAGATTGGAGCTTTTTTTGGACCTTGGATATCAATTAAATGGTTTTTCTTGTGGTATCGATTCATCTTGTATTACAGTAAATTAACTGCTAATGCTAGGGTCTCTAATCTTTTCCATGACTTTCCAATTGTAAAGTGTCAAGAAGTAAAAATTGTATTATGTTGTGTGCTGTAGTAAACATTGCTCTGTTTTTTCCCCTCTTCTTACATACTGTATACGAGTAGTGCATATTCTGAAATGCTAGAAATATCAATCAGTATAAGTGATAAGGATTATTGTATCTAAAATTGGCTAAGCCCGGATCACTTAGCTTGTCCAACCAGAGGACTAGAAGGGGAAAATAGCCAGGCTAGAGAACCAAGCTCGTGAAAGACTACCCTATCTTTAAGAGACCAGCACCTTCTGAATTCATGATTGAAAATGGAGACTTAGTCATGGAAATGCTGATCTGATGCAGGTATCTTCTACTTGTAATTATTTTGCTCACTCTTGTTTTATCTTGTATTTTATTAAAATAAGTATGATTAAATGCACAAATTACTTAGTTTACTATATACTATTGTGTATTTGTGTTAAATCAATATTTTGAGCGAGGTTGAAAAGTGGACAATAGTGAAGTGTTTATGTATAGACAAGTAAGCATGGTCATGACTCATGAGTGTGAAGCAATAGAATTAATGTGTATATCATTCAGTATAGTACTGGAGACGATTCAGAGTTAAGAACGCGTGAAATGTACTTAAAGTAGATGATTCTTATATAGATTGTCTTAATTGATTTCTATCTTGGATAGTTCCAATTTTGTTATGCTAAGGAGTAAGGAGTTAAGAAGTGGTCACTGCTGTAATTCTTTGTCTCTGAAACTCTGATGATCCTAATATCAAGTCAACAATACTGCTTATTTAAATATGAATCACATATAAAGTCTTAATTAGTTGCAATTTTGTCTTTAAATATGCTGACGTGTATGTATAATTCGTTGTTTCAATGTTACTGTCATTAATACATGCTTCTGCTAATCAAGTACTTTGTATTAAATATTTCAAACTTGTATGATTCATTTCCCAAAATAAAATTGTCAATACAGACTATGTATATGTACGGAGTATCTACTTATAACTTGAGGCACTTCAATCATAGCAATGTCGTCCACTAGGCCATTATATAACATAAATCCCAATAAAAGAAAAAAAAAATAGAATTCATTTTGGGGTAGAAAAGGGGTAGGGATTATGTTGAATCTTCTTCTCACATTTATGGCTTGTTGTTGGTCCATTGATGCCTATTGGTCGAAATTCGGCTATCTTAGCCCACTGCTCAGATAGTAGATCCCATGATGAAAATGAGATGGCTACATCATCAAATAGTTTATAATCGAGCAAGTTTCTCCCTATAATAAACTAGTTGCTGCTAAATAAACTTAACCCAAATTTGAATTTTACCTATGATTTATCTCAGATTGGTTTGCAATAAATTCTTTAATGACTGTTGTATTACCTGTATACATATAGCTATAAGCTATTAGACCGCATTGATCAGTATTTCTAACAACCAGTCTGCCTTCCCATTTCATGAAAACTTGTTCCTATTACATGAATTTGGTTTGATTGAACACTGATGTTCTTGGGTTTCTTATAGTTATGGTCACTTTAAAAAGCAATGTTGTACACCGTGTATGTGAATGATGAAATACCTGCTTGGTAACAAGTGGATAAAATTTCGTTCTTAAATTAGTAAATTACTGAAACTTTACCTTTTAAGTTCCAAACATAATTTGACCAACATGATCTTTGTAAAGACATGGGAGGTAAATGATTCTTATTCATCTCATTTGTGAAGATTTGCTTCCAAATGACAGGCAATTCTTATCTTTTTTCGTTTTCTAATGGTTTTCGAGAATATTTGTTAGTGTAGGGTGCAAAGAACATGTAATTTCTTTTATATGCTAGAAGCATAATTATGTGAACATGATTTAACGTATAACATTGTACTGTTTTTGTTTTGTTTTTTTTTTTTTTTTTTTTTTTTTTTTTTTTTAAGTCACCCAGTTTTGTCTCTCACTCTTTTGAAATAATCTGCAGGCGGTATGCAAAGAGATTTCTCTACCTCGTGAAGAAGCATGGCCTGGAGATTTCTCAACCTGATCTTGAGCCTAATAATGGTTTATGTGTTTGAAATGGGAAATGACTAAAGAAGTTCACAAGTATGCCTTCTATTCTAAATTATGTAGTCAATATATGTTATCCTTTTCCTCTCATTGTGACTTAATTCTGTGTGTGTGGACCAGTGATACTGCGGAGAAACTAGCCGGTGCTCAAACCCACGCCTCCTTTGCTGCGTATTGTTCTATTCCTCTTGTGCACCTAAAATTTGCATGACCTACAAAAGAAAAGTGGAAAGCTGTATGAAAATGATCAGAAAATAAAGAAGCGTGGATTAGAGGTGATCAACTACGGCCTGAAAAGAGCGGGTTTTGTCAAGTCTAAAAACACACACTTAGGTAAAAACCTAAGCAGACCAAAAATACCCGAAAGCCGGCTATGGCTCGATAATCGATATGCTTGTCACTTTTTCCGGATTTGGACATGAGATTTGATGTTAAGGTCAGCCCTAATTTTTGACCACTTTTAGCTTGAGGCGTTTGGTTGAGTCTTTAGAGCTAGAGTTGTCAATTCAAGTTTAGTTATTTGAGTCAAATTGTGTCAGGTCAATTTAAACTTCAGGTTGTTTTTGGGTTTGGGTCGAATCAAGTTTGATTTGTGATGTGCTAGGTTATTTATCTTCTCAGATGTAGATAAGGTTTAAGTTTGGCTTTAAATTGTGTCAAGTTGGGTTTGGATTTGAAGCGGGATTATGGTGGGAAAATTCAAGTTGAATCATGTTGGGTCGAATAATTTGGTTGGAAAAATTTTAAATCAAGTCAGTTTTGAATTGAAGTAAACTTTTATAATTGGAGCAAATCTTATAAGCATATATTAATTATATAATTGCAAATAAGGGTTTTTTTTTTTTTTTAAGAAGAAAAAATATTTCATTAGTAATTATAAGTTGAGTGACCAAAGTTACCGTGTACAAGTTTTGGAAGTACGAGAAAATGAGGAGAAAAATGGAATTAGGCCCTATTTGGTAGTAGCATTTAAGATAGCGGTTAGTGTTTTGACCAAATTAATACACTACGTGAAAAAAATAAAAGGGTTTAGTGGTAGAGGCAGCATTTGAGTAACTTTTCTCAAAAGTTTATATTATTACTCACATTTCAAAGTTGTGGATAACATTTAACATATTTTGGTTACTTTTTGAAACAGTATTGTATATAATTTAATTTTAATGTATTATATTATTGCAACTACTCTTTCTAAATATTCATATTATCAATCGTTATTTTAACAAGTATTGAGACTTGAGGGAATATCTTTAGGAGACAAAGAGTATTTTTTGCAAAGAATACCAATAACTTGGTATTAAAATTTGATAACTCCAAAAGAAATTTGCTAAGTTTAGATACTCAATTTTAGGTCTCATTTGGCAAAAGTATGAGCCCTTGACAATATTATACTTGTAATATGTTTTGTAATTTATTTAGTTTTAATTCTATTATTTTTCTAAAACGCTTATAATATGATTTGGTGGGTTATAAATTAAAAGTGACATGAGTATACTTTATAAAGTAACACCAATGGAAAATTAGACTTCACATGAGTTGCTAAATTGAGAATGAGTTGGATATCACCATCATTAATTAACCTATACTAAAAGCGAACCTAAAATAACACTTGTCATAATCTCATTAAAAAATTTCCCGCCCATTTTACTTTGTATTTTTACGCATATACTTTAAGGAAATAATTTAAAATATCTTTCTTCCAATTAAAATTTTTAACAATAATTAATCTCCATATAAACCCAACTAATATATATTTCCATATAAGTAATCTTTTATTTGGTATTATTTTTATAAAAAAATGAGGTAAATATTATTAAACAATACTGCTATATATTATTTTAGTCTTCGATAATACTATAAACTTTTTTTTTTCTTTCAATTTTGTTACTTTTGCAATAATATTTATTTCAATTAAAAATAAAATAATTTTGTTAAGATATATATACACTTTATTTTCTACTCTTAAAAGTCGTACCAATACTAACGTAGCATGTACGGCCGTAGGGGTACTATCCATAGAATTTTTTTTTTTAAAAAAAAAACTTCAAAGACCTTTTTTTTCCCTTAAATCAAGTCTAAGTGTCACTAATCTTGATATTGATAAAGTTACATATAAAATTAAAGTTATATTTATTTTTGAATTAGTATTATGAGTTTAAGTTTTTTATAAAATTTAATGCAATAACTCTTTATAAAATTTAATATTAAACGTGCATTGCACGGGATTTAAACTAGTTGGAGATAAAAAAAAAACAAAACAATTCATTTTGTATTTCAATACTTAGTATTGAGTATCACTACTACTGAAAGATGCAGCAGCAACACTGGCCACGAAGATACATCTTCCTCTTGGAAAATTTACAAGAAAACTGAAAGATGAAGATTCAAGCTCAGCGTTTTCATGTCGGTACTTCTCTTTTTCTTCCTTTTTCCCTTTTTTCTTCCATCTCCCCTTTTTATTTTCGAAAATTCTCCCATTTTTCCAGTAAAACAATTGATGACCGTAATTTATTTCTCGACTCTGTTAAAGAACATTGCAAATTAGGGTTTTCAGATCTTAAACATCCACAATCTCTCTTCAATCAATTGACTTCTTTACGCCCTCTTCCTTCTGTTATCGTTTTCAATCAGCTATTGACTGCCATTTCCAAATTGAAACACCTTCATCCTCACTCCACCATTATCTCTCTTCCCAGGCACCTTGAATTACTGGGTATTTCACCTGATATGCATTCTATTGGTATTCTCGCTAATTCTTACTGCCATTTGGGCTGTATTGATTTCGGGTTTTCTCTTCTTGCTAAAAGAATTAAGCTTGGTTATCCCCTCGATTGGGTTATCTTTACTACCTTAATTAACGGCTATGTCCTCTGTGGTAAGCTTCCTCAAGCTGCTCAGCTGTTGAATAAGATTATCAACTTAGGTTTCCAACCCAATATTGTTACTTATGGTGCTATTTTCAAAGGCCTTTGTAGTATCGGCGACAATGCCAGTGCTCTCTCTTTGCTTACCAAAATGCAGTCTGCTTCTCATTGTAAGCCTAACCTTGTCATATACAACACTATTATTGATAGTCTCTCTAAGGACAGCCTATTACTACAAGCTATGGACCTTTTCTCTGTTATGAAAACCGAGGGCATTCAACCCGATGTTGTCACATATAACTCCTTGATTCGAGGCTTCTACAATTCTGGATGCAAGGAAGAGGCTAAGGGTTTGTTAACTGAGATGTTAAAGAGCAATATAACACCTACTGTTGTGACCTACAACATGCTGGTTGACATGTTTTGTAAAGATGGTAATGTTGTGGAAGCACAAGGGATTTTAAGAATCATGACTGACAAAGGTGTAGCTCCTGACATAATTACTTACAACGCTTTACTTGATGGTTATTGTTTGCGTGGTCAAATGCAAGATGCAGAAAAGCTACTTGATAGCATGGCCCAAAAAGGTTGTGAGCCTAATCTTAGAAGTTTTAGTACTATGATCAATGGATATGTCAAGCTCAAAAACGTTGACAAGGCTCTTACTGTATTACAAAATATGTTTCAGAAAGGTATAACACCAGATGTTGTAACCTACAGCACTCTTATTGATGGCTTGTGTAAAGCCTGTAAACTTACACTTGCACGCCAGTTGTTCATGGATATGCAAGCTCACAGAGTTGCTCCTAATGTTGTGACGTATAGTTCATTGCTTGATGGCCTATGTAAAAGTAAACAGCTTGATGAGGCAGTGGCATTACTTGAAGATATGGAGGATAAAGGTATCAAGCCTACTATTGTCACTTACACTATCCTAATGGACAGCTTGTGTGAGGCTGGGCAACTTGAAGATGCAGCAAAATTCTTCTCTGATCTTGTGTCAAAGGGTCTGCAGCCTAATTTTAGAACATACAACATATTAGTTAAGGGCGTTTGCAAGAAGGGGTTGATGAATGAAGCTGTTGATATTTTGAGTAAAATGGAAAAGGATGGTTGTTTACCCAATGCTATTACCTACAACACACTCATCACAGGAGATGTTCTCAATAATGACTTTTCCAAGGCATTATACTACCGTGATCTTATGGTTAGCAAAGGATTTGAAGCCGATGCACACACTTTCATTATTTGTTGACCTCTTGTCTACCGGTAACTTTAAGTCTCTTATTCAAGGGCTTTTTTTAGAAGTTTATCAAATGAATAGTAGTTAAGGTTTTCAAAATTTGAGATTTGCTTCAGATAAATGGTATGTATTTCCCATTTCACGCTCCGATTTTCAGTATCTACTTGGTTGCTTGTCTATGATCCTAAGTTAGTTTGTCCTCAAGCTGATGTTGGCCAGTGGACAACTTCTTTTGTTACCACTCTGATCCTTGTATAAAACTCAGCAGACTAGCTTTTGAAAAATAGTTCAATGATTCTGGAATCTTCATCTGCTTAAATTAAATTTTGCTGTACATTGAGCTGATCTAGTTTATGTTTCCATCACACTAAGCATAGGATGTTGGATTTGGAACTCTCTTTTTCCTGTCACACTAGAAAAGATAAAAGCATCTTGATTTCTGACGCTCTACAGTTGGAATAAAAAATCAAGAGATTGGAACTAATCAGCTCTCTGTTTAATACAGATCAGAGAAGTATTGCTGATGCTGGCTATGCTGTATGATTCTAGTATACTGATGGTGCATGTGATGAGCCACAAATTATACAGTAAATCTGATTCTTTCGAGCTAAGTCTAACATTTTCATGAACTTCACAATTTGTTTCTCATTTTTATATTTTTGTGGATTAATTAAAGAATGATTATGTATATTTCTTCCTCTTCTTCTTATTAGGCCTTTCCCCTTGTTATTGATATATTGAATGTCTTTCATGTTCCTCAGTTTGAGATGACTTCCTATTTGTTAATTTGTTATGTGAAAAATGTTATACTGAGCTATTATGGGCCTTGAGACCTTTTAGTTTCAACAATGTCGGTATCAAGGTTTCATTTCAAGTAAGGCAAGCAATCTATCCCAAGGTAGTATGGCCTTGTCAAATCAGGTTGCAGTTGCTAATTCAGATTAAAAAGAGGATTATAAGGCTTCTAAGATCTTGATAAAAACTGTACTGTAATAAGTGAAAGGTATCACTTTTACAGGATACTAATATTATTATTTGACTATTGATAATGTTAGACGTATTTATATTCTGATTATTCTTCTATAATCATATTTTGCAATTCCTATTTGGCTAGTTAATTGATCTAAGAAAGTCTTGTTAGAAATCTGCTTCAATTCCTTGCATTTAGGAGGATTGCAATGTACAGTGAAGCCACACACTTCTGTAAATATATATCTGCATAATGCTGCCCTCCATAATCCGGGCTTTGGCACAAAAGGCTCAGCAATTAGCTCGTTGTGGCTTAGGCAATCTCTTAATATTTCTAGTTATACTCGTGAATTCTTCAACATTTTGTTAGCATTGCTTATATTTTGTATTTTGCTATGAAATTTATTGCTAAAATGTGAATTTTATTGTGATTTAAGTTCTTGTTTGTTGGAGTGTAGTGAGTTAGCTGATATGAATTTGGGATTATGAAGAGAGAGAGAGAGTAATATCAGATTTTCTTTTTTATTAAATGCTTGAGAAATCTGGTTACAACAGGTTAAATTGCCTGAAAATGGGTTTGAGTTTCTATCTGCTGAGTACTTGTTAAAAAATAATGTTAGGGTAAACATGTTAAATCATGTGAAATCTTGTAAGATTCATAAACATTGTATTCATTCTTATTACTATGGGAGTAACTAAGTACTACACATTAGTACATTGTAGTGTTAAAAAAGTTATACTGTCACCATTTCTCATGCTAGGAGGACTGTGAACTTTGTGGCAGACAAATTAGCAACCATTGGAAGAACTAGAGTGAAGAAGGGTGAAAAGGAAACTTATTTCTATCCTCCAGCTGAAGTCTTCGAAACATATGCTTCTGAGATTCCAGAATATCATGTTGCTGCTTAGTCTTGTGTTTGTTTTAGATACATTAACACTTTATGCTAATTCTGTGTTATCTAGGAAGGCTTTTGTAAAGTACTTACAAAGTACTGTCAACTCTTTTATTGCTTTTTATGGATCTGTAACTAAGTTTCAGGTTAGGCATATCTGGTTGCTACTCATGCTCCAGATTATCCCACTTTTGCTCAGGTGGTTCATGCCACTTTGATGTAATATAATTTCTCCCTTGTGCGGAAAAAAAAGTTCCAATGCTTTATTTAGAGATTATAAGTAAATTATTCAAATTTTATATTTTTATACTACATTTCTTTTATCTTATAGTACAATAATAATTTTTCCTTCTCGCTTCTCCTCTTCTCTCCTTCTCTCTTATTGTTACTTATGGTGCTATTTTTAAAGGCCTTTGTAGAATCGGTGACAATGCTAGTGCTCTCACTTTGTTTAAGAAATGCATTCTGCTGCTCATTGTAAGCCTGGTCTTGTCATATATAACAGTATTATTGATAGTCTCTGTAGGACAGGCTATTACAACAAGCTATGGACCTTTTCTCCGCTATGAAAACCGAGGGCATTCAACCTGATGTTGTCACCTATAATACTTTGATTCCAGGCTTCTACAATTCTGGATGCAGGGTAGAGGCTAAGGGTATGTTGATGAGATGTTAAAGAGCAACATAGCACCTGCTGTTAAGACCTACAGCATGCTGGTTTACATGTTTATTAAATGAATTGCAGTGCAAGTTTGCTATGATTGGGATTTTGAACCTTAGATATCAATCAAATAGTTTTTCTTGAGGTATTATAGTTATCTTTCTATTACAGTAATATACTGCTAATGCTAGGGTCTCTAATCTTTTCCATGACTTTCCAATTGTAAAGTGTCAAGAAGTGAAAATTCTATTATGCTGTGTGCTAAAGTTCGTTGCCCTGTTTTTTCCCTTCTTCTTATACACTGTTCAGTGCATTTTTCTGAAATACTGTTTCTACTATTTTCTGAGCCCGGATCGCATAGCTTGTCTAAACCAAAGGACTAGAAGGGGGAAGTAACAAGACGCCAGATAACCAAGCTCATGTTAGGAGACCAGTACCTTCTGATTTTCTGAATTTATGATAGGAAATGGAAATTTAGCTATGGAATTACTGATTTGATGCAGGTATCTTTTAGATAAATTGCTCGCTCTTATTTTATCTTGTGTATTATTCAAAATAGTATGAATAAATGTACAAATTACTTAAGCTTATCATACTATTGTGTTAAATCAATATTTTGAGGTTGAAAAGTGGACAATAGCTCTGTTATGTGTAGACAAGTATGCATGGTCCTGACTCCTGAGTGTGTGAAGTAATAGATTTAGTGTGTATATCATTTAGTATAGATTTGGAGATTCAGAGTTAAGAACGCGTAAAATGTACTCTAACTAGATTATTCTTATATAGAGTATTAGAGTGTCTTAATTAATCTCTATCTTGGATATTTCCCAATTTACTATGCTTAGGTGACTTACATTCTGCAGAATTGCAAATTGTCAGTAGCAGCTTAATATTTTCATCTGTATGTAGTTTTCTTAAGAATTAACATACTGTAATCATATTCTCTTGGAACTTTCTTTGGCAGGTTGGTTTGAATTCGAAGCCTATTGACAGGCAGGGAGCTCGAACTGCTCACTAAGGGAGGCGAATCAGTGGCCGCCTGGCTGAGCCCCAACGGCAATCTGTCAATCCTAGTACGGAGTAACATTTTTAACAAGTAGTCTAAATACCAACTACCAAATGGTCACTCTAATTCTTTATATCTGAAACTCTGATGATCCTAATATCAAGTCAACATTACTTGTTTTTTTTAATATGAATCACACATATAAAGTCTTAATCAAATGTAACTGTCTATGTATATGCTGTCATATATGTATAAGTGATGGATTCAATATTACTGTCATTAATACATGCATCTGCTAATTAATTACTTCATATTTCTTATTTCAAACTTGTACGATTCATTTTTACCAATAAATTTGAGGCACTAGCTTCAATTTCATAGCAATGCCCACTATATAAAAAAAATCCCAATAAAAGAAAAAATAAAGATCTCATTCATATAAATTGTAATTTATACATATATACACTTGCTTGCGTTACGAAATAAAAGAATGAATTAATAATCCTCCACAATTACACTCTAATTCAAAAAATAATCAAAGATGAAAACTATCAAACCATCAACTATTATTAATTACCCTACAATTATTTCTAATTTCACCTTGAATGCCAGTGAGAACCTGAATAGAACCCATATGAACCATTGCTTTACCAAACTTGTTAGCCCAAACACCGCCTTGTTGATTGTAGTTCCTAACCAAACTTGCAGTCCTAGGACTACTCATAAGACATTGATCCGAGGTTAACAATCCCCTTTTGTTAAGTACATTTTGATAATATTTGTTATCCAACCTATTAGGCGTGATAAAATCTTGAGCAACAGTAGGATCAACATTGCTACGAGCATTACTAGGAGTACTAGGACACCGGGATTTCAACATACTAGCAAGCCTAGAATCCATTGAAGGGTCTTGTGGGTTAGTAGCGTTAAAGGTGTAAAGTCTTTTAGTGAAAGAAGAACAATGTGAAACTCCAATTGAATGTGCCCCGGAAAGGGTGACCATTTCCTCTACAGAAAGGCCTTTTCGTTCAAAGCTTTTTTGTAGTTGTTGTAAGTTGAAAAAGAATGGAGGTAGGTTATGGTTCGGGTCATCCTTAAGTGAGACTCTCCCATCTCGTCGACCTGATTGTACAGCGTAGTAGATCCCTCCTAACTTGGAGGCACTGTCTCGTGCTGCAAAGGCTATGATATCTGCACAAGAGACTGTTTGTGGGCATCGAGCTTCAAGCTGCTTCTTTGCCTCATCTATCACTTCATAACCTCGCATGCTTGGGTTGTTTGCTATGTTGTCTTTCTCAGCTTGGCTATCAGGGGTTGAATCAAGTAGAATTGAAGCATCACAACCCTGAAATACATGTAACATAAAATTAATGTAAGCTAAGATAAATTCCACTTCAAAGGAGGGGTGGATGAGATTCGAACCCGTGACCTCTATGTCACGTTGGCTCAGATACCATGTTGTTAGAGGACCAATTCAACCAAAAGCTTAACCTGATGGTTGAGGCCCAGGAATATGCGCTATCAGATATGTTGCTAAACTATAATACATACAAATATAAATTGTTTCTTACCCTGACAAAACAATCATGATAATGCATTCTAATAAGGCCAGCACCTAAACCAGGATTCCGAGTGAGCGCAGTGCTGACTACATTCCTCACAATAGCCTCCGCCGAGGGACAACTCCGTTGATAGTATCCCACCTTCAAAGAAGACGACGACGACGACAATGCCATGGCAAGAAAGAAAAGCATACAAAGCACTGAAAGCGACATTTACACTTAGAAAAATTAAGCTGCTAAGCTAATTCACTTACGGTGTTATAATGTGTTGTATTCAAGTGTTGAAAATGAAGGAATTGAATGATTAAGGATGAAGTAAGTTGAGAGTAGTAATATGGTGGAGTTTATATAGTTAGGAGTGCGTTGTTTAAATTTTGATTGAAGAAAACGTGTAGCCTCCTTAACAAGCATTGAATTGAATAGTTCCATACAATTTTACTATTACCAAAATTGGCAACTGGCAAATGGGTATTCCTATATGATAGCCATCACCCAGCAGTTTCCTGTCTTAATTATTCATCTAAATGACTACTGAGATTATTTAATCTAGTTGCTCGTTACTCTTTTTATCCCGCTAAGATAACTTGATAACTCGGATACAATTATAAAATAATCTTTTAAAAAAAGAGACGAATCAACTCTAACTTAAAATAGACATGAGGCAATTTTAGTGGGACATAGAGATGATAAAAAGTACTTCGTATTATATATACATAGACTATTAGAAACACATGCGTAAAAAATAATAATTATTTTGAATATCTTCTATTATTTGTTCTTTTATGATAATTAAAGAGTAAAATGCTACTCGTACAGCCATTGTAGTACAGTGGCTTAATGGCTTGTCAAGTTAAGTTTCAAATTACCAAGCTAAATTTGGTCTAATGGTAAGGATTGTACCTTTTAACCTTGAGCTTGAGAGCCCAATGACACTTTGAGGGTGGGGATCCCTTACATACCCTTCCCTTTCACTCTCAAAGTATTTAACCTACAAATACCGGTCTAAAAAATGTGAGAGTTGAGATATGATCAGGGTTCTTCTCCTCACCTTAAAAAAAAAAAAAAAGTCAAATTTTTAAGTATAATAAATTGAAGTATCATTTATAGTTTGATAGATTCTATTAACAATACAAGTTGACATGCATGTAGGATTATAAGGTTTTATTTGTTTCACATGAGTTTATATTAACAGTACGTAACTTCGTATTAAATCTTCTGTCCTTTCTTATTATAAAAATGGTAATACTTTTTTTCTTTGCAGTCTTTTATGTACTTAAATTAATTAACTAAATTGAGTATGGAGTATGCAGTATGTATAAGGTAATCACTAAACAATCATCGAGACATATAAACGAACAAGATCATATATGATACTTAAGGGTCTGTTCTCATTATATTAATTGAACTGCATTGATATGAACTGTACTTATTAGAGCTAAACTGAACTGAATATTTTATAAGAGAAGAAAATTAGGAGCTAAGCTGAACTGAACTTATTAAAGCTGAAGTGAACTGAAAATAAACGTATGAGAACATGCCCTTAATTAATACGTAGTATTATATATACTATCTGTGTAATGATAAATTTCAATTCAGCCAAAATAAATTGAAAGTTTACACATTTATTTGCTCAAACCACACGTGCATGTTAATATAATTTGGATTCAGATTAAATAATTGAAAGTCAAAGTTCAGTTAAAGAAGGCTCGACCCAAATACCCCCAACCTCCACTACAAAGAACCTACGTTAAAATCTTTTTACATACAAGTTCTTCAAACGTAGTAGTTGAAGAAAAACATTGGGAGATAAAGTTTAGAGTATACATATATTATATCTATATTACATTATTTTTGTTTATTATTATTCAATGGCAAATCGCATAGATTTATTGATTAGTTCAAATGTCTCTTTTTCTTGCGTAAAAAAGTTCAAACTAAAGGAAGGTGTACAAATATAAACTGGTCCATTTCTTCACATTCCTTACATACGTAAACGTAATTAATAAACTTTATACGTAATAATTAATGAAGTATTTTAATGAGGTGTTCTTAAGAATTGTTGTAAATTTGTAATCATTAGGAATTTTTATACGTCGGGTATAAACAAACTATATCAAGATTATAATTTATGGGATTTTAAGAGAAGTAAATTAATTACTATTTGACATATAATTAGATGTGATCTACCGAAGTGTAATAGAGGGAGTAATTTATTGGTAGTGAAGATCACAAATTCACATAAATATGGTAGCTACGGTTTGTTACTAGCTTGTTGGAGATTTGCTAACCCTAACCCTAATTATTTTAGAATACGAAGGTAAAAATTTCATATTGAGAAGACTTTGTTTCTATTGTCATGTGGAGGTAAAATTTAATGTTTCTCACGCAAAAATCTCTTAAAGAGGTCAAGTTATTATAAAAAAAAAATTAACAATTTATGCCTACCAATTTTCAGAATTCTTATCCAATCCATCTATATGCATTAAGGAACAAAAGCTGAGGATCTAGGAGTAAGGAGTTGGAGATATGATTAGTCCCTCCACCTCCATCTCCCCCTCCCCCAAGTGACGGGGGTTCGATTCCTCATCCCTCTTTCTGTGATAGGATAGGGTCCTTCCTCGTTTTTTACCGTTTAAAAAAAAGAAAAGGCAACAAAAGCTATACTATAATAAAGGCTTTGAAGGAAAAGGTCAAAGGAGTGAAATAATTTTATTTAATTTGATAAACTTTCAAATTGATCTACTCAAATACAGAGCAAATTTAATTAAGTAGTTGAAGAAAAAGATGAGTGTATACATAATAAATAGTACATAATTAATTGCCAATTGCATGAAATAGTTGATCTATTCAAAGGAAAACAAGCCCAATATACGGCCCATTTCTCTATATTTCTTTACACATGATGCAGGTTGATCTTGTCACACGTTTTTGTCCAAATATACTTTGAATAAATCATTTCCCATTTGTCACCAATCATATACTATATATACACACACCTCAAATTATCTAAATATCATCTTTCATTTCTTTAATTTACTACAAAAACATAAATTTTCCTGTCTTAGCATTTTTTTCCTTCCAAAATACTTTGTTTTATTCATTAGCTAACATATATTAACAAGCAAACATGCAAAAATACATTGGTTTTAGCTTTGTTTTACTTCTTGCTATGTCAACGGTTTGTTTGGCATCCAATCTTCAGGTTGGTTTCTATCAGCAAACTTGTCCTTCAGCTGAATCTACAGTCAGGAATGTCGTAAACAAAGTTGTTTCGCAAAATCCGAGATTAGGAGCAGCCCTTATTCGAATGCATTTCCATGATTGCTTTGTTAGGGTACGTATAATTATTGTATATGTTACATTCATAGTGTACAAAAATTGTTATTATTGAGTAAAACTCATGGTACTTGTTTGATTTTCAGGGATGTGATGCATCGATCCTACTAGACTCAATACCGGGGAACCAAGCAGAGAAGGAGCATCCAGCAAACAACCCAAGTCTACAAGGGTATGAAGTCATCGATGAGGCTAAGGCAGAGCTCGAAGCCAAATGCCCAAACACGGTCTCTTGTGCAGACATCATAGCCTTTGCAGCTCGAGACAGTGCTTTAAAATTAGGAAGAATAAACTATGTTGTACAAGCAGGCCGAAGAGATGGACTAGTCTCAAACATTAACGATCCAACAGGAAACATCCCTCGACCAACTTCCAACCTAGAACAACTACAAGAAAACTTTGCTAGGAAAACCCTTTCATTAGAAGAAATGGTCACCCTTTCTGGGGCTCACTCTATTGGAGTCTCACATTGTTCCGCGTTCAATGAAACTCACCCTCAATACCCTTCTTTGGACCCTAGACTAGCCAGTGTTTTAAGGGAAAGGTGCCCAAATTCACCGGCTACTACTGATCCAACTGTTCCTCTTGATTTTGTTACACCAAACAGGTTAGATAACATTTACTACAAAAACTTGCAGACTAAAAGGGCTTTGTTGACCTCGGACCAAGCTCTTATGACTTCACCAACCACGGTCCAAATGGTGCGCGATTTCAGCTGGCAGGGTAAAGTTTGGGCTAACAAGTTTGCTGATGCCATGGTTCATATGGGTTCAATTGAGGTGCTCACTGGTGCTGAGGGACAAATCAGAAGAAATTGTAGGGTTGTTAACTATTAGAAGTACAGAGCTACATAACAAATTATGCTTACAAAAATATTTGTTTATTTTTTCATTTACATTACAGATTTGATTTGTTATTCATTGTTTTTCAATTGTTAAAAAGGCTAATGTTAATTCAAAGGAAATTTTGAGTGAATAATAAATTTTGCTGTACAATGCACCAGGATCATACATATCCCAGCTAAGTTAGTTTATAAATAATCACAAATTAGTTTTTTTTTTTTTTTTTTTTTTTTTTTTTTTTTTTTTTTTGTTGCAAAATTAATTTTAAAACTTGAACTTGTCATATACTATTTCGCTTTTTCCTAGTACCATCAGCAAAAACTAGTTTAAAATATTATTTTATTTTTCTTAAAGTTGAAAAGTTATTGTCAAACAGAGGCTACATATTTTATCAATAGACGATAAAGTTTATACTAATACCACTATGACAAAGTCACAAAAGGGCTGCTAGCTACTGGAGTATATGTTTCGTGTAGCATAGAAGTAGCCATAATTGTCTTGCCGTTTGAAAGGTTCAACTTTCAACATATAAATAAGTTACCATAAAGTTCATTTTTTTTTTCAATGTTTGGTAAATCAGTACAATAGTATCACCAATACTTTGTAACTTGGTTTCTTGTAAAAATGAAGAACAAACGAACCAATTATAACCAACCATTGATATATTATACAAGGAAACTATATTTCTAGCTGTCACACCCTAATATAAATATCCATTGTTCTCTGCTTGTTTTCTTCACACTAATTACATGCTTTCATTACTCCACAATATGACAGGATCAATCTTCTCATTGTTGTTTTTCTCTTTGTTCATTATCAGCACTGCAACACTCGAGGCCGGATTTTATCAATCAACTTGCCCATCAGCCGAGGCTATTGTAAGAAGATCAGTATACAGGGCTATAACACAAGATCCTGGTTTAGGAGCAGGCCTTATTAGAATGCATTTTCATGACTGCTTTGTCAGGGTAATTAATCCTTTTAGACCGCGTTTCCAATTTAGTAAAGCTCAGTTTTAAACAATAAAAATCAGTTTTAATCGATAAAAATTAACCATGTAACCCAACAAATGAATGATATAAGTACTTTTTTTTTTTCCTATGGTAGGGTTGTGATGCATCTATACTACTAGATTCGACATTGAGTAATCCCTCAGAAAAGGAGAACCAAGCAAATGGTCCAAGCCTAAGAGGTTACGAGGTGATTGATGAAGCGAAAGCAGAACTTGAGTTTAACTGCCCTGGGACAGTCTCATGTGCAGACATCCTAGCATTTGCAGCACGAGATTCTGTGCTAAAGCTCGGAGGGATCAGCTACCAAGTCCCAGCAGGCAGGAGAGACGGCAGAGTATCCATCAAAGACGAACCAACACAAAATCTCCCATCACCTAACTCGACTGTTGAACAACTTCAACAAATGTTTGCTACAAAAGGCCTTACCTTACAAGAAATGGTTGCACTTTCTGGTGCACATTCAATTGGTCGTGTAACGCGATGTTCTGTATTTTCTCACAGACTGCACACGTTCAATGCTACTCATGTACAAGATCCTGCAATGGACTTAAATTTTGCTAGTGAAATGAAAAACAATTGTCCTTCCATTACTAGTGCAGGTGGAGTTAGTGACAATGTTGAAGTCCCACTAGATGGTTTTACGCCGAGTAGGCTGGATAACAGGTATTTCAGGAACTTGGAGACAGGACGAGGTTTGTTGGCTTCTGATCAAGCTCTAATGTATAATCCTCGGACTGCATCGATGGTTAGAATGTTTGCTAAGTATGGGAGGGTTTGGATGACGGAGTTTGTTAATGCTATGACTCGTATGGGTTCGATTGAGGTCTTGACTGGTACACAAGGTGAAATCAGAAGAAACTGTAAACTTGTTAATCTGTAAATATTGTATGATGCTTAATGCTAGGGATAATGATTATGTTCTAAGCAATTGATTATAAGTTGCATGATTATTGAAATTGTAAAATACTTCTTCCGTTTTTTTTAATTGCACCATCTAATGATACGAGTAGTCGAGTATCATAGAATGAACCAAGTCTAAGAAAATGGCCTAAGAATTGTTCATTGGGCACTGGGCAGCATAAGATAATTATTTCCCACAAGTTTATAGTAAGATTGCTCTAGTTTTGGATAAAAAATATTTTTGTTCATAATTTACCAATCTAAAGATCTTCTTTGGCTGGGACTAACTAGGAAGGTCATTGGAATTCGAAGATTTTCAAACCTACCATGATCAATAATATTTGCAATTGTAAAAAAGTGGTACATCATTGGAATTCGAAGATTTTCAAACCTACCATGATCAATTTGATTTGACTTACTAAAACACGATGAAGAGCTAAAAATGTTTTTACAAATTACGCAATGAATCACTCAACTCCATTCTATAGATTGTACACAACTTTTTTTTTGAAGCAAAAGCTAAAAAAACAAATTAAATAAATTTTAATTAGCTCTTTACCATGTGAGTGAATAAACTCTTCAAAAGAATAGACCCATCATTTTAAGATAATAATGGTCATTTAAATAATTTATTATAACCAGCAAATTAGAATATACAATTTTCTTTATATATATCAACATAGATGAAATTTTCATTGTCATATTCATTTGAATATTCAAAGTACAAAAAGTTAAAGAAATATGCATGCAGTAATAGAAAAACCAAGTGTCAAACATCACAATAAAGTGTGTTACGAAATAGATTAAATTATTACAGAGTATCATAATTACTTTATTCTTTTTTAATACGACGTTGAAATTTCAAGTTTGCTCATACGTATTTTACTATAAATTTTTCTTCTATAAGTAAATTCATAAACATATTCTTTTACATTTTACGAATCTAGTAAAATTTTTATATGATTATATTTTTTCTAGTATTTAATTACTAAAGACGATTAAACGAGTGAGAATGAGAAGTAATTCCTTTTCTATCAATACAATTTGGGATAAGGAAAATTCTCAAATTCATCAAATCACAGCTAATTCCAGCCAATAATTACAAAAGACGATCAGACCAGTGATACTATGGGCCTGTTCAAATTTACTTAATTTCAGTTCAGCTCCAATCACTTCAGTTCAGTTCAACTCATAATTTCTCTCTCTCATAAAATATTCATTTCAGCTCAGCTCAGTTCAGTTTAGTTCAGCTCCAATCAGTTCAGTTCAATTCAGCTCCAATCAGTTCAGTTTAATAAATATAAACAGACCCACATGGGTGAATAATTGAATCAGAAGTACTTCCTTTCCTATCAATACAATTTCCGATAGTTAAATTCTTAAATTCATCAAATAACAGATGATTCCCGCCAATAACTTTCACTCCTCCCGCCTTTTACCACATCCATTTTAATTAAAAAAATAAAAATAAAATAAATAAACAATAACGACGTCGTTTTATCACCGCCACATTACCCTATTACAAAATTGTCTAGAATACCCAAAATAGCCCTCATACACAAGATCTCATTCACTCAGTTAAGGGGCAATTCAGTAAATTCAGATCTCCAAAACGGTGGCAAATCCCGTAATTTTCCTCAATTTTAAACCCTATTTGATAAACCAACATCTCCATCTATAAATACCCTTTTTTCACAACATTTCTTGCGAAACAAAAAAAACAAAAACATTTTCCTTTCGCATTTTCTCTCTCTTCTTCATAGTTCCACTCACTCTCTTCAATTTATTCATCCCTAATTTCTCATCAATTTCATCAAATTTGATGAATTTGATCTCTCCCTCATCGTATGAAACCCTAAATTTCCATCAATTACTTCATCTTCTTCGATTATTCTGATGATCGAAGAAGAAATAAGTTGAATTTTGTTTAATTGAGCATCTCAATCGCCCCAAAACTCGAAAGAAAACCCTAACCCTAACCCTAACCCTAGCAGCATCAATTTTAAGCGATGTCGACGAATTCATACCAAATCAATTTGGAGAACTTCTCGAAGAGATTGAAGGCTCTCTACTCAAACTGGAAAAGTAATCCAGATTTATGGGGAGAAGCTAAGGCGTTAGCAATTGCAACGCCGCCAGCGTCGGAAGATTTACGATACTTGAAATCTTCGGCGCTTAACATTTGGCTTTTAGGTTATGAGTTTCCTGATACGATTATGGTGTTCACTAGGAAGCAGATTCATTTCCTTTGTAGCCAGAAGAAGGCGTTGTTGCTTGAAGTCGTGAAGAAGGCGGCGAAGGATGCCGAACAAGTTGAAGTGTTGACGTATATAAAGAGGAAAGGCGAAGACGGTTCGTCGCATATGGATACCATTTTGAAGAGTCTGCGCGCGTTAGAGGAGAAGCCCGTGGTTGGGTACTTGTCGAAGGAAGCTCCAGAAGGAGGGTTATTGGAAATGTGGGTTGATAAGCTGAAGAATTCGGGTATGGAGCTGAGTGATGTTACAAACGGGTTGTCGGATTTGTTTGCTGTTAAGGATGCTGGAGAATTGGTGAATGTGAAGAAGGCGGCGTTCTTAACGGCTTCTGTGATGAAGAGTCATGTTGTTCCGAATTTGGAGAAGGTTATCGATGAGGAGAAGAAGCTGGCGCATTCGGCTATGATGGATGAAGCTGAGAAGGTGATTTTGGATCCTAGCAAAATTAAGGTCAAGTTGAAGGCGGAAAATGTGGATATTTGTTACCCTCCGATCATTCAGAGTGGTGGGAAGTTTGATTTGAGGCCGAGTGCCTCGAGTAATGATGAGAATTTGTATTATGAGCCTGCTAGTGTGATTATTTGTGCTGTTGGGTCTAGGTATAATAGCTATTGCTCGAATATAGCGAGGACAATCTTGATTGATGCTAATTCGGATCAGAGTAAGGCATATGAGATTTTGCTTAAGGCGCAAGAAGCAGCCATTGGTGCATTGAAGTCTGGGAATAAAGCTAATGATGTTTATCTTGCTGCTCTTGCTGTAGTCGAGAAAGAGGACCCGGGATTGGTGGCGAATTTGACTAAATCAGCGGGTACTGGTATTGGCCTTGAATTCAGGGAGTCGGGGCTGAACTTGAACGCTAAAAATGAGAAGGAGTTGAAGCCAGGGATGGTATTTAATGTTGTCTTAGGATTTCAGAACATGAAGACTCAGGCAAGTAACCCAAAAAGCCAGAACTTTGCCTTGCTTCTAGCTGATACCGTCATTGTTGGGGAGAAGGGCCCAGAAATTACGACTGCATTGAGCTCTAAGGCATTGAAAGATGTTGCTTACTCATTCAATGAGGAAGAGGAAGAGGTTGAGCCACCAAAGGTAATGGGTTTAAAAAGAATTTTACTGTATGTTTACTTTTAATAGTGTGCTGTTATTCTGGTTTGTGGTTAATTCAGTTACACTGTTACTTTCATATCTTCAAACATGTTAATTCTGCTAAATAGCTGCATGCCTTTTGTGTTATTGATGATAAACATGTGTTTTTATGGTTAATTTAAGAACATGATTTAAAGATTTATGTTGTAAAAAGTTGATAAATTAGATAGTGAAATGTTTGTGTATTGGAGTAAGTTGCTTATGGAAATATAAGATGTACTGAAAAAGAATAATTTCCATTAATTTAGCCTTAAAGAAATTGGTAATGATTATATGTCTATTTATGTTGAATTTCTGTGTGAGGAGATCTGTACGTGATCTTCAAGAGGTTCGTTTTTGAACGAGAATCTTATCATATAATTAGAGTTTGAATATGTGATTGATTGCTCCTCCCCAATTTGTACCTCGGTGAAGTGATTATTATTGTGATGTTTATAAGAGATTTTTTTGGCTTCGTTAAATTGTCTGATTAGGTAATGCCTGAGCCTTGCTCTGGTTTCTTGTTGACGTGTGCAAAAAATTTGACATGGATAAGAAAATCTCTAATATTATATACATTTGGAATTTGATCTATAGTTGAATTAAGTTTTTAATCAAATTTCACTTTTCCATTTCACCAACAAACATAATTTCACTTTCAACTGATGACCATAAATTGGTTGGAGAATGAAAAACCTGTAACTGCTCATAAAGTGGAATTACGGATGCTAGGAAATTGGAGGAGAAAAATTAAAGTGGGAAGATTACCTTCACTAATTCAAAGAGATGGAATAGCCAAGAGAAAGAATAGAAGAAAAAATGAGGAAGGGAATAAGAGTCATCAGATAACTTTTATCTACTATCTGAAAGTTGTAGAGTTATAGTGGACATTAGACAGCCAGACAACCTTTATTTTCCTGGGAAATGTGGAAAGGAGCTTTGCAGTTGCCAAATTTTTGTTTTTCAGGTTGGAAACCAAAGCATTAATTAAAGCTGTAAAATGGGAAAAGAAATAAGTTTATGTGAGTTGGGTCTGGAAATTGGATTAACGTTGGGAGGGAAGCCTGAAACAATGGAGACCAATATATTTGACATTTGAACTTGCTTTCTATCACACTTTATAAGTTTCTGTATAGTCATTCATTGCTGCCTTTTATGGTAACTTCATTTAGCTGCACTTTGCTTTTTTTGTTCACTAAATGCATCACTCATGACTTTCTGGGAACATAATTTTTTGATGTTGGTCATTGTTTTTTGAAATGATGAGCCACTTCAGAGTATAACTTATAGTGATTGTGATAATGGCTAGGCTTTTTGTGGAAAGGTATCTTAGATGCTGCTCATCATGTTGTATGTTTCTATTGCATGTTTTACACACATTCAGTTCTGCCGTTCGTTGCTTACTAAAATTTAAATTAAGGTGCTATATACATGACCAGTAAGCTGAATATGTGGCTACTTTGTACAAACAGTTTATATGTGATCCCTTTATCTGTGATTTCTTCTTACTTTATTGCCTTGCCGTTTTTTTGTCTTCCACAGGCAAAGCGCAAGGTCAATGAGGCTGAAGCTGTTCCTACAAAAACTACTCTAAGGTCGGATCATGGGGAGATTAACAGAGAAGAGCTTAGGAGGCAGCATCAAGCTGAACTTGCTCGTCAAAAGAATGAAGAAACTGCTCGGCGACTTGCTGGTGGTGGTGCAGGGGCAGGAGATAATCGCTCTTCGTCAAGATCTTCAACAGAGCTGGTAGCTTACAAGAATGTAAATGATCTTCCACATGCAAGGGGTGAAATGATGATTCAGGTTGACCAGAAGAATGAGGCTATTTTACTGCCCATCTATGGAAGCATGGTCCCTTTCCACATTGCCACTGTGAAGACCATCACCAGTCAGTCAGACACCAATCGCAATTGTTATGTCAGGATAATTTTCAATGTTCCAGGCACACCTTTTAGTCCACATGATGCTAATTCTTTGAAGAATCAGGGGGCAATATTTGTGAAGGAAGTTTCCTTCCGCTCAAAAGATCCCAGGCATGTGAATGAGGTGGTTGCGCAGATAAAGACACTCAGGCGGCAGGTTGCTGCTAGGGAGTCTGAAAGGGCTGAGAGGGCAACCTTGGTTACTCAGGAAAAACTTATAATTGCTCAAAACAGATCCAAGCCAATGAGACTGTCTGATCTATGGGTACGTCCTGCTTTTAGTGGGCGGGGAAGAAAGCTGCCTGGTACTCTAGAAGCACATGTGAATGGATTTCGGTTTTCTACCTCCAGGTCAGATGAGCGTGTTGATATCATGTTTGCTAATATCAAGCATGCTTTCTTCCAGCCTGCAGAAAATGAGATGATTACTCTTCTTCATTTCCACCTTCACAATCATATAATGGTGGGTAACAAAAAGACCAAGGATGTGCAGTTTTATGTTGAAGTGATGGAAGTGGTCCAGACCCTGGGTGGTGGGAGACGATCTGCCTATGATCCTGATGAGATTGAAGAAGAGCAGCGAGAAAGAGACAGGAAGAACAAAATCAACATGGATTTTCAAAATTTTGTCACCAGGGTAAATGAACTTTGGGGAATGCCTCAGTTTAAAGATCTTGACCTGGAGTTTGATATGCCTTTGAGGGAGCTTGGATTCCATGGTGTACCGTACAAGGCTTCTGCTTTCATTGTCCCCACTTCCAGCTGTCTTGTTGAGCTGATTGAAACACCCTTCCTTGTGATCACCCTGAGTGAGATTGAGATTGTGAATCTGGAGAGAGTAGGCTTTGGGCAGAAGAATTTCGACATGACAATCATATTCAAGGATTTTAAGAAAGATGTGTTCCGAATTGATTCTATCCCCACCAGTTCTTTGGAAAGTATCAAAGAATGGCTAGATACCACTGATATTAAATATTATGAGAGCAGATTGAATCTGCATTGGCGTGCCATTCTGAAGACTATCACTGATGACCCAAAGAAATTTATAGAAGATGGAGGGTGGGAATTCTTGAACATGGATGCAAGTGATTCTGAAACCGACGAGTCAGAGTCAGATAAAGGCTATGAGCCATCTGATGTGGAGGCTGAGTCAGAGTCAGAAGATGAAGCCTCTGACAGTGAATCTTTGGTGGAGTCTGATGAGGATGAAGAGGAAGAGGATGAAGAAGAAGAGGAGGAAGAGGAAGGCTTGACTTGGGAAGAGCTAGAGAGAGAAGCTAGCAATGCAGACCGTGAGAGAGGAGATGAATCTGACAGCGAGGAAGAGAGACGTAAAAGGAAGATGAAGGCAACTTTTGGGAAATCCCGTCCTGGCCCTAGCAGCAGCAGCAGCTTGCCTAAGCGTCCCAAGGGTAGGAGGTAGATGGGTTTGGCACTGATCCATTAGCTTGGTAAGTTCAGTTTTGTGGTCAGCTGATATGGGTTCTAGATAGGTTCTTTTGGTTTGTGTTTTTCTAGATATGGGGTACTTTTTCATTGCTTTTGTTCTTGTTATGTTTTTTGCACTGGGCATTGTATAACGTTCATCCTAGAAATGAAAGAATTTTCACATGTAAAATGGTGATTTTATTTGTTGGACTCAAGTACCTCTCTTATCTAGCATAATTCTCTCAATTTGTTGGTATCGTCCCTCTTTTTTGCAAGTTGATATCTATCATGTATTTTCCTCTCGCATCGACGCATCCTGTAGACCTGTATTACAGGTATCAAAAGCAAATTGGTAAAAATTCTTTCAAAAGTTTATGTGCATATTGCATTGTTTTGTAAACACTTGTTGCAATGAATGTAACAACTGCTGAGATTCTCATATCTTAGTAGTGTGAAACAGAGCTAGTTTGTTGATGCCACGCTGATGAAGTTAGAGGCCCGATGAAAGTTTAGAACAAGTTCTTCCTAATTCAGGAGGTCCAAACAAGTTCCTCAAGGTTTTTAAGACATGGGTGGTATTGTGCAAAGGGATTTGCGTTGTGATCCATTCGAAGAAGTGAAAATTGGCAAATTTGTAGATTTGAAAATGAGAGTGATTGTGTTTCTTAATCTGATCTACTCCGTAGAATATTAATTGAATGCTGAATTTGCCTGTTTTTTTCGGTAGAACTGAATTGGAATGTATACCAACGAATCGACCATGAATAGAACTAGAGTGAAGCTTGTATAAACAGGTTGAAACTTGAAAGTAATACTCTGCTTTAAGATTTAAGATTTAGGTTCAACGTTTTGAATTAAATATTATTCATATACGGAGTACTAATTTGACAATCTTTTGTCAAACTCATTGATCAATTAGGACATCCTCTTCAATTCACACTATTTGTTCTGTTGATATTTCTTATGTCAAGCTAATAAGGTGTATTTTAATTATTTGTGATGAGGTCACTAAGGGCAAAGGCACAAAAATATAGGTTCCACCAATTCCAAATTTATTTTTATCATTATCTTTTTTAGAAGTCTAAAGGGGCCAAAGGGCCACTTAGGCACTTATCCATTTCAAACATTTTGGTGCCCTTTGGCTCTTCGCTAATTGTCCAATTTTAAAGATATACTCCTATATATATTTAAGATAATTGGTGAAAAACTGCGTGAACCAAAAAAAAAAAAATAAAGAGGAAAGAAAAGATGAAATGTCAAAAAGAACCCAAAAAAAAAAAAAAAAAAAAAATTCAATAGTTGATACGAGTACTATTTATGTGTGTGTATAGTACTCCGTATTATTGATGACTACTATTGTAAATTTTACTAAAATTGAATCACAACTTTTTGAGAAGCCGTTGAATTGAAACCAAGTACTCCGTATTTTGGATTATTATTGCATCACATGTAAGTATAATGTAGGATGGTAGACGAGTTCGTAATGATTTTAAATATTGTTCATAATCCAAAGTAAGCATTTGGACCAAAAAATAGTGTTTATACCTCCAAATGTTAAGATATAAATTAGTACAAGGTCCTGTTCATTTTATCTTATTTTTTTGTTGAAATGAAATTATTTTTTTACTGATTTTCTAATATATATATTTTTTTTAAATTACTGAATTATTTTTGTTAAATTGAAACTGTGACTTATTTTCTATTATATTTCTTCTTTTAAAGTTACTAAATTTCACTTAACTGAACTTATTTTTACTAAACTGAAATTATTTTTACTTAATATTTTTTTTTAAGATGGAGTGAACAATGTCCAAGTGCATCAAAACAATTTCAATTTACTACCTCCAATTCATATCATTTAAAAACCTTAAAATATTATAAATTTCACAAATAGTTCCCAAAATTACAAATACGGAACAAGTCCTAGTTCACTTCATTTTACCAAAAAAAAAAAAAAAATCAGTAAAAATAATTTCAGTTCGGTAATATTAATTTTAGTTCAGTAAAAATCAATAAATTTAAAGCAAAAATACAATAGATTATCAGTAAAAATAATTTCAGTTCAGCAAAAAAAATTTATATTCAATAAAATTAATTTTATTTCGTTAGAAATAATTTAATTTCAGGAAAAATAGAGAAAGTGAACGGGGCCTAATAAAAACCAAAAAAAATAAAATCATGGCCGGTGTCGTTCTCCCTTAAAAAGTCACGTTCCAAAAGTCTCCCTATCTTCTTCCTAATCTCTCTCCTCTCTTCTGGGCAAACTCCCTCTTCGAAGTTCAAAGCGGCAGTCTCAACAAACTCACCAAACTTGGTACTCAACCCCTATCTCTATGTTCGATTCCATACCACCGACCCCAGATTTCGCGCTCTTTCTCTCTCCTCTTCACATGACTTCTTGTTAAGATTCAATCAATTTTCCAATTTTACTGGAGATTGAATGAATTATTGCTGATTATTGAAGAGCAAGAACAAGATTAAGCAAACAATTTCTCTCTTTTTTTCCGCTTTAATTCGGTATGCAATCATTCTAATTGCTTAAAATTTCATTCATTCATACTTTATTTTGCTTAATTTATTGTACTCAATTGGGAATTTTTTGAATTTCAGTGATTCATCGCTTGCTTGAACCCTAATTTAGTTGTTTTGGAGGGTTTTTGGGCTTGATTTGTTTTCTTGTATATTAAGTTGGGAAAACCCGTCTGAAAACCCTAGAAATTTAGATGGAAAAGGATAGGATAATTACTGTATCAGAAGCAGTTCATAAGCTGCAGCTTGCACTTCTTGATGGTATTGAAGATGATGGTCAGCTTTTTGCTGCTGGGCCTTTGATGTCTAGGAGTGATTATGGTGATGTAGTGACTGAGCGTACGATTGCCAATCTATGTGGTTATCCATTGTGCCCGAATTCTTTGCCTGCTGAACACCCGAAAAAGGGGCAGTATCGCATTTCGATTAAGGAGCACCGGGTGTATGATCTTCATGAGACCTATTTGTATTGCTGTTCTAGTTGTTTGATCAATAGTAAGGCATTTGCGGGGAGTTTAAATGAGGAGAGATGCTCGATTTTGAACCCGGCTAAGGTTAATGAGATATTGAGTTTGTTTAAGAGTGGGGGTTTGGAAAATGAGGAAGAGGAGGGCAAGGGGGAGAATGGGGATTTGGGGTTGTCGAAATTGATGATCAAGGAGAATGTTGAGACGAAAGGAGGGGAAGTTTCGATGGAGGAATGGGTTGGTCCGTCGAATGCAATTGAAGGGTATGTTCCACACAGAGATCGTCTCTCCAACTCATCAGGGTCAGAAGCTTTTGCAAAAGGTGAGAAAATATCGTCTTAGCTTTTGCACATTGATTATGTTCTTATTTTTGTGGAATTTGGATCATGGTTGTGCATTTCAATTGTTCTTTTTGTTGAATGGTTGCACATTTCAGGATCTGAACCAGGTGATGCCAAGTTGAATAAGCACAGTGATGCCATTTCAAATGGGTCTGACTTCGAGGTTACTGTTATTAAATCCATTGATGGCTCAACTGGTTCTACAGAAATTCTGAAAAATGACAAGAATTTTCAGCCCAATCAATCAGAAACAATGGAACCTTTGCTAGGTGATTTAAACTTCACCAGTATGATTATAACTAATGATGAGTTTACTGCTCCTAAGAAGTTAGAAGGTGGCTCCAAGTCAGTGCAGTCAGAAGCCAAAAAAGGTATTATTGGCATGTGTGGCTTTAAAATTGAATGCTTTATTCATCAATACCATGGATAATCTATTTGATTTTTTTTTTTTAACTCTTCTGTGTAAATTAGTTCCATTTAGTCTGAACTGAGCTTGAGTTTACTACAGGCTCAGTAGCAAAGAAGTCTCTCTCGACAAAGGGCAAAGATTCATTTTTTGGCAGTGTAGACTTTACGAGCACCATCATTACCCAAGATGAATACAGTGTCTCCAAATTGCCTTCCAGTCAAGTCAAATCTGATCTGAATCAAATGTCCCGAGAATTCTCTGAAAAACTGGATCTTGATAATCTAAGTAAGGAGTCCGCTTCTCCTGGGGACAATGATCTACGGAGATCTATGGATTCAGCTTTAATTGGGGCTGGAAATAATTTAGATCAGAATGCAAGCTTAGCCGAAGTATATGTTCACCAAGATCAGAATGGTTCCGCTTCATGTAGCACTCATGTAAAAGATGAATCTCATTCTGAGAAAGTTGTTCACTCTAGTTTATCAAAAGGAAAATCTGCTCTTAGAACTTCTGGGGTAAAGAAACTTGCACGCTCTGTAACTTGGGCTGACGAGAAACCCAATGGTCTTTCCATTGGAAATCTCTGTGAGTTTAGAGAATTTAATAACGCAAAAGAAGGTCCAAGTACTTCAAGAAGCGAAGAGGCAGAGGAAGAGGATGATTCCCAGCGATTTACCTCTGCTGAAGCTTGTGCGATGGCATTGATCCAGGCAGCAGAAGCTGTTGCATCTGGGCAATCTGATGCCGATGATGCTGGTATAATCTGCTTTCCGTGAGGCTGTTCATTTGAGAACATTGTTTGTGTGCAAAAGCCTAGTTGCACTAATTTTCTTTTATGTTGGTTGTTTCACTTCAGTTTCTGAGGCTGGAATCGTAGTGTTGCCACCGCCAAAAACAGCAGATGAAGGGCAACATTCTGTAAGAGATGATGCATTAGAGAACTTAGCTACTGAAAAGTTGCCCAAGACACCAGGCAACTTGAATCGTGTCTTTGACTCTGATAACTCATGGTTTGATACTTCTCCGGAAGGATTCAGCTTGACAGTAAGTTTTAATAATGTTACAGCTTGTTTGGTAAGTGGTTATTAATGGTGGTAAATGGTAATGAGATTGAATTTGTATATTACTGAGTAATCCAATGTCCATTGTCATGGTAATGCTAGTTCACCCCGATTATATAAATTTCTTCGCAAATTTTCATAACCATCCACCCATGTGGGGTGATATTGGGTGGAATTGAACAATAATGAAGAAAAACGCATGTTTGGGGATAAGCTTGCATTTTTATGTACATACTACCTCCGTTTCATATTATTTGCAACGATTTGATATAAAGTGTGAGTAGAAAGTGTCTAATTATTGCAAATAATGTGAAACGGAGGTAGTATATTGCTTTGTCAAATTACACTCTATTTCATTTCCACTACCGCTATTTTTAACTGGCTACCAAAAGTGCTGTTAATACTTACTGCAGTGCACTTGTTCACTTTTATGTGCTCCTCTAAGCATTGTTTGGATCTTCAGTTGTCACCGTTTGCCTTGATGTGGGATGCTCTATTTTCTTGGCTGACATCATCCTCACTGGCTTATATATATGGAAGAGATGAGAGTGTTCATGAAGAATATATGTTTACAAATGGAAGAGAATATCCCAGCAAAATAGTGCTTCCTGATGGCCGTTCTCCAGAAATCAAGCAAACATTATCTGGTTGTCTTGCACGAGCTTTGCCTGGATTGATTGCTGATCTAAAATTGCCAACACCATTATCTACTCTGGAACGTGAAGTGGTACTGAGCTCTAATTATCTGGGTTTTTTTTTTTTTTTTTTTTTTTTTTTTTGTAGCCCTGCTTTGGTTATAGAATGAAAATTATATATGCCAATTGCATGACTGTTTACTTTGTTTGGGCATTGTGGGCATGTCTATTGCTGGATATGGTATTTTGATATTGAACTCTTGGTATTAATTGCTTGGGCTACCTCTCTTTCCCTACCAATCAGTGATTAGTTGTGTTAATGCATTGACTCAGATCGTGCTATTTTTAAATTCTATTAATCGCTGCATGATTTTTGCTCAGAACACTTTTTGCTGTCATTTCTTGTATCTACTTTTGTAATGGTGGATTTTACCAGTTCTAGTTTTTTGTTGATTGATTTATCCTGTTCTTTGTACTGTTCCCCCCCCCCCCCCCCTCCCTTTTGGTCATTTTCTAATTGTATAAAGCGGCTCTGGCTGTTTTTTAATATGCTCCTTTATATCATTTTCTTCTTCCTCTTCTCTTTTTGGCAAGAGGTTGCTATTTATTCGGTCCTTTGTGCTGTTTGCCTGTTTCCAAATCTTTGAGGTCGGTGTTCACTTGTAAGCTTGTTTGTATGCAGACCTGCTTGCTGGAAACGATGTCTTTTATGGATGCACTTCCTCCGCTTAGAATGAAGCAATGGCAAGTAATTGCTCTTCTATTCATTGATGCTCTTTCTGTCTGTAGGATTCCTGGACTATCTGCATACTTGACTAGCAGGAGGATTCTAATTCCCAAGGTAAGTTTTTTGCTTATTAGTTTCTGATTCTTAGTCCATGTCCTTTTGTTTGCACCCTTTGTTCTTTGTTGAAGCTTAGTTGGTGATATCTCTGCATTTCCAAATGAAGTTAAAAGTCTATTTTTTTGGCCATTTTCTGAGTTTGATATTAAATAATGAAATATCTCATAAATTGTCATAATGCCCTCTACTTGTGATTAGTTGTTTCCCTTTTTTTTTTTCTTTGATAATTTTTGTTCCATTTTTTTTTTATATATATACGATTGCTTGATCTAATTATGCGTTCTTTTGCTGTGCTTCTTTCTCCATAACTCCCATTTTAGTCTGTTAAGTATCTTTCCACAAATTGTAACTTTTGTGAAAAGTCAAGTTGAACCAAGGACCAAGGCTATAAATTCTAGAATAGAAGGTGGTTGTAGATTATTTGACTGATTTCCAGTAAGGATAGCTGCGTTGCCGTCCCAGGGAAAAATGATTTACATTTTACCTACATTAACCTACTCTAAGGAGGAGGTCGGGAGCTTTGTTATTAGATATTTATATTCTCCATTGGAGATGACCTGCACTCCATTGGAGATATTTAAGTGCTGTGATTACCTGGTAAGGGCTGCACATACAAATCACAAGTGTGTGGGCTTTTACGAAGGAGAAAAAAAAATAGAAATTACATTGATCTTAGTCTTTGTGAACGATCTTGTTGGTTTTTCAGATCGAAGAGTACATTGAAAACCTTGTATTTACAAATCAAGCCATCAACTAATGAGAGGCTAGGTGGAACTTTTGGTCACGTCACTTGGATAATTATCAGTCTCACTGAGGTAGTTTCATTGGCTTTTGATGGCTTGATGGTTGCCAGAAGAGGACATGGGAGATATAGTGTGTAGATATTGTCCTTTGAAGTTGAAGAAGAATCTGAGTAGATAGGGATGGAGAGAGAGAGGACCATGCAAAGTAGTAGGTGAACTAAAAGGGAAGTGGGTCACATTAACAGTGTGCAGCTGAATAATTTTTTCATCTCATTTGTATGATGGCTACTGGCTATGGTTTGAGAACAATAGACTTCAAGCCTTAAAGACTTTAAGAGTATTGTATATTTGTATCCAACAACCCATTGTTATGTATTGAACTAATGTTGGCACTGAATCGTTGTTTAGCCGATAGGTTCTTGCTTAGACTTGTAACTAGTAGCTGATGTTACATCGGGGTTCTCTTAAGTAACTGTTTTGGTATTTTGGTTAGGTGCCACTGATTTGAAGTACATACTGTCGCTTAGATGTGCATTTGGTTGACAAGAACAGTGTTAGAATTCTTCTATAGTTCTATGAGAGTATGAGCATGACTTTGCTAGTTGGTTGACAATCTAGAACAAGGAATTTGGGGTAATAATGCTAATATTATTGGCAGACTTAAAGGTACAGATGAACAAAGCTATTATATACGATATGGAGATCAGGAGATCAATTGTATTAGGGACAGGTATGGGTACAGACGTACAGTATACCATCAATGAAGGGTGCTTGTTGGCCCTCTTGAATAATTTATAGCTAAGGTGTTGCTAAGGAATCGGGACTAGATGTTTAGACTTGTGTGTGGAAGTGACAGTAAGAAATTAAGGGTTGGACAAGGAGATACAGTTGATGGATGTACTAGTTATCATGGCCCTTGAATATGTATATGGCTTATGTTGCTAGAAGTACAATCGCATTAAATTACTTGACTGTAAAGGAAAGAAATCTGTATGGAAACATCTACTTACCTGAGTGATTTAGTGGAAGTACAGTTGGGAAAAATAAGGGGTATGTAGCGAAAACCTGTGCACGTACTACAGAGTGTTTATGTAAGGTCATTTGAGCGATCCCTAGCATTTGATACTCAATGATTTAGAGAGGGAGAGAGGATTTGGGGGGGGGGGTGATGTGTCATTCACAGTGATGTAAGAATATCTCCGCCCTGGTGCAGCTGCTAACATCTTGTTGCTGAGGGGTTTCCATGTGTCAAACCCACATGCATTGCAGAGTGTCAGCTAGACATGGTGACATACGAGGTTTAAGTGTAGAATCTGTAGGTTCTTATACTTGCATACAGTTGAGGTAGTTTAGTTGTGTAATAAGCATTGTTATCAGTTTAGGATGTTAGTGCATTGTTCTTCCATGGTGTAGATTTTACTGATTTCAATATAAATTACTTATTTACTTCGCCATATAGTCCATATTATCTGTTTGAAAAACTATAGTCTTCTGCCCAATATGCTTTCTTTACATTTCTAAGATTCTAACTCCCTGTATGTCATCTGTTCATCTTAAAGAGTTTAGAGTTTTATGAAGTGAATGTAGACTCTGATTTTTTTTCTTTATTATTATTTATTTTTTCTTCCTATTTTGTATGTTGGGATTTCATGGTCTCTGACCATGTTTGGCCATTGTGGAGTGTTCGAGTTTGAGTGGCCATTATTTAATTGGTTATGTCCATGTCATTTGCCTTTGAGAAGAATAGCTAACATTCAAAATTTTCTAACATTTATTTGGAACTTAGTCTCCTAGGACATATGAACATGTATAAAGTTGGCTATGTTTGGATGTTGCCTCTGTAGGTCTTAAGTAGTGCCCAGATAAGTGCTGAAGAGTACGAGATCATGAAAGATTTTGTGATTCCGCTGGGTCGTGTGCCTCAATTCTCAATGCAGAGCGGTGGTTGATAAACTGTACTTACACCAGCTTCGACATGTATGTTGCTGCCTCCTACCTGCTCACTAGTGCTGATCGACTACATCGTTCCATTTGATTTCTTTTCGTTGCAACAAATTCTTTATGCCTACAAAATCCTAAAAGGGGGATTCTTTCTTTCTTTTTTCTTTTCTTTTTTTCCAGGATGGTATCAATAGTACTTTTTTTGGTTTTTAATGCTCCTTGGAGCAACCATATCCCTTATTCACGTTAATTCCGTCCCAGAGATGTGCAAAATCATCCTTTCTTATGGCTTTTCCACTGAATATTTGAAAAAAAACAAACAAACAAACAAACATTTATGTATGTCAAGATTTTAAAGATGTCCAAGATTGGATTTTTTTTTTTTGCCCAACTCTCAGATGGAGATGGATTTATCATCCCTTACATTGCCCTGGGACAGTTTTGGCCAAAAGTTATAAGATGTATGATGTAAAAGCTACAGAGTACTCAGTAATTTTTGTTTTATATGATGCCAAAATTATTTGTATCAGTAAATGTCTGTACAGAACAGTTTGTTAAATTTGAACAGGAGCTTTGTTCTTGAAATTGTGATCAGTGAGTTGAAGAGTCGAACTTTGCTTAAGCCGGACAATCATAGTAGGACAAATGGAGTAATCATCTACAGATTTGAAGTGTTGAATTTGAATGATAGAATAAGGAAATACAGCAAGTGGGGTCCATCTGAGTGTAAATTAATAGTGTTATTAGTAAGGCAATTATAGATGAATATTTGACTATTCAGTAGCAGAACACAGAAGACATGACAGCACAGCTCTTTCTATTTGTTGCTTTCCTATTTTTAATCTATTAATTAATTTAAATTATTATTTTAGTATGTCATTTTCCTTGATTTCATGATTTTCTCTGTTTTTTGTTTTCGTCTTATCCACCATTTTTCATCCTCTGAAAAATTTTGTCTTCCTTTTTTTTAGAATTTTTTATTTTTTATTTTTTTTTTATTTTATGTGGTCTGTATGAAAGATGAATTCTTTTCTTTCGGTAAGAGCAACGTCATGATTGTTACATAGTAAAGTAAATTAAGAAATTTATTGTACGGAGTATATTAGGATTAAAAGTCTTATCTCCATTAAAGTGATTTTACATCGCATGAAAACAACTGCCAAATTGTGTAAAAACATTTAAGCAGTGTATGTGGTTTTTGGGCAGATTTTGAAAAACTCGTATTTACCAAACTTTTTATGTTGAAACTTGAAGGATGGCTTGGTCTAGTTGTTGAGTTTATTGTTTCATAATCGGATTTAAATCAATACAAGTAAAATTGGGGTAGGCATGAAGATCAAGCATGCTAGACACGAACACGATAAGTTACGGAGTTAGGGTTGGGTCTAGGTTGCCCTTTTAAAATTGTGACACGACATACGTGTAGCTATTGACCTAGAGCTGGTCAACATTAATGTACGATGTCTTGACAAAAATAGATAGCCTACACCCGAAAATAATTATAAGCATGTTATTTGGACATCAACGCGTAACACACTACTTGCCAATTGCCAATGAATTCCATCAATTAGTTCAATTTGTGAGCTACATTTTCCATGTCATTCTAGCTAACTCATTGATTCTCATGATAAAAAAAATTAAATGGTTGTTGAATCGAATTGAAGTATATTTGCTAATAAACCTGTACTTTAGATGTCCTTTTCAATTAAAAATGTATTTTAAATAATGTGAAAATAAATTAATATATGGGTAGATAATATTGTTCTTGACGTTTGAGGTTGAGCATTAAATCTTGTTGGAATATGTCTGTGGGTGTAGATTAATTGGTCAAATATTATTAAGCAATTATTGGTTAGTTAGCCTTATTACCTTTTTAGTGTCTCCTTCGTTTTAGATTGAGAGAAAGAAATTGTCCAAATAAGCCCAACTAGAAGATTCATAGAGTAGGCAGCTGATTCTTTGGACAATTTTTGCATCTTCACCTAAAATTCTACTTTTAATTTATGAGAAGCTTTGATTTTAATCATTAATTCAGCTCATACACAATTATTGTTTGGAAACATCACCCAATGAGGACAGCAAATGTCAATGACTATATGATACAACTATGTGTTGTACCATGGTAGGAATTGTATCAAGTGATCCATCTATCAACCTATAACTTTTGTCAAATGCGACCAATTGACTATATATAGGTTTTTGATTGATACATATTTCATTATCTAAGCTACTTGGATAAAACGTGGACATCAACTAGCTTAATTAAAAGGGATTAGCAAGACATGTAATCAAATCTCGTCGTACACTCGCTACTTTTTGTGATTTAATATATGTATGACACAGTGGATTATAGTGAAAAGAAAAAAAGAATTATGATTTTGCAAGACTTTAATATAATACAACAGATTGCAAATTGGCTAGACTATATTCATAATGGGAAAATGAACAAAAAGAAAAAAGAGATTCAAACATCATACTGTACTACAATATACTTATGATACATTCATACAATGATAATCCAAAGAAGATGCCTTCATATTTGATACTTGGAGCTCTAAAAGTGACAGCAGTAATAATAATTGGTACCACAATATTCTGAGATCCTAATACTTCTTTAATCACCAAGAAGCTTATGCATAATCATTACTTCACACTTACCTTGTCCCCCAACCTAAGATAAAGAATGCTTGAAAGCAGGATACCCAAAGCATATACCCCTTTCCACTAGACTACAAATTTAGTAATTTTCACTTTTAATTTTTAAGATCTTAACAATTGCAACGCTGGTGAAGAAATATTATTTAATATTCTGATTATTTATGTATTGAGTTGAACTAAATTGATTGGAGCTGAATTGAGCTGAAATGAATTGTTTATGAGAGAAAAAAATTAAAAATTGAACTAAAATTAAGTTGAAGAAAACATGTCGTTAGTTGGAACACTTGTTAGATATTTTTAAATTTATTGCAATTTTTTTGTGAGTACAATTACAGAAATTACAGAGTTAATTTTTTAAGGATCTTGTTAACGAGCATTCCGAAGCGTTAAATAACTAATTAAAATATTGCTTAAAATAGAATTGTTATGAATGCATGACAAAATCATGCGTCATTTGGTGTAATTGATGTTAGTTTTTTTCCAATAATATTTCCAGTTTTAGTACTCTTATCGAACGTCTCGGGACACTCGTTAGGTTTTGCCATTTTTTAAAAGTTTTATCGAAAGATATTTTAATGTTAGTTGTATAAAACTATAAATAATTAGTATATTATTAAAATAATAATAATAATAATAACCATAAGGCATATAATATTTTAAAAAATAATGACAAATTGAGACAACAACTAATTTCCTGTTGCAAATTGGAAACCAATAAATGAATGATAGAAAATTATGTTAGGTTTGTAATAAAAAAAATTAAAAATGTGTAAATAATTGGTTTTATCATGGATATGAGGAAAGTGGGTGCCCATCTCAATTGTCATCATATTGGCGCCAATCTTTTCCCATCCACACACTGAAAATCTCTGACTTCCTAATTTATTTTTTACTACCAGTATTTTATTTTTAGCACAAATTTTAAATGTTTGAACGGTCCTTAAAATATAAATAAAATAATTACAATCTTAGTAACGACACCCTTGACAAATAACATTAGCCAATCCATTCTGTAGTTATCATTACCGTCTATAAAGCTATATACAATATTGATTATTGATACTTAAACAAAATTATTTAATAAAATAAGTAAATTAAACTTCTTTTTTTTTCTTATTAAAAATGACATAAAGTAGTAGCTAAAATTTATAATTGTTCATACTAAACTGTTACTATAATTTTTTTTTATTTTATTTTAATTGTTTATTTTTAATTTTATGTAAATAATAAAATTTATAAAAGTAAAACATCTAAAAATAACATTAAGATAAATGTAACAACATTTGATGACATTTAAGTATCAAAGCACAACTTTAATGTAAATGCTAAAAAGTTTGGTTGTTATCCTATATGTCATTTTTTTTTTTTGCATTATTTGACTTTTTATGGTTTTACTGGCATACTTTAGAACATACATAACTCCAATTTCATATGCACTTCGTAAAAACTTGATACTCTGTATTAGTAAATATATGTGACTCATATGACTACATTATCATTGATTAATAAGAATTTTTGGTCAAAATTTTGAAGTTTAACCCATTTATTGCCATTTTTGCCCCAAATAAATGGGGATAGAGGAAGTAAAGAGTTAAGACCGTTTTTTTTTTTTAAAAAAAAAAAAACGAGTTAAGACCAATGTTCAACTTTAAGTAACTATTATTTAGAATATTTTATACGTTTGAAAAAAAAAAAAAAAGCCAATAAATGAATAAATAATTCCTTTATCTTTTCAATGTCAATATTTTTATGCTTTCATCTTTGACTGTCACCCAACCCATTATGACACTAACACAGAAAGAAGGACCCAAAAAATAAATAAAATTAAAAATTAAAATTTGAGGAAAATAACAAAAACACTCAGACACCCTCTTCATCTTTCTCTCTCCTCCGTATGGATCTGTTCTTCCCTTTTTCATTCTCTCTCTAATTTTCTCTCTCCTATTTTTTTTTTGATCCAAACCTCTGTTCCTTTCTTTCTTCTTGGTGTAATCTGCTGTTTTTCGCCTGTAAATTTCGCAATTGATCGGTACTTTGTTTTTCTTTCTTGGATTTTGCTAATTTGTTGTGATTTTACACAAATTTTGTTGCTTTTTCATTTTTAGTGGGTTTCATTTCTAGGGTTTTGATTTTTTCATGCATCATTTTTTCTTGTTTTGTTGATTTATTTGAATCTGTCTTATGTTTTTGATGCTGTGTTTTTTTGGGTTAATCTCTGTGGCTATTATAGACCGATTATTTGTCAATTTTTTTTGAGAATGTTTTTTTTTCATTGGATAGAAATTAAATGAAGTTTGTGGATTTTTGTAAAATTAGACAATGATTTCACTATGGTCAAGCTATGAAATTGTAGTAAGTTGCAATCTTTGATGTTGGTTTTTCTTTTCATCATTTGTTTTGCTAAGTTAATTTTTTTTCAATTAATTAATTTTTCTATATGTTTTGTTAAAAGCATGCTTGTTAAGGATACTCCAAACCAATAATCACAAAAAAAATAAAAATTAAAAAATGATTTAGCTCTTCATTAATTACTTTCTTTTGGTTTTAACAGATTGTAATCCATGTTCAAAGTAAATTTCAGTAGGACCTAAGTGATGATAAAAAGTAGTCATTTTCTTTCTTTGTAATTATTAGTTTGGAGAATGCTTAACAAGCATGATTTTGAGCTGCATATGTGTAAAGTTACTTGAGAAGCTGCATATTTGTAATTAGTGAAAAAATAGAGAATGATTTTACTGGTCTTAGTGAGAGTATAAGAATGATCTGAAGCTTAAACTTGGTAATTGATGCTTGAATTCACCCTTTTTTGTTGTTGTGGTGCTGGTGTGTGTGTTTATGTGTGTCTGTTGTAGCTTAATTGTTATGCATAATTTGGCGATTCTAATGTGAACAAATTTCGTCGATTATTAGGGTTTGTTTTTAGAATCGTATCAGCAATGTTTGAGGTGCCTTTATTTATAATCTAATGGAGAAATGGCTTGTGGCGTTGTATTGTTAAGCTAATTGTGGTTTTATCTTGTATTGGTAGATGATTGAGTGATTGAGTTGAATTAAACGAACGTTGTAAGCAAGTATGGCTTCAGTAGGTGTTGCACCTACTACTGGTATTAGAGACTCTAGTGGTAATGGTGTTGATAAGCTTCCCGAGGAAATGAATGACATGAAAATTAGAGATGATAAGGTGAATGATTGATTCTTTTCTTTCGCGTTTTTTTGTTTTGTTTGTTCTCTTGTTTGTTATTAGTTACTGATAAGTGTTTTTGTATTTTAGGATATGGAACCAACAGTTGTTGATGGCAATGGCACCGAGACCGGGCATATAATAGTGACAACAATCGGCGGGAAGAATGGCCAGCCAAAGCAGGTAGAGTGCTATGTTATAATGCCAATAGGTATATCTGTAGGTTACAAATCAAACATTTAGAAATTAGCTGCTCATCTATTATTATTCTATTGGCTCATTTCAGACTATTAGCTACATGGCAGAGCGTGTTGTTGGACATGGTTCTTTTGGGGTTGTTTTTCAGGTAGACTTTTTGTCCTCGTGACATATGAGATACTGTTGACGGTCTCTTGTCCGTGTAATTAGTTTGCTAATTTGTGTTCTTGTATTCGTGTAGGCAAAGTGCTTAGAAACAGGGGAAACTGTGGCTATAAAAAAGGTTCTTCAGGACAAGAGGTACAAAAATCGCGAGTTGCAGACAATGCGTCTTCTTGACCACCCAAATGTCGTGTCTTTGAAACATTGTTTCTTTTCAACAACGGATAAGGACGAACTGTACCTTAATTTGGTGCTTGAGTATGTTCCGGAAACTGTCCATCGCGTGATCAAGCACTATAATAAAATGAACCAGAGGATGCCTCTGATTTATGTTAAACTATACACTTACCAGGTACCAAATCTAAATAAAAGCTTGTAACTATGTTTATCTTTATCTGCATTGTTCTTCTGTTTTTACTCAATGCTAATTCTTTGGACTTCGCTAAATTCTTTGATAATTGCAGATTTTCAGAGCCTTGTCATACATTCATCGCTCTATTGGTGTTTGTCATCGTGATATTAAGCCTCAAAATCTCCTGGTAAGTTTGCAAGCAATGAAAATTTTGTTTTTTATGTCACTTTCTGAGCTGTTAGTGCTGTTTTTACTTTATGTACACTACACCCTGATTATGGACGACATGCACATCTATACACTCGACGTTTTCATTACATGGTTGCATCCCTGCTTGTCTATAGCCTACGAATTGGATACTTCTGTCAGTGGCTCTTACTGGCTTTATTTGTAATTATATGTAGGTAAATCCTCATACGCACCAGCTGAAGCTTTGTGACTTTGGAAGCGCAAAAGTTCTGGTATGTGGGTAAATTTGTTTAGTCATCCCATTACTTCAGATGTATGTTACCGTTGTGTTATGCCTCATCTAATTACCTTCTCCTCACCTGCAGATAAAAGGCGAGCCTAATATTTCTTATATCTGCTCTAGATACTATAGAGCACCAGAGCTAATATTCGGAGCAACAGAATACACTACAGCTATTGACGTCTGGTCTGCTGGCTGTGTGCTTGCAGAACTGCTTCTTGGACAGGTAGCTTGATACTCTTGCAAGTTTTCTGCCATTTTTACGTAATGGTTGGCACCTTCTATGTGTATGTATATTTATAATCTGTGTTGTATTATTTTTCAGCCTCTATTTCCTGGCGAGAGCGGAGTTGATCAGCTTGTTGAGATTATAAAGGTATAGACAAACTTTTATGGTCACCTCAAAGGGCGGGCTCCCTTGTCACCTATGTTGACTATGGTATTTTAAGTTTTTGTTGTTTCTTGGCTTGCTAAATGTGTCAGTTTTGGGGGAGGGGAATATAGGCATTTTTCTGTCAGTCTTGAAACTTGGTAGTCATTTCCGCTGTGGTGCTTCTTGAATGTCTATTGACAATGCCTGCCTAAAACTTTCTCAGGTGTTGGGCACTCCAACGAGAGAAGAAATCAAGTGTATGAATCCCAACTACACGGAATTCAAATTCCCCCAAATTAAAGCTCATCCATGGCACAAGGTTGAATTCAAGACCAAATTTTGGATCTTCTCTTTTTCTTTTTATTTTTTGATTAAATTGTTTTAATGCTTTTTTTTCAACAGATATTTCACAAACGAATGCCTCCTGAGGCTGTTGACTTGGTTTCTAGGCTCCTACAGTATTCTCCTAATCTCCGATGTTCAGCTGTAAGTGCCATATATAAAAACTTTGTAGTTCATTCATTGGCATTTTCCCTCCTGCATCACTTCAGTAGTATTCTCCAGCAGCCCTGCAGGTCATGCTTTTGTTTGAGTGAGCTATTACAAGTTTATTAAAATTGATGATATATATTCCCTTCATTTTTTTTTATGAATGAATGAGCTTGAGTTTTGCTTGTTAATTGTTTGTGCCAAAGCTGCATGAAAGAAAGAGGATCATGATTTCTAAGTGTTGCTTTCTATTATTCTATGTTTATTTATAAGTCTTGGCACATTACTTAGTAAACGTGTGTTTATTTAGTTTCTTAATTCTTTTAAAGCTTGCTCATACCTCATTCACCAGGTAGCATCTTAATCCCCTCTCTATCAGTGACTGATGTGCTCCTGATATCCTAAAGTGGTTTTTTTTTGTCTTCAATTTCAGCTGGATGCCTTGACTCATCCCTTTTTTGATGAGCTTAGAGACCTAAACACCCGCTTGCCAAATGGACGCTTTCTACCCCCGCTGTTTAACTTCAAGCCGCTTGGTAAGAGAATTGATCAAAGGAAAGACTACGTTGTTGTGCCACTACTCTTTCTAAGATTTGAGTTGACTTTTTTTTTCTTTTTCGCAACACTACAGTGTTGAAAGGAGTGCCAGCAGAAACAGTTGTCCGATTGATCCCCGAGCATGCAAGAAAGCAGTGTTCATTTCTTGGATTGTGAAATCAAATTTGATGAGATTATGAAGAGCAGAGGAAATCATTATTATTATGGAAGATGTGGTTTCGTAGTCTAAATATCTGTTCCTTTTTACTCCTTTACATATTTTCTGGTGCCCCCTTCTATGTTAGTATCTTTTTCCCCCTTACACCCTATGTTGTAAAAGCAGCTTTTAGAGAGAGAAATGAACAATTGCAAGTCCTGCACAAGACCTGAATATGGCTGTCTTTTTTTTTTTTTTTTTTTTTTTTTTTACTATGGTTTATATTTCTAACTGGTTGTAATTTATCACCGAAAGTAACAGCCAACCTTAATCGGAAGTGTATGTTGTGATATAGAATTATGGTTCGATGGTTGCGCCTCACTTTTTTTTGTCATTCGTAATATAATGAACAAATGACTTGGTAAGAAGCTTGGAATATGAGAACTCAGTTGATACTCGACAAATAAGAAGGCACTGCTTGTGTAATGTCAAATAAGGTTTTATTAACATAACTATTTGTCCTTGGTGTATCAAAGTTGTTCACTAATTCTCATCAGATACACCAGCGGTATACTACAATCGAAGTGAAGCCCATATAGCCATTACAAATCTACAATCTAACTATGAAGAGATAAAATACAATTACTTCGCCAAGAACAAAGAAAATGAACATGCATGCGGTCCACCAAGAGAAGCAAGAGAGTGAGCAAGTTCCATATTAATAGCCTCTGAGCCAGCAATTTTTTCTGCACTGTATCAATCAGAGAGCTAAACTGAGTTCTAATCTCTTTATTTCTTCCACATATAGAGCATAAAAAATCAGGATGTTTCTATCTTTTTCTGTGACAATAAAAAAGAGTGTTTACAAATTCAACAGTCTGTGCTTTGTGTGATAGAACCAGAAACTAAACCAGAAAATCAGCTAACTATCCAGCAAAATTTAATCAAGTACGATAAGTTTCCAAAATCACTAAGCCATTTTTCATAAGCTAAGGATCAAAACAATAATTTGAAGACCAGCATGTCTGGTAAGAATGGTAACAAATGAAATTGCTAACAGGCCGACATCAGCTTAAGGACAAGCTAGCCTAGGATAACAGACATGCAGCAGAATTGATATTCAAATCTGGAACGTGAAATAGGAAACAAAAATTCATACCATTCACAAATGGTTTTGCTTTTTCAGACCACAATGGAGGTACATCTCTCTATAGCATCAACAGTAAATTTGATATCCAAGGTCTAAACTATCCAATCATAGGAAACTTATTATTCATTTGATAAACTTTTGAAGCAAGCCCTAGGAAGTATCACTTGAGTTATTGGAAGAACAGAGGTCAACAAATAATGAAAGTGGGCGCATCAGCTTCAAAGCCTTTGCTAACCATAAGATCACGATAGTATAATGCCTTGGAAAAGTCATTATTGAGAACATATCCTCTGATGAGTGTGTTGTAGGTAATATCATTGGGTAAACAACCATCTTTTTCCATTTTATTCAAAATATCAACAGCTTCATTCATCAACCCCTTCTTGCAAAAGCCTTTAACCAATACAGTGTATGTCTTACGATTAGGCTGCAGACCCTTTGACACAAGATCAGAGAAGAATTTTGCTGCATCTTCAAGTTGCCCATCCTCACACAAGCTGTTCATTAGGATATTGTAAGTGACAGTATTAGGCTTGATACCTTTATCCTCCATATCTTCAAGTACTGCCACTGCCTCATCAAGATGTGCACTTTTGCACAGGCCATCAATCAATGAATTATATGCGACAACATCAGGTGTAATTCCATGAGCTTGCATATCTGTGAAAAACTGGCGTGCAAGTGCAAGTCTATTGGCTTTACACAAGCCATCAATAAGGGTGTTATAGGTTACAACACCTGGTGTTATTCCTTTCTGAAACATATTTTGTAATATAGTAAGAGCCTTGTCAACGTTTTTGAGCTTGACATATCCATTGATCATAGTATTCAAACTTCTAAGATTAGGCTCACAACCTTTTTGGGCCATGCTATCAAGTAGCTTTTCTGCATCTTGCATTTGACCACGCAAACAATAACCATCAAGTAAAGCATTGTAAGTAATGATGTTTGGAGCTACACCTTTGTGAGTCATGAGCTTCAGTGTGGATTGTGCTTCCACAACATTCCCATCTTTACAAAACATGTCAACCAGCATGCTGTAGGTCTTAACATCAGGTGGTATATTGCTCTTTAACATCTCAGTCAGCACACCCTTAGCCTCTACCCTGCATCCAGAATTGTAGAAGCCTCGAATCAAGGAGTTATAAGTGACAACATCGGGTCGAATGCCCTCGTGTTTCATAGCGGAGAAAAGGTCCATAGCTTGTTGTAATAGGCTGTCCTTACAGAGACTATCAATAATAGTGTTGTATATGACAAGGTTAGGCTTACAATGAGAAGTAGACTGCATTTTGATAAGGAATATATTATAATTTTCCCTAAAATAACTTTCCTTTTACAGTGTGTTACAAGTATTGTGACATTTCGAAAACGGAGGAAGTATAAAATTACATTACCACATTCACTCAAAACATTGTAGAGGAGAGAGAAAATGACGGTAGGAAAATACTACTGCGATTACTGCGACAAGGAATTCAAAGATACAGCGTCGGCAAGAAGGCGTCATCTTCAAGGTATTGCGCATCACCGCAATCGCAAACTATGGTACGATTCTCTCTCTCTTCCCCAAGGTATAATCTTTTCCCTCTAATCCTCTCTCTCTCTAAAACAATCTCATTCTTCTTCGTCTAATTTTTCGCCATTTTTGTTTTAATTTCTCGGAATTACAGACCCTAATTTCACACAACAGAGTTTTGGTAATGGAGTCTGCAACCGCTTCCTCAGAACGGTACACTTGACTTTCATCAATTGTCTTTTAACAGCATTGTATGATATTGTGTTTGAGGTTTATTTTGTTAGCTTAATTATCCATTTTTTCCAGTTATTGCTACAATTGTGATATTGTATTGAGTTATGTTATTCATTGGGTTAAAAACTTAAAATATTTGAGTGTTTTAGTTCTGGTCCATCCTAGGAATTCAGCAGGACTAATTAATTGATTAATTTCTGTTCTCGAAAGAATGAAGAATCCCATGTACTGCATTTGATGTTTTGGTGTTTTTGTAATTGTTTGGTGAAGCCTTTAATTCTGTTTAGAGTAGTAACAATTGACTAAGTTAATCTAGACCTTAATTTTGAAGAATTATTCCAATGCTTCACTTGGGGAGTCAGTGTTCTGTAAGCCTGTACTCCTGGGCTTTCTTTGTTAAGGGGGGGTATTTCCCACTTAAATTTTCTGAGCTTTGATTGATTACGAAAATTGTTCTTTTGGAACGTGTTTCCTGCAATAAAATGTATCCAATTTGAGATTGATTGGATTGTTCTAACTATTGTTTAAAATTTCAAGGGTTTTTGCCCATACGGGGATTCTTGCAAATACCATCATCCCAAGCATAACTTGCAAGGTCCAATAACTCAGGGCCAGGGAACGCCTAGTAAGTTCCTTTTGCCACAGCTTTCTCCTGGTTCGTTTTCTTTTTTTTGTATTTCCTTGTACTGTGTTTGGCTGTCCTTCAGGAACTTTATCCTTATCGCAACTTCTTACAAGCATTTGAGTTATCTAGAAGTATTTAAATTGGATTCTTGAAGCTTTTCTGACTTGTTACTGGTCAGATTTATATATATACCATTCGAGAAGGCAGATGTATTAACAGCATTTGTATGGCGTTATAAATTGGAGACTCGAATTAATAGAGCTTTAATCCTTGGGGCCAAATACTTGTGAAATAGTTGGTGATGGTTGTTTTCATTATTTTGCGGCAAGTATGAATAGTCTCCCTCCCTAATACTCTGTACAACAAATTGGTGTCAGGTTTTGCTGAAAATTTGCAACCGCGTGTAGGAGGATTACAAGGTACAGTGAAGCTATACTGAGGGAAAACATTTTTGCATACTGTCCACCACTATCTGTCTAGCATAAAAGGCACAGCAATTAGCTCCTTGTGGCTAAGCCAATCTCTTTAAGCTTTCTAGTTATACTTGTGAACTCATGAACTATATGTTAGCATTGCTTATATTTTGTTACATGCAGGTCATGTTGCTAGCCAAAGCTTTGGGATGTCACTGGGGAATTTACCTCCATCATTGAGGCCTCCTCCTGAAGGAGGATATCCGCCACTACCTTTTGTTGATTGGGGATGAGCCATGAGTGTTTTGTAAGGTATTTTTCTTAGATTGTCCATTTTATTTTTTTGCTAAATGTTGTGCAGCCTGTTCTGCATCATGGAGGTTGTTATGATGATAATAGGGAATCATAGGTGTGGAATTCTACGTGTAATAATTCTCTCCGAAAGAGAATTAAATTCAACCAATTACATCTCTAACTTCTAACAAGACAAAACTAATCTCATCTTTTAGAATAGTACAGTAACTCTTAGCACTTCTGCATGCCCTATATTAATCCTTGATGAAGAGGTGTATTAACGTCCCATAAGTTTATTTAGATAGAGATTTGGCATAGTAGTTATAGTAGTGGAAGAACTGATACCTATGTAATGAGATTATCAACCAACAAATCTATCCTACCACCATTAAACCCAATAAGAGATGAGGGGGAAGAATTGTCGTAGATGTTGATACAATTGTCAGAATAAAACAAATTTGGTAGGTCTAATAAAAAACAAGGTAATTGGGGCTTACCCACAGGCAAAAGACAATGGCCGTTCTTACAGTTAGCTACGATGGATGTTAGGGTTTTGGAGGGAATAAAAGAGAGAAAGAGGGAGAGCAATAATTGTAAGAACTTCGATCCACCTAGCTCTGAGAAGAATTGGGGTCTGCTGATATCTGATAATCACCTTCGAGCTTTTTGAAGTCCTAGCGCCAAATCAGATGGCTGTAATAACTATATCTTTAAAGACAAATGTAAGAAATGTAGGTCCTTTAAGTTTGGCATTGAAATGCCCTATTTTCAGCCTAGTTAATGTATTGTGTGTGTTTCTAATGAATAATCAAATGAACATAACTAGGCCAAAGGCTAGCCCAGGTAGCTGTCCCATGGATCAGTGGATATGCCATTAGTACCATGGACCAGGCCAGGGAAAGTGTTACAATTTGGTCACTTCAAGGAGGCTGCACTTTGTGTCATCTTTGAGAGCTTTTTGAATGGCTGGTAGAAAATCTAGACTCAAAATCGCCTTCGAGTTAGAGAATCCATTTTGAAACATATAACCTGTGTTTGTTAGACTCTTTTGGTGGCTCTTGGTGATCTTAATAGATTAGGATGGATGTCTTTCTAGATCTTTCAATGGATTTTTGGGAACATAGATGGCATTATTCAACCTAAGCTGACTCTGATGAAGACCACCCCCACCCCCACCCCCCACCCCCCCCACCCCCTCATTTTTTTTTTTTTTCCAGGAGATTACTGAGGCAATTGTGGACCTGTGGGGAGCCTTGGGAAAAATCTGGACTGAAGGGTTTTTTTGTGCTCTTAAGCTACCTTCTGAGCTTGATTTAAATTGATATTCTATATGTATTACAGAGGAGTATACTTACCTTTGGTAGGTATTTTTGAAAGCTTAAATTCAAGTCTGTTGTATATTTCTTGTAGTGGATGATGGGTGAATCAAAGTCTTGGACGGAAACCTTATTAAACTACCCTACTCTGGTAGCATAGATGACTTAATACTGAAATTAGTTAACCATGGAAATAACATAAACACAATCTTAGGAATTCTCCTGTGGGATATCTTGAATGTAATGAAGCTATAGTGATAGACTCCCAAACAGCCTGTCCATGTTGCTAAAGATATTAGGAACTGTATATGACCAATGGGATTCTTGACAAAGCTCGGAGGGAAATTGTCTATTGTACCTAGAGGTATCTTAAATCTAGACTCCGTAGCATCCTCCAAATGAAACTAGCCTCCTTTAGTCTTTGGGTACTTAAAGTTACTGTATACTTTAATGGTGGCATCTTAAGCCTTGTTGTTTACAATCAAACCTGATGCCTTTAAAATCCATTTATCCTGCAGCAAATTGTAAGCATTTCAGTATCTTACTCAGTTTGCACTGGAAATTCTATTCTATTATGAACATTACCTTTAACCTACGAAGTATGTGACACATCTATGTTCTGTTGCATTTTTTTCATTGAAAATCCCCTCATGTTTATTACTACCCCCGTTTCGTATTAGTAGCAATGATTAGACATTTTCTACTCACGCTTTATGTCAAATCGTCGCAAATAATATGAAATGGAGGTAGTATAGTATACTTAGAGGGTGTAGTCGGGTTGTTCGGGTAGGGGTTCTTATTGGGTCAATTCAGGTCATTTTTGGGTAAGCCTCCTTCGGGTTGATTTTGGGTCAGTTCGGCTAATTTTCGGTTCTATTGTTTTAATGTCTATTTTAATATTAAATATTCAATATTAATTGTCAGGTCAGTTTTGGTCGGTTGGTCAAAATTTTGATTTTAGGTAGCATTTGGGTTTTGGGGTAAGGTAATCGGGTATGGACCGTATGTTCAACTTTTCTGGGTGTATGTTGCAAAGTAATATACTTTGTATAACTTTATTTGATTATGTTATTATCTCTATGTTGGTGGTGTTAATTGGTGAAATAATTTTTCATGCTTAAAATAAAATCCCATGAATTATATGAAAATGTTGGTGTTTATACATGTCAGCACCATAAAATCAATAATTCTCTTTATTAGACTTGGTTGAGCTGTATTATTGTGTAGTCATGAGACCCATAACGCTAGAGGCAGCCTAGTCTTGGGTTTTTATCTTCATACTTAAGATAGCATAGAAATGGATGTTTTGATCTCATCAGCAATGTCATGTGTATTCAATCCAATGACTATTCATTGGATGGATATGTTCTGAACTTAATATACTGGTTATCATCAATTAGAGATCAAGTAACTGTGATTTATGGTTGAAATGCTTGATGGTCACTTACTCTGATATTTATATTGCATATAGCTTGCTTTTTTCTTGCTTGTTGAGTATTCCAGAGTGCTGAAACTATATGCTTTATATTAATTTGACATTCAGCACAAATCCAATATGGGAAGAACCATTTGCTCAGAAGAGGTTGAAATGGAGAGGCATAACCCGTGTGGAGCATGCTAGTGAAAGAAGCTGTTTGCAATTTGATGGCAACTGAATGAACCCACAGAGATAGAGACTTGGAAGAAAAGAGGTTAGGGGGACTATCCTATAGACTAGCTCATCTTTTTCTGCCATTCCTTCTATCAGTGGTTTACATGCCCATACTATCATCTCTTCTTGTATAATAGGTTATATCTTGTGTACATCCCATGCCCCTGCAGCCCTGCACACCCTTTGCCATTTCGATGTGGTTTCGTGTTATGTATTATAAGTTATGTAGACCATGGCCTATACATGTTTGTTATCTAACAATTTCATGTATGCCATGTGGGTTTTCATGCTGAACTATTATTTTTAAAATCTAGTGCTTGAAATAATGTATATTGGTGGCAGAATTATGTTCCATGTTATATGCTCTACCGTTCAGGGTTTCTCTTTCACTTCCTTTTAAAATGTAAACTTTTACAATTATTTATTCTATTATAAGCTAATCATGATTCAGAATTTTTTTCTTACAAAATACGAAGTATGTTAATTTGACAATATACTACGTATATAAAAATCATAAAATACGGTGATTACGGTCAAAGAATGAGTGAATAGGGTAAAAACTAAAAAGCATGAAATGGGGCAAAAGAAGGGAGGAAGTATGACATGCTATTTTTGAAATTTTACTGTATATCTAGTACCATCAAAATATGTTTTCACTGTGAATTATTTGAATAATAATCGTAATTCATACTGTAATACAACTAGCTAGTTGTAACAAGATACAACATTCAACCCTTTTTTTTGGCCAATTTGTATACAAGCGCATTGGCAAAGATATAATACTGATTGTACCATGCGCAAGATATATGTCATACAACCAATTGTATCTAGAAAATTGTCAAAAATTTTGACCACATAATTTTACTTTTAAACTCATTCAAGTCGCTAATATTATCATCACCTACTATTCAACATAATTATTAAGTGAAGAATAAGGTTCAATCTTGTTTTCTTGTGTGACTTTTGTTTATGTGCAAAAGATTAAACCAACATTTTATTTATATAAGTGGGTACAGTTGTTTTAGCATAAGTGGGTATGATCTCAATTTTCTAGCATATGTAGTGGGTATGGATGTATGATCTCATTTACTAGTATATACATTTTTTATTCAGTTCAGTATACATTTTTCTATTCAGTTCTATTTTCTTTATTCTATATATCCTTTGACACTTTTTTTTCTTCTTTCATTTATCTCTAATTCATTTGCTAGCTTAGTGTAGTAGTGAGTAATTAAATATATGCGGGATAGACTTATGTTTTAGAGCAACAAAATAATAACAAGAGATTATGAGGCAAGAGTGCACAAACTTGACTCATTTAATAAGACTCTTGCCTTAAATCTTTGAGGTTTGGGTTTGAATTTAATATTGTAAAGGTAGATCTATGTGTTCAATTTACCTAATTTTCACTGATCTGAACTTATTAGACCTTATTAAAACTTATTTTAGTTGTAATTTGTACTTGGATAACCCTTATCTGAACTTATTACACCTGAAGTAATTGAAAATAAGGTGAATAGAACAGATTCTAATCAAGGTTAATTTCTTTACCATTAAAAAATAAATAAATAACAAGGAAGCATAATTTTTTATTAAATATTTATTGCTTGTCCAAAATTTTCTTTGTATTTTTTTTAACAATAATGGTAATATTTTGAGTACAAATTGTTACTTAAGGATACAAATTATTATTATGATATTTATTTTTTCGAGGAAAGGTATAAAAATTATTGTTATTAAAATATTCTTTGATAATTTTTACTGCATATTTTTGAATATTAAATTTATTTTTTCCATTAAATGAATATTGAAAATTTAAAGGTCTATGTTGTGGATTGCCAAACGGAGAAGTAATATTGTTACGTTGTAATTGACTACTACCTCCATCCCTTTTCACTATATATATTAGCTTTGACCATATTTTCTCAAATTGCTTCACTACTTAATAACTCAAATAGTGAAAGGATTTTGTGACCATCTGTTTCATTATCGAGTATCATTTTAAGTTGTACTTCGTACCGCTTATAGGAGGCTTGATTCGATAACTATATTGATTCAAATACCCAACTCATATACTTAAGCCCACCTTGAATTCCAAATTCTTCGAGATTATGATGTGCATTATGCTTTCGATCAAATATTTGATTATAGCTGAATCTCCCTGCCATAAGTCTTAAGGAAAAAGGGTAAAAGATAGAATAGTGCAAATCATCCTTGGAGTCGGCGCCACTGCCAGAGTGAAAGTAAGTTGGGTCTGCCATGCCTAATGCCACCACCCCCGCCCACAACCCACTTCTATCCCACTTCTTTTGTCTTCCAAAATTTGTGGTTAATACTTGCTTACCTTGCTTCAAAATTGCAAATTATCCATTATTCTTTTTATTAGATTAACTTATTTTATATTCTCCCCACTTTTAGTGTCCACTTTTGAGTTAAAAGTCTTTTAATATCATTTAATTAATGTTTGATTTAAGACAAAAAGACTTTCTAACTAGTTAAGAGCCCCTTGACCAAAGTGTCTTGAATATTGACCTCATATTTTGTGTTATCTTACCCATTAATCACTTATACTATTGGTTAGAGGATCAAGAAGTATATTCTAGCTACTTAACTAACATTTCTTCTAGCTACTCAAGTTCCAACTTCCAACTATATGGTGGACCACATTTGCATCTATTTCAAATATGGGTTTCTAATGATTTTTATATTTTGACATTGGCTTAACCATAAATTAGTCTAAAGAGCTCACAATTACAACCATAAGCTTAGGTAGTTATTCAAAACTCGATCTTACACATCCGAAATTACTAATGCTCTACTAATTTTTACAAAACGCTCATATTACACGGCATTGAAATTTCAGGCAGTTTACAACTTGTTTTTTTTGCCCTTAATTATTGGAGCCACTTTACATATCTACGAACGCAGTTGTCAAATGTGTTGTTAATGCCATGCGACTCTTTTTTAGGTAGATCAATGATTCTTTTGATTGATTGAGCTATCATTCGCGTAATTTAAATTACCATAAGGTTTTAATCTCTAATATATTTCTTGATTAGCTAGAGAGGTACAAATTGATCAGTTTAAGTACTCCTTAATCCCTAATTAAGAAGAACACTAAACTAAACAAAGTTTGATAAACATGTCTAGTATGAAAAACCTCTTCCCCCCTCCCCCTACTTGCATTGAACTTAATATCAAAAAAAATTCAAAAGATACACTACACGACAAAGTTTGAAGTCAATCATTCCTTTGTTAGTGTATTTGAAAGCTTATGAGTACAATGTCATTGCCTTTCAATTATTGTAGTTTGAACTTAATCAATCCTCACTTTATTTGGGATATACTCAAGCTTTGAACTCGATGTATAGAGCCAATAGGGTTTTAAAAAGGAAGAATATATTGTTGTGACGTCATTATTTGTAATAATCTTTCAAATTAACCTAATTTTGTTTGTATAGGTATCTACTACAAACTACACACACAAATGATCTTATTTTGAAGTATATTTCAAGTTCTTTTCAATTGTATGAAATTTATATACTTTGCATTATGTACAAAAAGATTATGCTTAAATGCTTAATGTACATTATTTTTCAAGGAGAATAATTTACATATTATAACCATAGTCATTTATTGAAAAATCACAAGTTACATGTATTTATTCTTTTGAATAAATTAATAATCTACACTATGTATAATATTTTTTCAAAATAAAATTTATATACAAAGTGTCTACTATATTTAATTATTCGTTAAACTTTATTTAAAAATAAAAAAATAAAAAAAATCGACATGACAATTAAAGGCATTTTCAATGTACGTAACACAAGTTTTTGTTATTTAAGACTTTGAGAGAAATTTGTAGATCATTGGGAGAAAATGATCTACTTTCTAACAATACACTACAGTACACCAACTAAGAGCTAACCGAGCAATTATTAAACAAGACATTAAAAATATATATATATATATATATATATATCTATTAATCTATATGAAAGGCGACAACTTCATGGTTATCAACTTGATCAGTTGAAGGTTTACAACTTTACATATATGTGGCGTTGTGACAGATTGATCATATATATTTTTCCAGAAATTATTTTCTTGTCAACATAATTGAACACTGATAAAGTATTAGCTAACACATCTATCGTGAGGCAAATTGACAATTGACTAGATAGCTGATGTTGGATGGCTATTTCAATAGTATGGGCATATATAGTACCTTTTAACAACAACAATTTCTATCCTTGTTTTTAGCTCATTAGAAAATTCACCTTACATTGGTCTCATTTTCTTACCTTTATATGGAGTAATAACTAAGAACTAACCCAAGCCAGTTGGTTTTCAGTGAAACACCTTTCTATCCTAGCACGTTTAAGATAGAACTACTATACATGAATAGTAATACCAAAAAATACTTGGAAATACGATCATCATCCTTCTTCAAACACACTCACCCCTGCAAACTTTAGTTGTCATGGTCGGTTCATGAATCACCCTCATTTCTCATTCTTTTTTATACAAACTATACAATATAATTTATATAAATTATACTAGTATAAACACTTTAAACCGCCCTATCTATAACACATTGGTGTTCCACTATAACTCTAATTTAATCCCACTCAAAAAAATAAAAATAAAAAACACTTTTTGACAATATATATATCCTCTATCTATTTCATGATTTCTACCAACTTGCATTGCTAACTCGTGCTCCTACTTGTTTAAATCATACATACACAAAAAACCCTCTCAAACTTTCAACTTTCTTTTTACTTCCCATATTGTGGGGGGATACCCTACTTCAAACTTTTTACTTTGCCCTATAGTCTAAGGGTTACTACTTACTACCCTTCTTTTTTTAACCTCCTTTGCTTCTTCTATAAATAAGTCCGATAGATCAATAATAATTTACAACATATTCATCATAATTAACCTAAGCCGGTTTCTTAATCCCAAAAAAAACACAAATTAACGTTACAGTTTTGATATGGCATATATTATTAAAGTGTCTATGTTTTTAACTATGTTCTCGTTGTGTTCTATATTTAGCTTAATCCAAGGAAGAATTTTAACGTCGATGCCTCTAAATGAACCCTATAAAAACTCCCAAATTTCGATACCACCTTCTCAAGCTCCAAATGTTAATAGCCCTAAGCCTCCTAGCTACATAGATGCTAGTCCTGCTCCTTCACCTAGTTATGTTAACCGTGGTAGTAGTAGTAATAGCACTATAGTTCAAGCGAATGTGTTTGATGTTCGTTCGTATGGGGCTATTGGTGATGGCTTAACAGACGATACATTAGCCTTCAAATCAGCTTGGGATGGTGCTTGCCAAGTCGACAATGCAAAGGTTGTTGCACCTCGAGGATTTTCCTTCATGCTTCAACCTTTGGTTTTCACCGGACCTTGCAAAAGCGCTATTGTGTTTCAGGTATTTATTAACTATTTCTAAATCTACAACAACGTAACGTCTAGTAACCAATGTTTATTTTGTTCATATACTACTAACGTTCGAAACTTAATGTCATTTCGATGTGTATGTAGTTTGTTAGACTATCATGTGCATATGATTTCTTCGCTCATGGGCTACAGAATGATCTATGCTGTAACTTGCAAAGTACAACCTCTCGATTAAAGTTGCAAAAAAACTTGCTACTCCGTAAGTCCGTAATACAAAAAGACAAAATGTTGTCATACACCCTATCTCTACATGTTCTTTGTTTTAATTTGGTGCCCCAATTTACAAATATATTGCTTCAACATATATTATGGCAAAAAAGCAAAACGACCAATAGAATGTTTCTATAAGTAAACCTTTCTAAAAAGCTAAAAAAGGGAAGAAAAGCTACTACTATAAGACAAACTTCTAGTTAAGGTCCGAATTTAAGTCCTAACTTTACATATAAAAAAATTATCCTCTAAGATTACGTGGTTCATCTAAGTTATTAACCAACAGAGAGGGTTTAGAAAAATAATTTTGCTTTAGAAAAACTTAAATATACTCGTAAATTCGTATTTATTAATTTATTTATATTATTGTGTAGCTTGAAGGAACAATAATGCCACCAGATGGACCAGAATCATGGCCTAAAAATAGCAGCAAAAGACAATGGCTAATCTTTTATAGAATACATGGATTAACACTTCAAGGTGGTGGTCTTATTGATGGAAGAGGAGATAAGTGGTGGAATCTCCCTTGTAAACCTCATAAGGTACTTAACTTTAACTTTAAGTAACAATCTTATTTAATTTTCTTTTTCATTTCATTAATTAGTTATTTAATTAAGTAAATAGTACTTAAATTGATTGTATACATACACCAATCCTAAGCTTAACAAATTGTATTAATATTTTAACTTCAATTCATGCAGGGTATCAATGGGACTACATTGCCTGGTCCTTGTGATAGTCCAGTGGTAAGTTATAATTAATTTCGAACATAGAGAGTATATATCCGATCCCTAACAAGCTAAGGGTGTTAAATGTCCATGCATATAAATTGTTACTTATAAAATAACTGTTTTACAGGCCATAAGATTCTTTGGGAGCACAAATCTAACGTTGAGAGGGCTAAGAATCATGAACAGTCCACAATTCCATATTCGTGTAGATTCATGTCAAAATGTGAGTGTGGATTCACTTGTCATTAAATCTCCTGGCAATAGCCCTAATACTGATGGAATCCACGTTGAGAATACAAATGACGTCACCATTCACAATTCAGTCATCTCTAATGGTAATTTTTTTTTTTTTACACTAAATATTTGTTATTGTGTGTTATAGAGTATAATCTATTTTCTTTAATCTTTCATTAATGACTTAATTATGTTTTTTTTTTGCTAATTTAGGTGATGATTGCATATCTATTGGAGCTAACACTCATAATTTAGATATCAGGAATGTTACGTGTGGTCCTAGTCATGGAATAAGGTACTATACCAGTATAATTTTTTTAGTTTCACAATATAATTTGTTTGAAAAAAAAAATGTTATGTTCAACCAAAATAAGTTTTTATCTGAGAATATGACCTAATATAATAAGTCTCAATTTTGTTTCATCATGTAGCATTGGTAGCCTAGGAGTCCATAATTCCAAGGCGTGTGTATCCAACATTACGGTTAGCAATTGCATGATCAAGCACTCCGACAACGGGGTTCGGATCAAGACATGGCAAGGCGGGTTCGGATCAGTAACCGGAGTGACCTTCGAAGCGATCCATATGGACACGGTCCGTAACCCAATTATTATAGACCAATACTATTGCCTCTCATCCAATTGCTCTAACCAAACTGCAGCTATTTCAATAAGTGATATATCCTATTCCAATATCAAGGGCACTTATGACCCACGGACCCCTCCGGTCCACTTGGCTTGTAGCGATGCGGTTCCTTGCACCAACATCACGGTGTCGGGTTTAGAACTCTTACCCGCGGCCACAGCCACCACGACTATGACAAATGGTCACAAGCGTAAGATGGAACCCTTTTGTTGGAATGCTTATGGGAGTAATGTCGGAGATTTGACTACTCCCCCTATTTATTGCTTGTTGGAGGGTTTGCCATATTTAGACGTGGGTAGTGATGTTGGACAATGTTAGGCTCGAGGGTTATATCGTATATTGTACATGAAAGTAAAGTCATCTTAACAAGTAAGGATGTATTGAGTATTTGAGTATGTATATCTCTTTTCTAGCCGGTAATAACAAGGTGGAGAGGGAATTATTAACAGTTGTATGTTAGATTTCATATAAATTTCACTATGTATTGCTTTTTAATCGGTTGATAAGGTGATATTATAACCTTATCACGAAGTATGTATCAATTTTCAACGTGAATGGTAAATCGATAATTATGTTTTATTCCAAATTTCCAATGCATACATGAAAATGTGATAAATGTTATGATTACTTACTCCATAATCAGCAAAATGAAGGGAAAATATATGCTTCTTTTGATGTGCACGCACCAACTGTATTTCTCTGTTTGATAAGCCACCGTTTCTGTTAATTGATACAACTATAGAAGAAATTATAAGTACTAATAAAATAAAAGTGACTTTTGTTACTAAGTAAATAACATTCTTTTCGACTGACTCTTAATTAAATTATACTCCCTCCGCTTTTAAATACTTGCTCCACTTTCTTTTTTCGGCCGTTTTTAAATACTTGCTACATTTCCTTTTTTGGAAAGGTTTTACAATATTTAATTCATTTTTCACACTTAGAAGACCCAACATAATACTCTCTCTCCCCCTATTCTTCCACTACTTTTGCTTTTCACAATTTTTTATTTTCTCAACTACCCCACTACTTCCATATTTTATTACTTTCTCCAATCTATATATTATACTAAAAGACAAGCGCCTCAATGTGAGGATGACAAATGTCACTCTCTCATTGGCTTATCTTATGTATAAAATTTATTTATATAATTATTGTTTACATATTCAAGCATAGTTATTTTTGTTAAATTTCAAACAATAAAAACAAGTTTCTATACATGCATAAGATTTTCATGATTTCCTAACATAAATATTGATTTAATTTTTTTTATAATAAATATATACTTCCAATACTACAAATAATCCATAAAGTCTTTCCAATTTTATAGTCAATTTAAAGAATAATAACTAATTTGAAGCAATATGATTAAAGTGACATAATTAAGGAACAAATATTTCGTATTTTGAAAGGCTAATATTTTTTTTATGAAAATTAAATAAAATCGATAGAATTTAGTTTGACGTTAATTATGAAATCAATACAAACATATAAAAAAAATCAGATGTACAATAAAATATTGTGCACCTATTATAAAAGCTACCCTGTAATGAATGAAAACTATTTATGCTTTATTGATAAAAGTTACCCAAAATAGTCTACAAGTTATCCTAAATTCAATTCAAGTAATCGCATGAATACAAAAGTTTTTTATAAAGATACAAAATAGTGTAAAAATTACTTTTATCATTTGTTGTACTCCTTGACAAATACTGAATGCTGAGCCGAAATGTTGTCTTGGAAAAAAATACATAATCTTGAACATAAATTTAATTTTAATCGGCCTTTTACAATGACCTTTTGTTTTTCTTGCATAAAAAAAATAAAAAAATTGAACCAATAACCAATCTAAACAAGAAGAATAAAAGTTAAATTGAATTAGACATTTGACGGAAAAGGGACAGATATAAAATGTATTATAACTATTACTCGTGTTTTAAATTGTAATATTCGTAATAACAATGCTATTACTTATGAATTTAAAAGTCGTGCATTGCTCATGTATTATACTAGATATACAACAATCATATGCAATAATTTATGTTGTTTTATACATAATAATACTTTTAACTATAATAGTATGTGTATATAATATAATATTTTTTATAATATAAAAAAGTATATGTATATAATATAATATTTTATAACACGTGTCCTCCATACCAAGTGTAGTCCCAATCACCACTACACCAATTGGTTGTTGGTGTAGTGGTGACTGAGACTACACTAGGTAGGGTGGACCTGTGTTCGCTCCCCTGCAACAACAATCGGAAGGGGAATAGAACCTAATAACCTAGAACTGATCCTCAAATCTAGATTAGCCCAAAGGGTGAACCGGATAGAACACGCAAAACTCAATGCATATATGACGGAAATTAATTTATCCTTTATCTATCTTATACAAAACTCCAAAGTCTAATTTTTTTTTTTTTCAAAATATAATAACATTTGTAAATTTTTGTTAATATGAAAGATATAAACCTATCAAAATGTATATATAGTTAAATTGTTTAATAACTTATATCAAATGCGTAGTTTTATTAAAATTATTTGCATGTAATCATTAAATGTGTTGGATGTTGTGTAGCTATGCAATGTCCAAAACTTTAGTTGAGCGACTTTGATTTAGTGATTGTACGGTAAAAAAATATTGACTTCGATCTTAAAACCTAATAGTCTAATAAATTCTAAATAGAAAAATTAAAACAAAAATAAATGAAAATAGTAAATGGCTTTAAATAAACATAACCTTTTAAATCAATTTAGTGAATTCAAGAGACAATTTTAAGGCTTTTAAAATTAAATGGGGGAAAATATTTGTAAAAAGAACACTTTTAGATATATAAATGTCCATGCACTATTATAAGAGTTTTGTTAACCTTTTTATAATTAAGGTAGGGATAAATCTTAGTAATAAATACTCCGTATATTTTATTTATATAAAATTATCAGTATCCATACCTATATACGAAGTATTAATGTTGTATACTATATTTAATCAGCTGTTGGTTATATATGTGACTATTATATAATATATAGTTTTTGACACAATGGTTAACTTAGGAAAATATATGTTCTGGTAGGTAAAATATAAGGTTATTATTGTGTTTATAAATTTAATGAGTGTGACGGGTAAATAAAACATGTATATATTAGATTGATTGTAGCTACTGATGCGGATGGTATGATAAGAAAAATTTAGTTTTTTCTCAACATGAGATATAAATAAATTAGTCCACTTCTTATATAGCTATGTGGAGTATTATTCAATTATTTTTCAATTAATAGAATAACATTATAAAAAAAATTAAAAGAAATTCAAATAACATAAAATACTATTCAAATAACGTTCCTTTAATTTTTTTTAATTGACCATTAGTAACCAAGTCCTTTAATAGTAAATGAATTACCTTTGTTTTTATTTTTATTTTTCCTACGGGTTTAATAATTTGATTTACAAACCGTGCATCGCACGGGCACTATGCTAGTTTAACCTAAAACTCCGCGCGTGGAGAAATAGAGCAAGTATTTAAAAACGAAGGGAGTAATCACTTACTTTTCAATTTATGGACTTATCTAAACTTATTTTTCATAAGGTTAATTAAACAAGTCTTATACGAGTACTTAATTACCATAATTTACTATTCCGTCATTTTACTAAATGTCTTGTTTTACACTTTCAATAAGTTCCACTTGGAACAAGTGTTTTATACTAAGGGAAAAAAAAATATGAAGTAATTATGTAAACTCTTGTTTTAATTTTTGGTGCAAATGAGAGGCTAGGCCTCACAAAATTATTAGACACAAAAGATTACACTAAAGAAATAAAATTTGGCACATCCTCCCATACAACATAATTATGTAGAATATGTACTGTGAAAAAAACATAATTATGTAGAATATGACTTAGAGGAGGGGTTTAAATCATCGAGCTATTTTAATTAACTCGTGCTTAATCTCTACTTGCCAAGTTGGATTTGCAATTAATTTCTTGCAACGTGTAATAATATGTGCATATTCACCTCCATATATTTTTGAGCCTTCTTATTCAATCACCACAACTTGATTGTTTTTTTTTTTTTTTTTTTTTTTTGACGGCCAACTTGATTGTTCATTCTAACTTGTACGAGTAGTTTTTTTTAATAGCAAAAGTATTTCATTAAATAAAAGTCATACTACACCTACAATATAGATTCGCTGTTAACAATTACATAAGATATTGAATTAAATAAATTTTCCTTCATAAAATTTTCCAACTTGTAGCTTTGGTACACTCATCCTTGCTACCAATTTTACCTCATATTAAATTTTACTCTAGCCTCGAATTTAAAAGAAAAATAGTGATTCAAGAATGAGAAAATATGTTCAATCTCAATGTATAGAATGAGATTCAAGAATGAGAAAGTATGCTCATTCTCATTCTTGAATCTCAAATATTAACTTTCAATACGTGATGCTCAATATTTACCGATAATTAAAAATATTATTAACGCAAAAAAAAAAAAAAAAAAAAAAAAGGGAGGGAGGTTGAAACAAAAGATAGAAGTTTACACAAAATTCGCAACTCACCATCACCAGTCTCTCTCCTCTCATCTCCTCTGGACTCTCCACCGAAATTGGCCACGATTGTCATTCAACTCTTGTTTCCTACTACGTGGAACTCATCTGTTGGAAAATAACCCAACATTTTTATTGCACTGATTTGATTCCCGTTTTTTTTTCCTTAGGTAATCAATTTTTGTCTCTTTCCCTTATTTTTCCCAATCATTTTGTATTCATTTTCATCTGGGTTTATCAGTTTGATCCTCTACAATAAAGAATACTGAAGTTTAATTAGTTGATCGAGTGTTAATTTTCTGTTCTAATTTCTGGGTTTTCATGTTTTAGTGAAGTTTTCCATCGTTTTGTATTCATGTTCATCTGGGTTTAATATTTTGATCCTCCTGAATAAAACCCAGATTATTATTAAGTTTTTAGTAGCTATGATTGTGTTAATTTGCGATGATAAATTCTGGGTTTTTCAAGTTTTTGGTTTTCTGAAGAATTTTGGGTTTTCTTTTTACTGAATTTGAACCTTTGATTGTTTACTACTAATATCATATCTCTATCTGTAATATATATTGAAAAGTTTTGTACTTCTAATCAAATTATACTTACTTATACAGTTCATACAATAAAGTGATAATTTTTTATTTTTAATTTTGGGGAATTTTATTTTACACTGAATTGTATGTTGCAGATGAACTGGAGAGTTGTGGAGAGCTACAATCAGATATTTGACAGTCAATTATTGTCCTGTTTATGTAATTATTTTCATGATTTTGGGGATTTTGTGACCATATATGATGATAGGTTTGTGAGGGGGTAAGTGGATGGAAGAATTGGACATAGGTGTTGGATAGGTTACACATTTGCCTGATGTACAAACAAATTCTCGGTGTATTTGGGATTTTAATGAAGTTGAGACTGATTTGGGTGTTATAGGTAAGAAAATAGGAAGCATGAATATTGAGGAGTTTATTAAAAATGATTGGAACCCTGAAATCCATCAGGCTGCTGGTGTAGAGGGAAGAAATAATGGTTCATCGATTAGGTCGTTACAAGGTCAGGGAAGCCTATGTTTGTCGAGGACTGTTAGTGAGAAGATTGTTGATGAGGTGTGGAGAGAGATACAACAAGAGGATAGGATCAAAGGCGTTAGTCAGGGAGTAAAGAGAGAGCCTTCAATGGGTGAAATGACTTTAGAAGCTTTCTTGGCTAAAGCGGAAGCCATGGATGTAACTGCTTTAAGTCCTGTGATGCCTATGCCTTTAGATATGGATGATACTACACAATGTTACTCACAGCAAATGGGTTTATCCCCAGCTCCTTCAATTGACACAATATCTGATACACCAATTAAAGGGCCGGGAAGGATTTCCTCAAATCCAATGGAGAGGGGCATTGAAAAGAGGCTGAAGAGGAAAATTAAAAACAGGGAATCTGCTGCTCGTTCTCGTGCCAGAAAACAGGTTAATCTATTTTTGTTTTTTGTTAAAAAGTATTTTGATTCTATTCTGCCAATCTTAATTAATCTTCACTTTCTTGTATCTTTATGTATCTTCAGGCTTACCATAATGAGTTGGTCAGCAAGGTTTCACTGCTTGAGGAGAAAAACATGAGGCTTAAGAAAGAGAAGGTGATTTTAGTTCTTGTACTTTTAACTCTTCTAGTTTTGTATTGCCATTGGCCTCTTTGTCTTATGTCCGGTTATGGGTGGTTTGCATGCTTTCTTTATCTTTTTTGCATAAGTAATTTTAACTTGTAATGTTTGAGTGCCGCAATTTGTGTTTGTCAAGATAGTAGCTTTTCTTGTACAGGATTCACGCCCAAACTTATAGTATGATACTGATAGCATATTAGCATTGCTTAATACAATACCTATCCGTTTAGATTTATTTTTTTAGGAATAGCCTATGCTCTTATATTTATATTATATACCCTATTGTATGTAGTCTTAGTTGAATTACTATCTCTACTCTTGTTGGTGTTTACTTCATGCAGCAAGTGGTTGTTATTCTTTGCCCTGGCTTTCTCTTTTTGGAATAAAATAAAAAATATTCATTTCCAAAATAGAGTTATGTGCAATTAAAGCCAGATTACCAGGTTCCAATTCACACATGCCCATACATTAGCTGGGAATAAATCAAAATTCCTCTCTAGCTCTGACAATGTGTCTATACCTCATTCTTTGCTTTTCAAAAGATATCCAGAATGACCACTCTACCTATCTCTTACTAGTTACTAGGATTCTAGAACACTAGATTGCTCATCTCATTTAGCATCACCTGAAACAGCTGCATTGAAGCTTGTTTTCACTGTCAGAACCATAGGCTTCTTTCCCTTTATATGATTGTGTAAGTAGTCAATAATGTGTTCTCTACAGAAATTTACACAAGGGATCTTGTGGCATACACAATCACACGTATGACCGTCCAGAGGTCACAGACCCCTCATTGAAGTTAAAAAAGATGATTGTGGTCCATCACTTGTTTTTTGCACAACATACAAATACTTGACTTCGGCTGAATCCCCATCTTGAGCAATTTGTCCTAAATTGGCAGTTTTGTTAACTATAAACCCAACTCTTCTGATCTAGATGATAGAAACCTTGCAATTTTGGTCCAGGTCATGTATCACAAGCACATAGTGACTTAGGAGGCTAATATACCCAACTTTATTGAATGATGGTGAATGGTGACATACCTAATCCTGTTCTTTGAATGAAGCTCTTGTGGTTCCTTTTTGGGGGTGAAGTTTGCATTGAATTCAGGCAAGATCATTTAAGATAAGTGTATGGATGATTGTGGTTCCTATTGTACTGAGGGAACTGATTATTGTTCCTTTTATGGGTGTTTTGATTGTGATGATTGCCCAGTCTAATAGAAGCTAGGATAACTCATGTCTTAGAGATTCAGTCTGTATAATTGATGGTTTTTTTAGTGATTCATTAAGATGTTGAGATGTTCAGTCTATACATGGGGGTTCTGTTCTGGTCAGATTCAGTAGAAAGTTATGTCATTGCTGGCAAGTGGCAACACTCGACAACCTCAAGTCTCAATAAGTGGTAAGAATGTTTAACAGCCTTTAGGTAGCAATATTTAGGTAAATTAGTGGTGTTTTTTTTTTGGTGGTGTGTCTCTTTGGTTATATGAAGGTTGATAAGCAAGAAAAAAATCTCTTTGGGAAAATGTGGGTTTAGACTTATCAGATGAAGAAGAATAATCACGATATGTGATGATGATTTGCTTGAAGAAAAGTAGTGAAACATAAAAATTGATATTTTGGAGTTGACTACCTATTATGAGGGTGGTCTTTAGTAGGGTTTCCTAAGCAACAACACATTACATTTTGAGTTGGTTGTCACATGTCAGGCTAACTGCTGCTTAGAGGCCACGGGTGTGATGAATGCTTTTGAACTTGTCAAGGACTCAAGGGAGTGTTTTATCTTGAGTCATATCCAATTGTTGGAAGTGTATTGTTGCCAAATATTAAGGTTGTGTTTCTAGGTAAAGGCTAAAAGTGTAGATGGGTAGAGGTGAGTTTTCTTGTTTGGCAATTGGGTTGCTGGAGGGAAAATAAAGTAGGAGATATGTCTGTGATTAAAATACTTCTATTCTCTTGCTTCTCCTTTGTTTCATCTTACATACTAGAATTATGAAGTGGATTAAGTTGTGAGACACCTTTGAGGAGTGTGAAGCATGAAGATGGACTTTCTTAGTGAATAGCAAGTGAATGAAGGCTTAGTGAGTGAATAGTACAATTGCTGGAGATTTTTTTGTTCTAAATCCCGAGGAACACGTGGGCATTGAGGATGATACTTTAAGGAATTGCTTGTCTTCTAGAAATGGGAGTTCACTTTTAAGGACTTGTGGGCTTGTGGCTATTGTACCTTTAGTTGGATTTGGTGTGTTGATCAAAAGCATAATGAGGTTAGTTCATGGACTGATGGTGTATATGGGAATGTGGTTGTGGCAGGGGTAGGAAAGGGGAAGACTGAGAATTGAGGATGGTGGATTTGTTGGTGAATGTGGCTGTAGTTAAGTAGGAACTGAGAGAATGTTATTATCACTTCTAAATTTAATCTTGAGAGCTTAAGATTATTTTGAGTTAACAATAGTTAAAGCTATTTCGAGATGACTACAGATAATATATGAGTATTATTGTTATGTTTTTTTTTTTAGTCAATCTGCTTAGCTTGTACGCTCCTACAGGTGGGATTGTGATGGTGCGCATCAGGCACAACATGATATTGCTAGTTTGTGTTGGCATTCTTGTAGTTTGTAGTTTGTGTTTAGCTGTTGACAAAAAAACGAAAAAAAGGGGTTAAGGCTTAGCTTTTCTGGGATTGGTTTTGATAATTGTTTGATACTCACATGGAACGCTAAATTATTGCTTTGCATGATACTCCGTATCAAGTATCAATCTAGTAGGAAGTGACAGCTTATCACATTCTGTCCAGCCCAATGGTCTTAGTGGATGGTATATCTGAAAATGCTTCACTAGAACCCCCCCCCCCCCCCACCAAAAAAAAAAAAAAAAAAATGATAATTCTTTCTATTTTTTCTTCTGAAAGACGAAAAAAAAAAAATGAGTTTGTGCAATGGGGAAAAAAAACAAAACAAAAACTTGTGTGACAAATCTACAGAACTTTAAAAAACTTGGTATAGTATCTTTTGATGATTTGTTCCTGCTTTGGAACTCTTCATGATTAAGTGTATAGGTAATCCTCTTATCAGAAAGACTCCCCATGGCTAAGGATGCTAATATTTCTTAAGTGGAAGCTTAAATAAGAATTCTGATTTGAGCATGAGCGCTTTGATGCTATCTTGCAATGATTTCTAAAATCTTAAGCAATTGCAATAATATTCTTCCCTTAAATTCATGAAATTATAATCGAAGTATAGTCCTATTGTTCAGATTGGTTTGTTTGGGTGTGAGTGTGTAGGAACAAAATGGGACTTTATAGGACTTTTTTTCGTAAACTTTGTTAAGGTCCTAGTATTGGTTACTTGATTTTGGAGCTAACATGTTACCTTTTCTATTCTGGTAATCTTCTTGTATAGAGATTAGAGAATTTAATTTTTAGAAACTATGTTGTCTGCCTTTGTCTCCAGTTACATCATGAGGCTATTTGATGAAACAGGTTTGATTTTGCTTTCTTTTTATGTATTTAGGACTTACATTTCTTTATCTTTCAGACATTCACTTTCATCTTTCCGATTTTATGCTCCTCCTTCCCTCTTCTCTTTGGTTGTGCTCTTTCCGTTTCAGAGTTCTGATAGTTTTGACTTTTGACTTCCGTTGCAGGAACTGGAGAGCCGTTTGTCTGTTGAAGTGTCTAATGAACCAAGGTATCAGCTAAGGAGAACCAGCTCAGCCGTTTTTTAATGAGTCTGTAAAGATTTTGTAGGTTAGGCCTCTGGCGCTTTCAGTTTAGTTTATGTATTGTTAATGTTGCAATCACTTGTCCCCATGAAATCACTCCCTAGTCTTGTTAGACAATCTTGCTTCTTGATTAAATTATAACTTATCTTTCTGTATAATTATGAATTTTTATATTTTGAATAAAAAAAAATTTATAGTAATGTGATATTTTGTTATAATCTTATTATTGTATGTAGTATATTTTTAAAATACAAGCATCAACTTTTATCTATTCATAATTAAACATAGTTGTATTAATAATTGAAATCATACATTAACGCATGTGAAAATAAAAGCGATGCAATTAAATGAAACCAAGAAGTTGGTTGTTGGTTTGACATTCTAATTAATTGGAAGTCTAATTTCTTAGGAAGTGAAAATTGGAGAGATTGATTGTTGACATGAGCATAAGAAATTTCCTATTAAGTTCTACTCCCACAAAATAAGTCAAGCTTCCCATGAAATTGGAAAACAAATTTTTATGATCTAACAATATTGCCTAGAAATTGCAAATACAAGAAAAGTGTAACTTCTCAAAGTGCAACCAAACAACCATGAAATATTACATATATAGTCCATAATTGGGAATACAAAAGCAGGAACATGTTCAAACACAAGACATATAGAAACTAAGTGCATAGTTTAAGGTCAAGAAGTAAACCTACTTCAGACCCTATTATCTCTGCAAATTCACCGATTTCTCCTGCGGCTTTGTGTTGATCTCCTCGCTCTTGGCTTCGGTCGTTTCCTTCCAAAAGTTTCCATAAACCAGTCATGATGCCTATCAGTTATGTAGATTTTCCCAATGATAAAACCTACAATAAACCCGCTTGCACATCCCAAAGATCGAATTATCCAATCAATCAACTCCGAGTCTTCTTCTTTCACTCCTGGCGGTGGTTGTTGAGGAGGGTCTGTATCTTCACACTTCTCCGACAATGGAAATCCACAGAGTGCTAAGTTCCCATCAAAAGAGCTATTATCAAAAGTGTTGAATTGTTCTCCTTGAGGTATCTGTCCCTCAAGACGATTGTGAGAGACATTGAAGACCGCAAGAAATGTTAACTCAGTTAACTGTTGTGGGATCTCTCCTGAGAGCATGTTTTGAGAAAGATCTAATGCTTCAAGGTCTATAATGTTTGCAAAAGATGATGGGATACCTCCATGAAGTTGATTGTTGGATAAATTAAGTGCCTGAAGCCCTCTTAGGTTTCCAAGAAGAACCGGAATTCCTCCCGTGAAGCTATTGCTTGAGAAATCAATCACCCGAAACACAGTCAATATCTTCGAGTATACTGTTTCACTGCCTTTATTGCTGATGGTGATTATATAGGAGTAAGGTTGATGCAATGTCATAAATATATTTGAACCACTCCTAATATGTATCTCAATTTCAGAGCTAGATGAATTCAACTGAGCTTCGCTTGTAACTTCCATCGAAAGCCAGTTTCGAAGGTATGTGTAAGGTAAATTACCAGTATGAAAATTATTAGATAGGTCAATTATTCTTAAGCTACTAAAATGATGACCAGGCTCCGGAGTTGGTATTCTGCCATGAAAATTGTTATGCCTCAAAACAAGAATACTCAACTTGGAAAGACTTCCTAACCATGATGGGAAAGTGTCATTAAGATGATTTTTCCCAACATCAAGTACTTCAAGCATTCGACAATTGGACAACGACTTTGGTAACGGTCCTTTCAATTGATTTTCGCTTAAGTTAATCATCTTCAACTTACAAGCCCTTGTGAATGTTTGAGGAATGGTGCCTTGAAGAAGATTGCCACGCAAATTCAAAACTTGCAGAGAATTACCAAGCCGAGGACCAATACAGGTTTGGATCTCACCACTGAAGTTATTCATGGACAAATCTAGGTATGCAAGAGAACTAGCATTGCAGATTTGCTTCGGGATGTCTCCATACAACCGATTTCCAGAGGCATGGTAAACTAGCAAGGACTTTGAAGGAATTAGAAGTCGGCCTTGGAACAAATTTCCCTGAATATACAACGCCCCCAAATTATTCCATGGGAGGAAGACTTGAGGTGGCTGTTCAAAGCCCGTTAAAAAGTTGTCACTAAGGTCGAGTTCTGATAGACTGTCTAAGGTTCTGTTCACAAACCATTGCGGTATGGTGCCCACAATGTTATTTTGTTTGAAGGATAGGAACATTAGATTATCTTGATGATGCAGGAACTGTGGAAATTCTGTTAAGTTGCATGATTGAAGTTCCAGGACAGAAAACTTGGGAAGGGATGAATTGGTGCTTGCATTAGGAAAGAATCTAAGGTTAATATCAGACAAATATAAAATATTTAGATATGGAAGTTTCAGCAAGGTGTCAAACATGGCAACTGAGCCATTGGAAGACAAGAAGAGTGCTTTAAGATTAATCAGCTGAGAAAACGACGGTGGTATCACCGGACCTTGAAACTGATTACCAAGTAGATCTAAGTAGTTTAACTTTGTTAGATTTGCTAGCCAAACTGGAAATGGACCTGTTAGTGGGTTTGAATTAAGATCCAACCAATTGAGTTGAGTAAGGTTTGCTAGAGCAGGTGGGATTTCACCCCATAAACCCGTATTGTGAAGTGCTAGGTGCTCCAGTTTACTGAGCTTAATCAACCAGGAGTTTAATATTTGAGGATAAATCTTAAAACTAAGATCCGAGAGAGTCAAGCTTGTGAGCTTTGTCAAGTTAACTAATGAGGATGGGACTTGTCCGGTGAAACCGGTCTTCCAGATGGTTAACTCAGTCAAGCTGCCAAGATTACCAACGGAATGGGGTAATTCCCCAGAAAATGATGTGCTGCTAAAATCTAAAATTTGAAGAGAGCTATTAGCGAAAACTCTGGAAGAAATCCTTCTAAGGTTGACGTTGCCACTCAAATCGACTAGTTCAAGCTTTGGCAACAGTAATATACCTGGTGGAAATCTACCATATAGATTGCACGTAGCAAGGGAGAGAGATTTTAGAGAGGTCAGGTTGGTTAAACTAACAGGCACAGGATATGATATATCAACAAAATTAAGATAGAGTCGGGTTAAATGAGTTAAATTACTAACCAACTTCTGAAAACTCAAATCATGCTGAAATTCCAATTTGGAGCCACTTACAGCCGATAGGGAAAGATCAAGACTCGAGAGGCTGGATAATTTCAAAATCCCCAATGGAATATGGCCACTGAAATCGGATGAAGAAAGATTGAGCTTTGTTAGTTTGGAAAGGCGCTCAATGGCAGACGGGATTTGAGAAAAGTTGAAGTCATTATCAGACAGATCAAGCACTTGGAGATGATAAAGGCTAAAGAGAGTGCTATTTTGAGGAAATGTGCCGTAAAGGCAACTGCTACTGAGGTTGAGACTAATCACATGACCTGTCTCCTTGTTACATTTGACACCGTCCCACATACAACAATCACCAGTATGAAAGCTAGTTCCGTTTTTCACTTGATCATCAAATGATTCATTCAGCCATGTTCTGACCTTTGGATGTGCAAAGGCCGATTTAGATGCAGAACAAGTAATGAGAAAGCTTTGCTTGAACTGAAGCAAGGCTAAGCTCTCTTGATGATGGCATAACTGCTTCGGATACTGCAAGGAAGCAGGAACAGAATTGTTAGCAAGAGCGATATTACTAGAATCAAGAGAAAGTAATGATGAAACTAAGAAAATCAATAGGCATATTGCAGACCACCAGAAAGCCATGGTGTATCTCAAAAAAAAAAAAGTAGATTGTTTGAGTGAGCAGTGAATGCTTTGGAACTAGACTTCTTATACTAATCAACATTCTATGAGAACATAAGCACAAGGAGTCATTTGTCAAAAAAAGCACAAGGGGTCAACGCCACTCACTATTCTACCAAATGGGGTAGAAAATTAAGCACAATACCAAGACTTCTTGCCCATCTCAAGTCTATTTCCTCATCCATATATTCTACAGAATTTTCTTTTTTTCTTTTTATGGAGGGCAACTATATCTATATACTTCCTCCGTTATGCTATTATTGCTTATTGTAGAGCTCAAACCACTCAGTGTCGATTTGGCTCAATAACAACCCTATCCATACAGCCCACTCAATCACACGAGTAATTACACTTGTGTTCATTTATAATAATGTTCATTAAAAAGTCATGGGCAAGTAGGAACATAGGATACACATATGCATATCTTATAGCATCCATGGAGTTAATTCATTGAGAATTCTGTGCAAGCAGAAGCAACAAACAAGGACAGTCATGCACACATCACCTGATTGAGATACCATCACACACACCTAGAAAATTTGTTTTGAATGGTAGAAGTAGAACCAACCTATAAAGTCCTGGCTAATTTGGTTAGAAATAGACTTTAGATGGCCAAGAAGATTGAGACACATCAAATGATCAGTAATTCAAAGAAGGTTTTCTCCAACTCAATACAAGGGAAATCCCAAATAATGGAAAAAATTGGAAAATTAATGGAAGCTCACTCTATAGTCTATCCCTTCCCTTCCATTCCTTCCCCTTATTTACTTTCCTCCCTTCTCTTTCCCTTCATTAATGCTATCCAAATATAGTGTAAATGACCTTTAATGGTAGCTAGGTCATTTTATAATTACCTAAGTATCATCAGAAATTTACAATCAACAAAGTCCAGATTACAAGGAAGTGACGCCCGGAGTCAGACAAATTACAAACAATTATCTATAGACCAATCAAATTTGCCACAAATTTTAATGTAAAGAATATATAAGGATGAACATACACGTGGCTTCTATGTAGAGTACAATTATGCCTCAGAACTAAAGGAGCAATTGAGTAAGTTTTATATTAATAGCCTTAGCCACTAGCCAGCAATATACTTCTTCTGATATGTATTTTTATACTTACAAGAGTCACAACTGCAGAGCATCCTTAATCAAGATGCAGTTCTCATTTCCTACATGACAGAGAAAAAAAATATTTTCCCCAAATCCAACAACCACCATGTTTTGTGTGATAGAACCAAAAACTTTGATCAAGTAAAGGCCCAGCAAGTAACAGTCAAACAGAATCATTTAGCCATTTTTCAAAAGCCAATTTTTTACTTACTAAAATAGAAGAAAAAAAACAATGATCCAAGGACCAGCAGGAAATGTAACAAAGTGAGATGCCAGCAAGCCAACATTAGCTTAACAAGGGTAAGTTAAAAACTTAAAACAAATCACATATAAAAACCATTAAACCAAGCAATTATAGAAAAGCTAAAACACGAAAATGTTAAGCCAGAGTATTTACCATTTGTTTAAGGCTCTACCCAACTCCTCAGGTGATCTTGTGATTGCAGTTAAGAATGGAAGGTCACCTCAGATATAGAACATTACCAGAAACTTTGACCAGCAAAAATCCAAAATCTCTCATGATTCGCAATCATCTTAATTATTTTCAACTTCAAGTCCTTCTAGGAACTTCTGAAGCAGGCCCTTAGACGAAATACTAAGCTTATCAGAATACAAGAGATCAACAAATAATGAGATAGTGTGTGCATCAGCTTGAAACCCTTTGCTAAACATAAGATCACGATAGTATAAGGCCTTGGAAAAGTCATTATTGAGAATACATCCTCTTATGAGAGTATTGTAGGTGATATCATTGGGTAAACAACCATCTTCCTCCATTTTTCTCAGTACTTTATCAGCTTCTTTCATTAATCCCTCCTTGCAGAATCCTTTAGTCATGATATTGTATGTCTTAGAATCAGGCTGTAGACCCTTAGATTGAAGATCACTGAAGAAAACTACTGCGTCTTCAAGTTGCCCAACCTCACATAAGTTGTCCATTAAGATATTGTAAGTAACAGTAGTAGGCTTAATACCTTTATCGTCCATATCTTCAAGTATTGCAACTGCCTCATCAAGTTGTGCACTTTTGCACAAGCCATCAAGCAATGAATTATACGTGACAACATTAGGAGTAACTCCGTAAGCTTGCATATCTGCGAACAACTGGCATGCAGGTTTAAGTCTATTGGATTTACACAAGCCATCAATAAGAGTTGAATAGGTAACAACATCTGGTGCTATCCCTTTCTCAAACATAGTTTCTAATATAGTAAGAGCTTTGTCAATGTCTTTGAGTTTGACATAACCGTTGATTATAGTACTGAAACTGATAAGATTAGGCTCACAGCCGTTTTGTTTCATAAGGTCAAGTAGCTTTTCCGCATCTTCCATCTGACCACGCAAACAATAACCATCAAGTAAAGCATTGTAAGTTATGATGTTTGGAGCCACACCTTTATCAGTCATGCACTGCAATGTGGCTTGTGCTTCCTCAACATTACCATCTTTACAAAACATGTCAACCAGAATGCTGTAGGTGTCAACAGTTGGTACGATGTTGCTCCTTAACATCTCAGTCAACACATGCTTAGCCTCTTTTCCGCATCCAGAATTGTAGAGGCCTCGGATCAAGGAGTTATAAGTGATAACATTTGGTTTAATGCCCTCCATTTTCATAGTAGAAAACAGGTTCAGAGCCTCTCGCAACAGCCTATCTTTACAAAGACTATCAATAATTGTACTGTATATGACAAGGTTAGGCTTACAATGAGTAGAAGATTGCAGTTTGTTAAGCAAACTGAGAGCACCGGCATTGTCGCCGATCCTACAAAGCCCTTTCACCATAACACCACAGGTAACAATGTCAGGTTGGAAACCTAACTTTACAGTCTTATCCAACAATTGAACAGCTTGAGGGAGCTTATCATTAATGATAAAGCCATTGATTAATGAGTGAAAGAAAACATGATCACGAGGATAACCAAGCTTAAGGCTTTTACCCAAAATAGAGAACCCCAAATCAACGCGACCCAAATGGGAGTAAGAATTAGCAAGTATACCCAACGAATGCCTATCAGATCGAATACCCAGTAATTCAAGCTGCCTGAAGAAAGATACAATGGTGGAATGAGGATGAAGGTGTTTCAATTTGGAAATGGCAGTCAATAGCTGACTGAAAACGACGATTGAAGGAAGACGACGCAAAGAGATCAATTGATTGAAGAGAGATTGTGGAAGTATGAGATCGGAAAACCCTAATTTGCATTGTTCTCTAACAAAATTGAGAAATAGTTTACGGTCTTCAATTGCAATAATTGTTTTACTGGAAAAATGTCGTGAAAAATAAAATTGAGAGATGAAATTGAAAGGGGAATTAATACAAGGAAGAAGAAGAGTTGAAGATTTACCAATGGAAGCAGAACATCTGAAATTAGGAGTAATCTTCATTTGTTGAGTATTGTAAGTTCCAAGTGATTTGCCTTGTAACAGAAAAACACCATTAATGGAGACAGGAAGCTAAGTATGGTGTTTTAGTAGCAGCAGCTTTGCAATTAATCGTCATCGTTATTCCTGCTCTTCTATTTCTCTTGATTTTCTGACTTTTGTTTATTAAATTTTAAGTAATATTTTCTCGGTCTTTTTTTGTTTGCATCATGGTAGTAGAGCTTTCAAAAGTTAACCCGATCCGAAACATCGACTCAAACCCGATTATTAACCGACTCATCTAAACCCGAAAAAATGGTGACTCAAACCCGACCTGAAACCAACCCTAGACTCGAGTTGACCCAAGTATGTGAGACCTGAACCCGAAAATGAACTAACCTAGAGATGACCCAACCCGAATGTAACCCGTAAATTATTGACCTGAACCGAACCCGACTTGAACCGAAATCGACCTAAACCCGTTTTAACCCATCAAAATCCGAATTTAACCCGACTTGTTACTAACTTGACCTGATTTCAACCCGATCCGTCCCTAACCCGGCCCGAATTTAACCTAACCTGTTACAAATCCAACCCGAAATCAACCCGACTTGTTATTAACTGACCCAAATTCAACCCGACTTGTTATTAACCCGACCGGAATTTTACCATACCTATTACTAACCAGACCCAAAAATTCAACCCGATCAGTTACTAACCCGACTCGAAATCAACACGACTTGTTATTGACCCGACCTAAATTCAACCCAAATTGTTTTGACCCGATTTCAAATCACCTTAAATGCAATTTAGACCACCTTATTATTGTTGATCAAAGCATTTTGTCTAGGGAGACCAAGTCAGTCCAGGCCAACAAAAGAAAGGAGCATCATCCTCAAATTTAAGAGTTAAATATAGTATATATTTGTTATATGGTCAAAGAAGATAATTATCTCACTAAACTATATACTATAGTTCCCTAGTATATTTCCATATATATTATAGTTAAAGGAAATAATTATTTTGATAAAAATGATAATTATCTATTTATGGTAAGTTGAACCCGAATATAACCTGACTTGGAAATGACCCAACCTGATTGTAACCTACAAATTATTGACTTGAACATAACTCGACTTGAATCCGAGAATGACCTGACTTGGAAATGACCTAACCTGATTATAACCGCAAATTATTGACTTGAACCGAACCCGACTTGAATCCGAGAATGACCCGACTTGAAAATAACCTAACCTGATTATAACCCACAAACAATTGACTTGAACCGAACCCGACTAAAACCCCAGAATGACCCTACCTGATTCTAACCCGTAAATTATTGACTTGAACCGAACCCGACTCAAACCCGAGAATTACCCTAACCCTTTTTAACCTTTCAAAATCCGAATTAAACTCGATTTATTGTACACCCGACCCGAATGTAACCCGACCTGTTATTAACCCGTCCTAAACTTGACCCAAGCCTAATAAAAAGTATGACCCGACTCAAGCATGACCAAACCCAAACCTGACCTGCATAGGTTATGGAGTTAATCCGAATTGACCCAACCCGAGTTGACCCGACCCACTCTTATCGACCCAATCCTGGCCCGAATACCCAAATTGACAGCTCTACCCGAAACCTCCAAAATTTCTCAAAACCGTGGATTATAGCCTTCAAGTTTGTAATTTTTTGACTTTTTTTCACCCAGAAATAAAAAAAATTTGCCGAAATGTTTACCATGATCCCTAATACCCCCTGGGAGTCCAATTAGCTCGGTGAAACCATCTAATTTGTCTTTAAACGAGTAATTTACCGGTTTACAACTTACACTAATTTCATTAACTCAAGCCTACCACGAACATTTATGACAACATATAATGATCATATATGGTTCCAAACGGCATTATATGACCCTGAGATGTATCCCCTAAAATCTCAATGCTTTTCGACACCGAGCCCTGAAACATTCGAAATTTCTCAAAAAGCGTGGATATAGCCTTCAATTCATGAATTTTTTGACTTTTTTTTCTCTCGGATATAAAAATTGGCAAAAATTTTACCATGGTCCCTAATGCTCTCCGTGAATCCAATTGGGTGGGTGGAACCATCCAATTTGCCTTTAAACGTCCAATTTACCAGTTTACAACTTACACCAATTTCATTAATTCAAGCTTACCGCGAACATTTATGTCAACAAATAATGATCATATATGGTTTTAAACGAAATTAAATGACCCCGATATGTATTCCCTAAAATTTCAAGACTTTTCGACACCGAACCCCCGAATACTCGAAAAATTCTCAAAAAGCGTGGATATAGCCTTCAATTCATGAATTTTTTGACTTTATTTCGCCCAGAAATAAAAATTGTTGAAATGTATACCATGGTTTCTAATACCCTCCGCGAGTCCAATTGGGTGGGTGGAACCATCCAATTTGCCTTTAAACGGCCAGTTTACCGGTTTACAACTTGCGCCAATTTCATTAACTCAAGTCTACCACAAACATTTATGACAACATATAATGATCATATATAGTTCCAAACGGCATTATATGACCCCGAGATGTATCCCCTATAATCTAAAGGCTTTTCGACACCGGTTCCCAAAACCTCCAAAATTTCACAAAAAGCGTAGACAAAAGTCTTCAATTTTGGAATTTTTTTTACTTTTTTTCGCCCGGAAATAAAAATTTTCGAAATATTTACCATGGTCCCTAATACCCTCCGAGAGTCTAATTGGGTGGGTGGAACCAACCTATTTACCTCTATATGGCCAATTTACCGGTTTACAATTTGCACCGATTTAATTAACTCAAATCTACTAAGAATATTTATGACAACATATAATGATCATATATTGTTCCAAACGGCATTATATGACCCCGAGATGTATCCCATATAATCTCAAAACTTGTCGACATCGGGCATCAAAACACCCCAAATTTCTCAAAAAGCGTGTATTTCAATTTTGGAATTTTTTGACTTATTTTCGCCCGGAAATAAAAATTTCCGAAATGTTTACCATGTTCCCTAATACCCTCCGGGAGTCCAATTGGCTGGGTGGAACCATCCAATTTGCCTTTAATCGACCAATTTACCGGTTTATAACTTGAACTAATTTCATTAACTCAAACCTACCATGAACATTTATGACAACAAATAATGATCATATATGGTTCCAAACGGAATTATATGTCCCCGAGATCTATCCCCTAAAATTTCAAGACTTTTCGACACCGAGCCCCAAAACCTCTAAAATTTCTCAAAAAGTGTGGATATTAGCCTTTAATTTTGTAATTTTTTGACTTTTTTTCGCCCAAAAATAAAAACTGCCAAAATGTTTATCATGGTCCCTAACACTCTCCGGGAGTCCAATTGGGTGGGTGGAACAATCCAATTTGCCTTTAAACGACCAATTTACCGGTTTACAACTTGCATCGTTTCATTAACTCAAGCCTGCCATGAACATTTATGACAACAAATAATGATCATATATGGTTCCAAATGGCATTGTATGACCGTGAGATATCTCGCCTAAAATTTCAAAACTTTTCAACACCAAACCCCGAAACCTTTAAAGTTTCTCAAAAACTGTGGATATTAGCCTTCAATTTATGAATTTTTTTACTTTTTTCGCTTGAAAATGAAAATTGCCGAAATGTTTATCATAGTCTCTAATACCCTCCGGTAGTCCAATTAGGTGGGTGGAAGCATCCAATTTGACTTTAAACGTCCAATTTACCGGTTTACAACTTGCACCGATTTCATAAACTCAAGTCTACCACGAACATTTATGACAACAAATAATGATCATATATGGTTCCAAACGACATTATATGACCCCGAGATGTATTCCCTTAAATCTCAAGTCTTTTCGACACCGGGTCCCAAAACCTCAGAAATTTCTCTAAAAACGTAGATATTATCCTTCAATTTTGGATTTTTTTTAACTTTTTTCGCCTGAAAATAAAAATTGGCGAAATGATTACCATAGACTCTAAAACCCTTCGGTGGTCCAATTGGGTGGGTGGAAGCATCCAATTTGCTTTAAAACGACCAATTTACCGATTTACAACTTGCACCGATTTCATTAATTCAAGCCTACAATGAACATTTATGATAAAAAATAATGATCATATTGAAGGAATTGTGTCTTCGATAAGTGCAATTACTAGATATATCAAGGATCACTATTATGGAGATAATAAGTTCATTCTATTGCGGCGTCATCCTCTATTGCTAGACTATGAGAGATGATCTTTGGGCTAGTCAAATAGTCCAAAGCCCTTTAGAATGGATCCTATAAGGTCACACACAAGGGTAATGGGTTAAGCAAGTTAGAGGCCCATTAATGGGCCTCATGAGCATTTAATTAGTCATAAGTATGATTGGGCTAAGTGTAGTTTGAGTGGGATTAGGAATTGGGCTTTGACTTGGACTATTATTTAGAGATATGATCTATAAATAATAGTCATGCCTAGGGTTGATTAATTAAGTCACAATTAACATACAGTGAATTGTGAATCTAAGCAACCAACATCCAAAGCCCTCTCCCCTCTCAAACTCACGGCCCTATCTCTCTCCTCTCACCCACGGCCGGCCACCCTAGTGGTCCTCGTGGTGTTGCGCGGTGGTTCTTGGCTAGTTCGTTGTTCGTTCATCTCCGTAGAAGGTCGATTGAAGAGTTCTCTCGCGACTAACTAGAATTAGTGGAGGTCTTAATCTGTGCCCGTGGACCAAGTAGAGGAATCACACTTGAGGTTCTTTATCTCCCTAGTTCTTGCTCGATCACCGGTGGAATCACGCTTCAAAGGTATAATTCTTACTTCTTTATGTGTTATGCATGAGATCCTTGGTTTGGTGCTATATGAATATGATTCATGTTAATTCCGCAATTAGTACCTATAATCTCCTACACATATATGGTTCCAAATGGCATCATATGACCCCCAAGATGTATCCCCTAAAATTTCAAAACTTTTCAACACTAAGCCCCGAAACCTTTAAAATTTCTCAAAAAGTGTGGATATTAGCCTTAAATTTTTGACTTTTTTCGCCCGAAAATTTTATGCCAAATTGTTTACCATGATCCCTAACACCCTGCGGGATTCCAATTGTGTGGGTGGAACCATCCAATTTGCCTTTAAACGACCAATTCACCGGTTTAAAACTTGCACCGATTTCATTAACTCAAGTCTACCATGAACATTTATGACAATAAATAATGATCGTATATGGTTCCAAACGGCATTGTATGACCCCGAGATATATCCCCTAGAATTTCAAGACTTTTCAACACCGAGCCTCGAAAACTCCAAAATTTCTCAAAAAGCGTGTATATTAGACATTAATTTTGGAATTTTTTGACTTTTTTTTTTCGCCCGAAAATAAAAATTGGCGAAATATTTACCATGGTCCCTAATACACCTTCGGGAGTCCAATTAGGTGGGTGGAACCATCCAATTTGCTTGTAAACGACCAAGTTACAACTTGCACTTATTTCATTAACTCAAGGCTACCACGAACATTTATGACAACATATAATGATCAAATGTGGTTCTAAACGACATTATATGACCCCTAGATGTATCCTTTAAAATCTTAAGGTTTTTCGACACCGGGCCCCGAAACCTCCAAAATTATTCAAAAAGCGTGGATATTAGCCTTCAATTTTGAATTTTTTGACTTATTTTCGCACGGAAATAAAAAATTTCGAAATGTTTACCATTTTCACTAATACCCACCGGGCGTCCAATTGGGTGGGTGGAACTATCTAATTTGCCTTTAAACAACCAATTTATCGGTTAACAACCAACTTGCACCGATTTCATTAACTCAAGCCTACCACAAACATTTATGACAACAAATAATGATCATATATGGTTCCAGACGACATTATATGACCCCGAGATGTGTCCCCTATAATTTCAAATCTTTTCGACACCGGGCCACGAAACCTACAAAATTTCTCAAAAAGCGTGGATATTAGCCTTCAATTTTGGAATTTTTCAACTTTTTTTCTCCCGAAATAAAAGTTGCCGAAATGTTTACCATGGTCCCTAATACCCTCCAGGAGTCCAATTGGGTTGGTGGAACCATCCAATTACCTTTAAACGGCCAATTTACCAGTTTACAACTTGCACGGAATTCAATAACTCAAGCCTACTATAGTTTCAAACGGCATTATATGACACCGAGATGTATCCCCTAAAATATCAAGACTTTTCAACATCAAGCCCCGAAACCTAAAATTTTTTCTAATAGCCTTCAATTTTGCAATTTTTTGACTTTTTTTTAACCGGAGATAAAAACTGCCGAAATATTTACAATGGTCCATAATACCCTCTGGGAGTCCAATTCGGTGGGTGGAACTAATTTGCCTTTAAACGGCCAATTTTACTGGTTTACAACTTGCACCGATTTCAGTAACTAATGTTTACCACGAACATCTAGGACAACATATAATGATCATATATAGTTCCAAACGGCATTATATGACCCCCAGAGTATTCCTTTAAATCTCAAGACTTTGCGATTCCGGGCCTCGAAACCTCCAAAATTTCTCAAAAAGCGTGGACATTAGCCTTCAATTTTTTTGAAATTTTGACTTTTTTCGGCTCAAAAATAAAAATTGTCGAAATGTTTACCACGGTCGCTAATACCCTCCGGCAGTCCAATTGGGTGGGTGGAACCATCCAATTTGCCTTTAAACGTCCAATTTACCGGTTTACAACTTGCACTAATTTCATTAACTCAAGCCTACCACGACCATTTATGACAACAAATAATGATCATATATGGTTCCAAACAACATTATATGACCTCGAGAGGTATTCCCTAGAATCTCAAGTCTTTTCGATACCAGACCCCGAAATCTCCAAAATTTCTCAAAAAGCGTGGATATAAGTGGGATGGATCTCGGTTTGGCGGTGGTGGGGCGGGGATAGGGATAAAAACCATACCCGCCATGGGTGATGGGGCGGGGATGGATTTTAAGTTGTACCTGCCCCATTCCCGCCCTGTCCCATCTCCACCTTATACCCACGTCTATATATTTTAAAAAACAAAATTATATACTTTTATACTATTTTATAAAATAATTACATCAAATAAAATATTAATTATAATACTTTGTATTACACTTATATTATAAACAAAAAATGTGTATAATATTAAGAATGTTTTATTATTATAATCCGTACGGAGTATTAATCATGTAGGATTGTGTATTTAAGAGACAGTGATTAGGTGGGTCTTGGGTGGGGATGAATATCTAAGTGGGGGGGTGGGGCGGGGATGGGGATGAATATCCTAGTGGGGGGTGGAGCGGGGATGGGGATGAATATTGGACCCGCCGCGGAGATGGGGATGAGGATGAGGATGAGGAATTGAGGATGAAAATGTTAGGTGGGGATGGGGATGGGAAGGCCAACATCTGCCTTGACCGCCCCATTGACATCCCTACCGAGAAATAAGTAAGCATACTAGGAGAGAGGTGCGAGGGATCTTAGAAATTTATGATCTATCCTAAGATGGTCGGTGAGGACTCAGGAGTAAGGATGAGGAGAGACTTCAAGAGATGAGCCTGCAGTCCAAACTCTAAGACGTGTAGGCCTATCCGCCTATGTATACTATTGGTCAATGTTGCTCCGTGTGATTCTAATTGCCACATTCGGATTAGGACTTAATACTGAGAACAAAATCGGTACTATAATTGCTGGGATCAAGACAACCCATTTCGCTAGGAGGAAGGCGTCACACAACAGAAAACTGTCAAAGAACAAACATATCTGTTCACATGATGTGTTCTTAAACTTCTAATTGAAATCTGTTAGTCTGTAGGCTCGAAAGGTACTGTCCTGGTGCGTTGTAAACTTACTGAAGGTCAAGCTCTTATTCTGTGCTAGACAGAGTTTTTCTGAGTCAAAAAAGTATGGTATAATTGATGAATGTAAAGTATACAAATATACAAGTATTGTGTGTATATACAATCCTATCCTAAATTGAAAAAATCAATAAGCTGAAAACCAATCTCCAACAAAAGCCAATAAGATGTTAAAACTTCTGAAGCCAATGGAAGATGTTTTCACCAAATTTGATTATCCCAGCTCCAAAATCTCCTCTAGTTGCAAACTTGCCCATACCTGAAGCAGGCAATCGGACTAATAACTCGAGTTACCATAACACAGGAGATCATCAAATAATGAGGAAGTGTGTGCATCAGCTTTGAATCCTTTGCTAACCATAAGATCACGATAGTATAATGCCTTTGACAGGCTGTGATTGAGAATATAGCCTCTGATGATTGTATTATAGGTAATATCATCAGGGAAACAACCATCTTCCTCCATTTTCCTCAATAAATCATCAGCTTCATTCATTAATCCCTTCTTGCAGAAGCCTTTGATCATTACATTGTATGTTATACAATCAGGCTGTAGACCCTTTGACAGAAGATGACAGAAGATATTTTCAGCATCTTTAACGCGCCCAGATTCACAGAAGCTGTCAATTAAGATATTGTACACGACAGTATTAGGCTTGACACCATTAACCTCCATATTTTCGAGCAATGCTACTGCCTCATCAAGCCGGCCACTTCTGCATAGGCCACCAAGCAATGAAGCATACGTGAAAATATCTGGAGGAACTCCACGAGCTTGCATTTCCAAGAGCAACTGGAGTGCAAGTGGGAGTTTATCGGCTTTGCACATACCATCAATAAGAGTATTATAGGTTATAACATTCGGTGTCATTCCTTTCCGATACATTTCCTGGAATATGTTTAGAGCCTTGTCAATGAAATTAAGCTTAATATAACCATTAATCACAGTATTAAAACTGACAACATTAGGCTCACAACTATTCTTAGCCATGAAAATCTTTTTCGCATCATTCACCTGACCACGCAAACAATAACCATTAAGAAAAGCATTGTAAGTAATGATATTCGGAGCCTCACCACTATCAATCATTAGCTCAAGAACGGCATAGGCTTCATCAACACTCCCGTCTTTACAAAACACATCAACCAACATATTATAAGTCTCAACAGTCGGCGCAATGTTGTCTACCAACATCTCATTCAACATAAGCTTACCCTCATCCCGGTATCCACAATGGTACAAACCTCGAATCAACGAGTTATAAACGATAACATCAGGTTGAATACCCTCATTTTTCATAGCAGAAAACAAGTTCAGAGCCTCTTGTAACATCGTATCTTTACAGAGACTATCAATTACAGTACTATATATAACAAGGTTAGGCATACAATGCCCTTGTGACTGCATTTTCTCAAGCAAATCAAGAGCACCGGCATTGTCGCCGATCCTACAAAGCCCTTTGAACATAGCACCATAAGTAACAATATCGGGTTTGATTCCTAAGCCGACAATTTTATCCAACAATTGAGCAGCTAATGGGAGCTTATCATTATTGATATAGCCATTGATTAAGGTGGTAAGGGTAACACAATCGGGCGGATACCCGAGTTTAATCTGTTTACCAAGAAGAGAAAACCCGAAATCGATACGACCCAAATGGCAGTAAGAATTGGCAAGAATACCCAATGAATGCCTATCGGGTCGAATACCATAACAATGGAGGTGGGCGAAGAGAGAGATAATGATGGAATGAGGTTGAAGATGCTTCAGTTTAAGAATGGCGGCGAAAAGCTGATTGAAACGTAAGATTGAAGGAAGAGGACGAACAGAGGTCATTTGGTGAAAAAGGGAAAGGGGGTAATTGAGATTTGAAAACCCTAATTTGCATTGTTTTTGAACTGAATTGAGAAATACAGTACGGTCGTTGATTGAAGAGGAAGATTGGGAATAATTTCTGGAAAATAAAGGGATTTCAAACAAAAAGATTAATGGAGTTGGATTGCATGTAAACTTCATTCCTAAATTTTATTCAACTTCTCTCTCGCTTCTTCATTTGACGCATTGTTGTGGTGTGGACTGTGGTCGGCTGTGGAGGGCTTGCTCCAGTTGCTTCTAGTGTTAACTAATATTGTGTCCGAGCATGGCTAATACGGAGTAAGATAGCTTCTTTGAACTTATCTAAACTGATTTTGTCTAAACATGTTCTTAGGGTATGTTCTGATTACGAGTAACTGAACTGAGCTGAATTGAACTGAGCTGAATATTTTATGTGAAAAGGAAATTAAAAACTGAACTTATTGGAGTTGAATCAAAAAATAAACTGAAGATAACGGACTCTTAATGTGCCCAATTTCAAAACACTTGTGTATTGTAATGCTCCATGATAACTAAGGGCATTGCAATATGTTATACTTGTAGGTTACAAGTAACTCTTTGAGGTAACTCAATTTTAGAAATATTTTACTTTTTTTTTTTTATCGATGAAACTAGTTTCTTGACTCGAGCTTCACTCTAGGTTAATATAATTTAAATTATTTAAATTATTAATATTTCACTTCAAAAAAGAAACAAAAAAAACACTCCAAAATTTTATAATTTAATGAATTGAGGGGGAAATGGTAAAGGATCTCCACCCTCAAAATATCACTAGTAGGGATTGAACACCTAATTTCAAGGTTGGAAGGTACAATGCTAATCACTAGACGAAGCTTAGCTTGATAAATCAGAAGATATTAATGTTAATCTTGAGGTCATGAGATCAAATCTATAAAAGAAACCACATATATGGATTTTTTTTTTCAAGGACTAAATACTCCATGTAGCCCATTGAATTTTCAATAATTTCCGTACTAAAACATAACCATGCATAATATTAGTAGCATATATCGTCAATTACTATTATTAACTATTATAATAATTATAATCATTATTTGCAAGTTCATGTTATTGAATGTTAAGATTTGATGGAAATTGTGATAAGAATTGAGGTTATATGAAGTAGGATTTTTTCAAGGGGGGTTAACAACATCTATTAAAGGTTTGAAAGCTTGTGATTAAAGTCAGAAGATGACACTTAATTAGCTTGTTGGCTAATCTAATTAATTAGCAACAAGTACGAATATAAGGTAGTCCTTATCCTTATTGACACTATTTCATGAAACAGATCATTTAATCAATTAATCCTATAATCAAAGATATAATCTTTATATCTTTTGTCAAAGATATAATCTTGATTTTGATATTTGTTGCTAATTAATTAGCTTAGTCAAGTCCAGTCATCGCCTCATAATAACATCAACTAGTATAATAATGCTCAAAACATCTGAGTATATTATTAAGTTGCTTTCCATGAGTCAATGATGAAGTAGTTGAGTGTAGGACTGTTAAACTTAATACTTATCATTATAATACCATTTAAGAGTTTTAGTAAAAAATAATTGTCTACAACTCCTGGAATCAAATGGAGTTTTAAAGACTCTTCCTGATTATCTTTGGTCATTATCAAAGCAAATTGCATATATTCTAATGAAATTTTGGAATACTAGCCAAAAGATTGATAGAAAAGAGAGAGCCCAAGATGTAATTAGTAACTTAAGACGGTTTCCTCCGGCATGTAACAAACATGCCTCCATTCTCCTGCACTCTGAATACAAACCCAACAATACAAACTCACACAAGCACTGGACAAGACGTGAGTTGCTACCTAGAGTGCTACGGCAAGGATGCAAGTACCTCCAATAGGGAAGCTACAAACTGCATCTGGGTTTCTTCGTTTATAGTAGAGAATAGGGGCACATGTACAAATAGGGACTTTGTCCCGTTTTGCTCTGCGAACCAGAGTGAATGGTAGTAGACATAGTTACACACGAAGCGGCCTGCATCATCGGATGTCATCACCTCGTAACCTTTTTTTGTCAAAACCGATGTAATCTCCTCAACGGCGAGTGAAGTCTGGATAAAAAATAAAAATGACTTTTAAACAATGGAAAATTGAAGTGCTATCAATAATACAATAAGAAAAAAATGCATAACGACTTAGTTTCAAGATTTTAGAGCTTCATATTATATTATTCATGAGTAGTACTTAACTATAACTTTTCTTGTATCACTGGACAATTATATGTTCGTCATAAACAACAATTCACTAGTTAGTTGAAATACCAATGAAATGATAACGACTTCTACAATCATTCCATTATATTTTTACAAAAAGGGGAAAAAAAAAGATACAACTACAACCCTACATACATGACTTAAACGAAATTGAAGGAGTAATCGATAATATTGGCAACATGTGATCCCAGACGGACAACAACTTAAAACGAAACATCAACATACTAATTCTTTCTCTGAGTTCTATTCTAAATTTCTAATAGAATGGTAGGGAAACTTGTGAATTAAGTGTACTTGATAAGTTCCCTTACTAGTCTATTAGAGTAGAACTCAGAGAAAGAATTATAGGAGAAAATAGCAGTTGCCTCTCAAACTGCAAAAAGAGAGAACACTTGCACACCTTGCCGGCAAGTTAAAGCTCAAAAGTAGACGAAAAATCCATTACTCACTGACAGGGTGCATTGAAGGTTAATGGTCTAGCACAATTATTTAGCAGTTTATTGATGATGTCCTTGGCAAATATTTTGCTAGACCAAGTGAATTTACTTATCAGGTTATTAATAGTTTAATACCTATATTAAGATGTTCCTCAAAAAAAAAAAAAAAAAAAAAAAAAAACTAAATTATGATGGGCAGGCACTCTTAAATACACGTAAACCCTTGGCACTTCCAAGAGACAAAAGTTTCCAGTACTCCATCTCCAACCTCACTTTTTACAGAAATTAGTGTTCAATATAGTCAACAGTCTATTGTGAGAGAGAACTTGTAAATCAGAGAGAATGTAGTTTTTCAAGAGATAATTAACACAATCTGGAGAGCTGTTCTACAAACAAGAAAACCTGTTTGGGAGACTTGAACACGGATGTCCACTTTTCATTCTCGTTGAAGATAATTTTTTTTGTTTTCAACATCAGAACATTCCTTCAGGTTCTTTAATTCCTTGAATATTTATCAGTCTTTCACCTAATATTTGCATGAGCAATTTTAATATTACTAGTATAATTTATACTTACTACAGTGTATGTTAATTAATTGCGATTGATGCAACACCCCCCCCCCCCCCCAAAAAAAAAAAAAAAAAAAACCAAGAAGAAAGAAAAAAGCAATTGCTTGTACTCATGAAAACATAAACAACATAACGATATATCCCAACTTCCTGAAACAAAATCCAATTATTCAGATACTAGGTAAACAACTAAACAACATTCATCATATCTCACAAAGATCGCTTTGACACTCAAAAAAAAACTGTAATATAAGTGGTTTAATATTATCCAGTATTCATCTTAAGGTGGTTTTCAGCACTAAACAAAAAGATGAGAGTGTTTGAGCACATAGTAATGAAAGGATAAGAAAAGTGCAAAATTACCTTTCTTGTTCTAGTGATCTCTCCATCTGCAGGAATAATCTGGACTTTCTGCAAGTGAATAGAGAAAGAATTAGACACCGGAGTAAAAGTGAAAAGCTTAAACAGAGGAGGATAACAAGAGGGAATCCATATAACCTGAGGTTTCCATCCCATTTCATCAGGGCAGCGAAAAGTGGCTTCGTTGACAGCCTGATTCTCAATAGCAAATCGTGTAGCGCCACTGTTAACTCCTAAATGTAACTGCAGTAAACAAACAAAAATCCATCATAACATTATAGCGCACCACAAAATATTTTTTACAAGGACCCTTTCTCTTTAGGGGGGAACGGGGAGGGGCGCTAGGGGGTTGTACACTGATCCTAGGATGGTTTGGTTCTCATTCTTGTAGGCTGTATAATATCTCATTGTATGGTCTAACCAGAATAACCTCAACATTTTTTTCAAAAAAAAAAAAAAAAAGAATAACCTCAACATTAATCCAGCTTCCAAGTTTTATAATGAGGAGAGAGTATTTACCAATACGAGATAGAATAGATCATTTGTATAAACGATTGAAAAGTGACATTCAGATTCAATTCATAACCAGAAAATCTACTTTAAACAACAGATTATATAACCAAACATAAAGCTACTTCCTTTCACTCCTGCCCACATAGGCCAAACATAACTGTTTGTGACAATCTAACGCACAAATCACATTACAGAATCAGAAATTGAGCAGAGCCAGGTAATATTATTCTCATAAGAAGCGCAATGTTAATCCTCTTATCCCAAGTACAGAAACCTTTTTTTATATAGCCTTTTATTGCTGCTGCTAAAAACATAATAGGAACCTAAAACTGACAAATTTTCACCATTTCTTGGATTCTAATGGGTCTGTATCACTATCTAAGCAATCCATGATCATACCATAAAACTTCTTCAATAAGTGAAAGCTAATAGGTTACTCAAAGTATGATGGTCAACGTATCGTATAGGCAGAACAAAAGTGCACAAGTCAAGCACTCCACGTTGACAGAATCACCGCCTTCAACGGCTTTTAGAAAAGTCATGATTCAGCTTTAATTACAACAGATCTCAGGAAGGGAAACAACAAGACTTGAAACAACTATTCTGCATCAAAGGTTATTTGAAAAAAACATGTAGAAGTAAAGAGGAACTGACCCAAATAACTTTCCCTGAATTAGGCAATTCTGAATCATTCTCGTTAATTGCAGATTGCAGCGTCTGATGAAGAGGAACAACTGCTCCATGTCCTGCAGTCTCAAGAATATTGCAGCTTCCTAGAGCCAACCCTTTCGGCAAACCCTTCTTCTCCATGTACTCTTTCAGATTACGCACAATCGTTTCAGTTGGATTTTCAGCAACTCCGTGGAACTTCTTAAAACCCGTCACATGAACCGTTACTGGTGATGGTGCAGGACCTTCTGAACCCATGATTTAACAATCCAGATACTATGTACCACCAATATATGAGCTTAAATTAACAATAGCCTGCATCAGAAGACAGTAATAGACCAAATTTGAGAACAACTAGCAAACTATATGGAATAAGAATACTGTTTCAGCACAACATTAAATTAAAATTTTAAGAACATGTTTGTACACTTTAAAAATTATAAGCAGTGCAAAGTCTGAGGATGGATTCACCATCTCCCAAACTCAAGAGAGATGTTTAAAATTTAAAATAAATTACAACGAAGCCAATCTAGTTAAAATTCAACAGAAATATTCTACATACACGAAGTGTGAACATAGTCATATCATCATGAAAAGTTAAACAAAGTAAACTCAGGAAAAAGGACTCAAACAGCCTGAAATATAAAATCTAGAAATTGCAAGAAATTGACTTACTTAGAAGGTAGAAACCTAAAAGATACTCTAAAACACAACTAAGAATTTTTCTGTCTCATCAAATTTAAGCTTCAAATAAAAGCTTCAAACTAAACCCAATATAAAGTGCCTGAGAAACTTCAGAGTTTTGAAGTGAAAGAAACGTGACCTTAGAAGTTAAAACAAACCACTTATCACTCTCATAAGCACGATAATCATGCCGCAAAAACAGCTGATTATCTGATAAACAACTAATTAAGTGTAACGGAATTTAATTAAACAAAAAATCTTAATAATTTACCACAAAAATTTTGTCAAAGTTTGAAACTTTGATCCACAATTCGGATAAATACCCACTAATCATACCAATTAATATTCCTAAACCCCACAAAAATTAAGAAATTGAAGCCAAAAAACAAAATGAACCCATGATTAACAAACCAATTAATTAAACAAAAAGATCAAAAACCCAGAAATCAAACCTGGAAAAAACTTGAATTTCACAAATGACTTAAAAATTAAACAAGAAAGATGAGAACTTTGAATACCTGTAAATAGGAATTATAGTAGGAACAATAATGAAGAGAAAAAGGGGATAAAATATGGGTTAATAATAATAATTGAGACAACCACCAATCTTATCTGGTTTTTCTTTGATTAATACTGGGTATTGAAAGATTCCAAGTAGAGAAATGGGGAATAATAATTATATACAACTACAAAACGTGGTTGATTGGCGATTAGATGATGATGTTGATGAGAGTTGTAGTGGAAGGTCACTTTCTTTTTGTGTGCCTTTCTTAGAAAGTCTTTTTCTAATTACTAGTAGTTGTGCGAGATTTAACTATATTGGACCAACATTTTATTTAAATTATAAAGTTTCCGAGTACACCTACAGTGATTAATGTAATCAAAGGTTCGAGCGTATATATTTAATTATTTATTGCTCGTTGAATGATTAAGTAAGAATTATTTTCACGGATACTTAACTCTATCTACTTTGTATTTATGAAATACGTAGTATAAAATATTTATTAATTAATACACGGATGATGTTTCTAGAACGGGGTCTAAGCAGGGGTATATCAAAATTTATGTACTAAATGTTTCAAATTTGTATTTTGGGTTCAATAAAACTTAAAGGGTCACATTTTTTGTCATTGTACGATTTGTACCAATTAAAAACAAAACAAAACGAATAAAGAGGACATTTTTTTTGGATTGGATTCGTCTAGTAAAAAATCAATGGGTATCTAGGGGTGTCAACGGGGCGGGGCGGGGCGGATTTTGGCATTCCCATCCCCATCCCCGCCTCACATTTTCATCCCCATCCCCATCCCCATCCCCATGTCGGGTCTGAAAATAATCCCCGTCCCCGCCCCGGCGGGTCCAACTCTAAAACCACCCCCGCCCCATCCCCGTCCCCGCCCCATACCCGCCAAACCCCCACCCCATACCCGCCAAACCCCCGCCCCATCCCCGCCAATTCCCCGCCCCATACCCGCCAACTTAGTATTGAGAAAAGCAACTGTCTTTCAAGTTTCAAGTGTCAACTGAAACCCTGCAGACTTCATAGTAGACTAATGAAAAAGTAGCAGTGCATACAAATCCCATTAACTCAAATCCAACAAAAACCACTGCAAGATCAACCATTTTAAAAATAACCATTTTAAAAAAAAAAAAATAACTCCAAATTGTCCAAAGTCCAAATATTAAAAATAACTACAAGTCTACAAATATTCAAATACATAACAAGAAATTCATTAGGCCTTGAATTATTCGGTGCAAAGTCCACTTGTTCCAGAATCGATATCACATGTTTCAAATCCTTCCTCTAATTCTCCCACTAATTTAGCATATTCATCATCCTTAAATTCTCCACAATCTGCAAATACAATGTGAATTAATCAAAATAAATAAATAAATAATATTATTAATTAAATAAAATTTTATTTTAGCTATTTACTTTTAGAAGCAGCCCATATCCAATTTTGAGTACACATCAAAGCTTCTACAGCTTCCGGTAAAAGCCGACTACGATAAGGATTAAGAACCCGACCACTTGTGCTAAATGCGGACTCTGATGCAACAGTAGAAACAGGAATGCTCAATATATCTCGTGCTATTTGCTGAAGAATGGGATATGTGCCTCCATTTGTCTTCCACCAGTTAAGAATATCAAAATCTTGGACTAGAGGCACATTAGCAGCATCTAAATACTTATCCAAATCTGATATATCATGACTTGAGTCCTTATCTTGTTGTAAAAATTCAGCAAATTCTTGCATAAAGGTCTCTTCATTGGATTTGCTACTACTACCCAAATCAAAATCTTGTTGGTTGCTACTACCTTGAGTTTTACCCATCTTAGACCCATATTCATCAACCAATCTTCGTAGAAGATCACTAATTCTACGAACCTCAATTTCAAAGTCATGCTCATCAAAAATTTTTGCAAAATAAAAGCGAATAAGAGCCATTTTGTATCTAGGATCTAGTATTGTTGCCACTCCCATTAAGCCATTCACACTAGCCCAATACTTGTTATATTTTTGTAACATAATGTCGGCCATTTTCCTTACATAATCATGAGGAGATAAAAGCCAACCAGAAATAGCAATTCTCAAAGCACAAATTTTAGGAAAATAAAGATTGGCCGTAGGGTAATTTGTTCCTGAAAAACTAAGGGTAGTTTTACTAAACACTTCCAAATGTTCACATATTTTCTCAACTTTTTCCCAATCTTCAGGGGTCGGTGGATTCTTATATAAATTATTACGAGCACTTAAAACAACAAACACTTCTTTATAACTAGTAGCAATAGAAAGCATTTCATAAGTAGAATTCCACCGGGTTTTGCAATCAAGTGCTAACTTTCTACTACACTCAGGAGTTATTTGCTTAGCCACTTGTTCAAACCTTTGTACTCTCTTATCAGAAGCAGTCCAAAACACAACACTATCCCTAATTCTTTGAACACCATTTGATACCACAGCACTTAAACCATCTTGAACAATCAAATTTAATATGTGAGCACAACAACGCATATGAAAAAAATCACCTCGCAATAAAAGTGAGCCATATGGAAACACTCCTTTCAAAATTTCCATCATTGCATCATTAGTTGAACAATTATCCACGGTTATAGAAGACAACCTAAGATCAAGATTCCATGATTGAATGCTTTCTTTCAAAGCATCAGCAAGAACCTCAGCAGTATGAGGGGCGGGGACATATAAAAACCTACCAAAACCAATGAAAATAACATATATTATTTGTCTATTCAATACTATTGTGGATATATGGGCTCATTATTATCATCCATCATCACAACTTATAATTCTTATGATTTTAAAATTCACACAAAAAACTATAGCAATACAAAGACAACAAAAAAAAAATAAACAAGTTATAAGTAACCAGAAAACAATACCTTATGATCCGACTTTGCAACTTCCATGTATTATCAATAAAATGTGAGGTGACCGCCATATAACCTTTTCTCTGGTTGTCAGCTGTCCACATGTCAGTAGTTAAGGCAATCTTACCCTTTGCTTTCCTCAACAAGGTTGCAACATTCTCCTTCTCAAGCTCATATCTTTTCATAATATCTTTTCTAGTTGTGTTGCGAGACGGCACTTTAAATCCAGGTTGGAGTGTCTTGCTATATTTTCTAAAACCAATATGCTCAACCATGCTAATTGGATACTCATGCAAAATAATCATCTCTGCCAAGTCTCTTCTTCCATCTTCTTGGTGGAATTCGTAAGGAGCCAATGTCATCGTGTCATTCTTATCATTCAAGTTTTTTTTTGTACCAAACATTCTTGTTTGTCGAAGATCTTGACATACTCTCTTTGGACATATTTTTATATGATCTTTCAAATGAGTAGTTCCTGCTTTTGACCCACCAGCAAGTAGCTTGGAGCAATGGTTGCACTCAGCTTTTATCACATCCCCAACTCTCTTTCTCTTAAAATCAGACCACACTGCCGAAGTATGCCTACTAGTAATTGGTAGGAGAGAAGGATCGGAATTAGTCTCTAGAGGACTTTCATCATCATCTATTGCAATTGGAGTATTACTAGCGGAAGTGGGAACACTAGCGTTATTTGACATCTCAGACAAATTCTCCCCTGTAAAAATTAAATAAAGACAATTAATGCACTAGACATATTGACTACAGTATTGAACACATTTGACATCTCAGAAACAGCAATAATAAATTAATAATAGCAAATTAGCAATGCACAGCAGCAAAGGCAGATCATGCTTCTAGCACAGCTATCGGAAGATATCATGTTGAAAGGCCTATCAATGCATAATGTCATACTGTAACTGCTATGTTAATATATTGTTGCTGCTGCATAACCAGTTAACCACCTATCACACTAAGTCACTAACCACTACATACTGGCTGCCAGCAACAGCATCACCAAATTTAGTACTCTCATTTTGTAAGAAAGAGGGAGACAACAAACACAAACACAAGGACATCAAAATATAGTACAGTAGTTGTACAATTTGGTGTCTCAAAGTCTTCATTCTTAAAAGCTGTCAGCTTACGACATTAAAGATCCAACCTGTTCTTCCACTCTATCTATACACACCCACTTTCTTAACCACCAAAATCAGCACCTGATTATCCATCCACATTTTCATTACCCCAACTCAATTTGCATACATTGTGATCAATTTCATCAATATTGAGTACTACTTAAATTACAGTATAACAACAATAGTATGATACTATGATAATAGTTTGAAATTCATTTCTCACGCTTTTATACAATCTCAATAACAAAGAATACAACAAAATTTGAAGAAAATTCTTACCTGGGTTATTTAACAATTCTCAATAGAAATTGCTCCAACTTCCCCCAATGACATAATCCGAATTTAGTTATCACACATAAGCTAAAATAATAAACATAAACTTATAAGTCTGAAATTAATGAGAAAAACTAATTACAATCTATACATATTTCGACTTTATTATATCTATTTTGTGAAATTAAATATAAAAAAACAAGTAATGAAAATTCTAGATTAAAACCCTAATAAACTAAAAAATTTAGAGGTCATCATATTCATACATTATCATACAAAAAATAACAGTAATCAACTACATTGCATTAGATTGAAAGTATCATACAAATATAACACGAAACCCTAGCTCAATCAAATGAAATATTGAAAACCGCAATCGAACAAATCATAAATAAAAGACGAATCACATACTTTCAATCGAAAACCCAATTAAGAAATTCTTAATTGAACATATTGAATTAAGAAAATTCAAAGATAATAATGCGAAAACGTTTACCTAAATTGAATGAGTTGCAGCCTTGCAAGATCGAGGTTGAAGAAGAAGGATCGAAGAGATTTGATTGCAGACGAGGACCACGAGGTTGAAGAAGAAGGATCGAAGAGAGGGGTTTGAGGCTTGAGGAAGAGATTCAGCGCAGTGAGACTGTGAGTCTGTGAGAGGAGAGAGTGAGGCAGTGAGAGGCTAGGGTTTTTGTTTTGTGAATGACTGAATGAGGGTGGGTATTGGGTAAGTGGGTTATTGGGTTAGATTTCATTAGGTGTAGTTTTTTTTTTTTTTTTTTTAATCGTATTATGCTATGGCTAGTCGGGTCTTATGCGGGTATGGGGTGGGTATAAAGCGGGTATGGGTCGGGTATGGAGTGGGTCAGGCGGGGCGGGGCGGGTACGGGGTGGGTCAGGCGGGGCGGGGCGGGGCGGGTATGGGGCGGGTCTGGGCGGGGCGGGTATTACATAACAACCA